TACCATCGGCTGGGTATTTTGTATTTCTGACCACCGCTTGCCTCCGCTAGTCGCCTGGTCATTGCATCCAGATATTTCTCGACATTTACGGACTCGGCAGTCACAAACTCCCCTAGGGCGCCAGATCTAACGGAGAAGTAGATTTTGAGCAGAGACAGGATGGCCACTCCGACCCGGGTGTAGATGAGGTTGGGGATCTTCCGCAGCATCTCCGTGTCACAGCCTAGGAAGAAGTCGAGCATCTCGTGGGCGGCGTTCAGCCACTTGATCGTGAAGTCTACACGGACCGCACTCAGTGGCGCGCTTTTTGACTTGTCACTGTTTTCCAGTGATGGGAGAGTATAATATTGTTGCTTGATCGCATCAGGATCTCGATAACCTTCTCCAACAGCGAGCTCATAGATCGCGAGGTTGGTGTAATGGTACTCGAAATTCATGGGCACTGAGGTATGATATTAGCCACTTCACGTGCCCACATTAACCGTTTCGGGAACAGTTTACCTGTATGCATCTCCATGGATAGATCTTTCTTCCATGTTTGCATCCGGTTGTCAAACCACCTCAGGACGGCTTGCAGCCGCGACTCGGTGAGCGGGGCAGTCGAACTCGTGTCGTCAAGCCCAAAGGATGTCATCGCCTCATCAACTACTCGCTGAAGCTCAAACCAAGTGGCCATGTGTCTATCGACTGCATTTGGCGAGCGCTCCAAATGCTTCACACACTCGCTCATCCAGTCGTTGAAGAGAAGCAAATTCGGCCGGCGTGTTTTCATGGCGACACTGTTCTCCATTAGCAGGTCAGTCTCAACAGGAACCGCATTGAAGCTTACATGGATGTCAAATGATAGCAGAACAAGATGGCTCTCGCTTGTTCCGCCATTGGCTCATCATATGCTGTCTTTTTATTCGTTCTGCGACTGGAGCTTTGGGGCACTCGTCGTTTTGAAGCCAAGCCGATCTCCAGGGCCATCGTGGCCGCTATATGAGTATACTGATAGAATTGCAGTTTCAAAGGAGAGTCGGGCGGGAAGTAGAAGACAATCATGAGCAACAACGCCTGGACTAATTCCAAGGACTTGTCGCCATTAATGAAGAAGCGTTCGGCATACACTCGAATCATCTCACGGTTGAGAGCAGCGGCCAGGTTGGCATCCAACGAGACAGCTGCTGCGGCAATGACCGAGAGGAACAGCACCGGCTTCGAGCAACGCAATTGGTAAGCAGTTGTATCTGGGGGCAGTACGACGATTGGAGCAAAGGCTGTGAGCTCAGTGATAAAGAAGGCGACTAAGTCGTTGGCGTATTCCAGTGATATCAAGCCTTGACCGACGACATCCCTTTCTAGAGTTGCTTCAAGCGAATAGCTCGACGATACAGGATTGGAAGCTAAGCCGGGAGTGGCACCGCCGTCGAAGGTATTGGGATATGGAGAGTTTGAAGGGAAACTAGGTGAAAAGTCCATGGGTCTAGCCGATCCCGATGCGCTGCTTGGAGGATCTGAACCTGCGGGCATCGAATCATTGATACTCGGCCCCAGGTCGGGTTCCCGAGAGTCTTCTCTTTCGCTGCCGACGCTTTCGGCACTGCTTTCATCCACGCGTAACCTGTCCTTGAGTAGAGAGCGCATCTGTCGCATCTCTCTCTCCAGCTGAGCGACCCGCGAGTCAGTCCGCTTGCGTGGTCGCCGCCTTTGGGGCGCCACGAAGATACAGGGTCTGTTGGCTTTCACACATCGTTGGCATTGGTTGGGCGTCGCAGGATCGGGTAAGCAACGGACTTTCAGTCCTCGACACGATTCGCATGATCGGTTCAATTGTTGCGCGGTCGCCGCCTGGGGTATCGCATTTGAATCGCCTGGAGGATTTGTGGGTATTTTCGACATTTTGGCCCCCACACCTTGCAAGAAGGCGTAGTATCCGGGCCACTGGTGATCGACGATAGACGCAAGGGTCGGAAGATGGTAACTAGATCCAGATTAAGTGTGCACAGCGTCTGTTGAGGCTGACCAGGCGATATTACTGGTCCTTATGATTCGTCTCCAGAAGCGGCAGGTATCAATTGTAGATGTGAAAGACGGATATTAACATCGTCGTTTTCTGTCTGACAAACCAGGTTTCAGAGGGCTTCAGAAGTGATAACGTGGAGGATATCGCGAGACTAAAAAACAAAATCGACAGATCTATCGAAAGTCGAATCTGGGAAGAAGACATCCAATTGGACGCCCGCCGGCAGGGGAAACTGCAGAACTCGCCATGTACCCGGTGCCGCAAGTAGTCGGAGTTGGTGCAGCAGCAGAATCCAGCTGAAGCAGTGGGACGCATACAAGCCTCAGTCATGTGAGAATCCAGCCACAAAGGGGGGAAAGGCTAAAGAGCCTTTTTCGGTGCTTTTAAGGGCCAAGATGGTGCCATTGCTAAGAGGGGTTTGGCCTGTAGGAAAGAAGGTCTAAGGCTAGTGCAATTTAGTCCCCTGTTCTCTTTGGCGAGCGGAAAGCCAAAGTGGAGAGATTAGATCAAGCTGGAACTATGGTACAGTTAGTCTCTCATCTTGGGTACAGAGTAGTCGGGAAGATCCAAAGATTAATTAGTGCCCAGTGATTTCTTACCCCATGTAAGCTCCAGTCCTGATTGAGAATAAATCTCCCAGTGCGCTGCTGGATATGGGGTGGAAGTATGCCGTTGAGCGGGTTCAAGACTCTATATCGCTCATGAATGTCTCCAGTAGAACAAAGTTCTCAGGCAGCAGGAGAAAAGTCTCTACATAGAGAGAGAGAGAGACAGCCTAGTTCTTGGTGCACCCCGTAGACGATACTTGATTAGTACTATTAGCCCCCCAAATTAGCAGCGATAACCCCGAAGTCAAAGATAGAAAAGGAAGACATCCCAAACCTGACGAATCATCGGAACCGATTTCCCCGATGCGCCGGCACACTTCCTCCACATCCCGACCAATCAGGCAGCCACTTTCGGCGGTATCGAGCGCCGCAAGGCACCACTTGGCCCGATGTGGTAATCTATAAGGGCCCGTGGATATCCTTGATTTTTTAGTGGAGGCTCGTGTTTACTCTTTATCATGCGTCAGCTTCTATACCTAGATAGCTGCTTGTCTCTTACTAACTTTGGATAGATCCCAAGCCAATGGACGTATGCAAGTCACGGTCAATATCCTTCGATTCACTTCCTGGTCTTATTTCGCCGGTGTTATCTTCCACTACCACCTGGCAAGTTTGTAAGTTAGTTGTGACAATTTACATAATCACATGTCGAGAATGATCGCCTGCCGGCAAGCTGTCGGAAGGAGAGCAGTGAGCTCAAGCATCAACTATCCAAGGCAATAGTGTATCTTGGAACACCAAGCAATCAATGATACGTTTTATGCTTATACGCAGCTTTCCAGTCCGCGCTGAGTGCGCTTTCCGTAGTAGTTCAGTGCGCACGAGTTTTCGACCCCTTTGTATGGCTTCATTCATAAAGCTGACACTGCGTGCAGGCCGGTCATTGCTCGGATGAGCACAGCTCAAGTCATTCGGAAATATTTTTAGGTTTAGGCTCTACAGACTGTGTACAAGCAACGTCCTCAGGATCGACTGCGTGTTATGGTCCCTAAAGTCGAGCAATATGTCTCGGCAGCCTAAACCCGCCTCCCCGACATGCGATACTACCTTTCGTGCAGTGATAAGGCATGTTTGGTAAGTACTTGGATGGTACTTGTTATGCATCCTATTTTTTGTCTCTTGTACATGACTCGCTTTGAAAACAGGGAATGTGCATAGAGTTTGCTGACGACCAAAGAGACCCGATCCCACATTATTTTGAGTAGGGTATCTTGTCAGAGATCTCAGTCGGTTCGTTCAGAACAAATTTGCTTGTTAATCTTACGAGGTCCCTTTGGTCGATGCTGAGACATTGTGGTCCTTGGTCAGCGCCCGAGACGGCAAGCTATGGCTGTGGCTTCTATTTATGTGTGAGGGCACAATAAAGGAAAAGAATGGCAGGAACAGCGGAGAGCAAGAATAGCATGATGAGCGACGATCGCCGTAAATTCTAAAGCCAACGTTCTGTTCGATGCAGCGGAGGTCCCCCACTTTTAACACTGCAGACTCCTCCCTACCCGTACAGTTACTGCGTGCAACACAAACCGTCACCCCGTCACCCCGTCACATTGGTGAGGGGGCTTTAGGGGAAAAGCTTGATCGGAACAGTGATTAAAACCCATTCTCGTCATCCGAGCTAGGGGTGATGACAGCAGCAGGAAGGACAACTGTCACCTGAAACTAGAGACAAAATGGATGCACAGCGGGTAATTCAAGGAAGGCATTGGACTCTGGCGGAGAGGGGGAGAAATGCCGCTATCAGACTATGACGCGGCCCCAGTGTTTAGGGCCACTTTGCACGCATTTTAGCACTATAAACTGGCGAACCCAGGACAAAGGTAAACGCCATCGGACCAAGTCATTCGGAACAGGCCTTGCGAGGTTCGTCATGCTATTGGCCTGAGACTACGCACGCAAGGTACTAAGACGGGCGTCTAGCGGATTTCTAGTGTCGGTGGTTGGTAGCAGTCGACTATTCATGTAGTGCTACTAGTCCAGTCGGAGAGATCAATCCCGAGATGTCCTGGTGGACTGGTGTATTGATGTATTGATGTATTATTGATGTCGTTCTAAAACGGTCTTTACGTGACGGATTGTGTGAACCGACCAGGGTGCATCCGTAGGTTGGACACCCAAGGAAAACGATGAAATCGCTGACACCAACGAGTCAGACAGCACAGAGCGTGGCAGATTCTTCCAGGCGTTCCAGTCGGATCGGCACGGTAAGCCCAGTAAGCCCATCGCCAAGACTGGCAAGGCTGTTCAAGTTGTTTCCAAGGTTCCTTGCCACTCTTTGGGCTGGACGGTAACTGAGCACGCGACCGGGGCCCCCCCGTAACAGTACACAGTAAAGTAGCACGCCGGTTTGGCGGCGGTTCTTTTTATTCTTTTTATATGTCTCTTCCCTGCCGATCGCCCTGGCGATTCGTGGTTTTTTTTTTCTAGGCGCCCCCCATTTGTACTCAAATCTAATTATTGTTGACGACTATTCACATTACTCCCTCTTATGCGCCGCACTGATTACGTCGCTTTCCACTGAATAATTATACTCTTGTTTCTTGTTTCTTGTTTCTTGTTCAATCTTCTTCTCCCTTTCTCTTCTGTTCTGATTCCTCCACACACATACATACATCTTCTCTACCTCTCTTCTCGAACTGGGTGGCCCCTCCAACTTGTCTTCTCCGCTCCCCCTTTGGCCCCTTCGGCCCCTACAACAAATCCCGCCCATTCCCGTTTTATTGGCAGCGCGGACATTCCCCGTCTTATCTACGGCATTGTGCAACCTCGGATAAGAGCATGCGCTTTACGGTCTCTCGACATTGAAAGAACAAGTATCGTCCATCGTTTCTCGCCACTATGTGGTCTTCGACGCCCCGTTTGGTTCTCGGCCTCTATGGGTTATTATGTGCTGTTGGATCGGCAAGCGCTGATGTCGATTTCATGAGTGTGCGACCTGACATGGTCAAGGATTACTCCGGAAAAGGGGGAGAACCGGGAGAGAAATACTTCAGTAAGTCTGGCCTAGTGCTGCGGTTGTTATGGCTTTGTCTAACAAGTTACAGAGGAATCTAGGTATGCCATAGGATCTACTCGGGCGGTGTTTCTTTTGTTGTCTTTGACTAACTCTAATCTGAACTAGCTTCCACTACCACTATGATGGACGGTATGTCTGGCCCACCACCGGTTGACGTTCACGATTGCTGATCCCCTTGATAGCTTCGCAGATGAACCTCTCTCCGAGGCGGAGACTGTTCCGCACCTGTCGGAACTCATCCGGACCTATCTTTCGACAATGGCAGACCTTGGGGCTGAAACCTGGATAATGCATGGAACTCTGCTGGCTTGGTGGTGGAACCAGAAGGTGTGACACAAACCATGGGTGTTTACGATGCGCCGCCGCTAATGGATGGATAGATCTTTCCATGGGACAACGATCTCGACGTTCAAATTTCCGAGCCGACCATCCATTTCCTTGCCGATTACTACAACATGACCGAGCACCACTTTGAGATTTCAGGCGTCGACGGCGGCCGAACCTATTTGCTGGAGATCAACCCGAACTACGTCGTCCGATCGACCGATGACAAGCTTAACGTGATCGATGCGCGGTGGATAGACACATCGTCTGGGCTTTTTATCGATATTACGGCGGTACGCAAGGACGACGAGCGGAGGCAGAACGATCGCGAGCCTGGGGCATTGATGTGCAAGGATGGGCATCGGTTTGATGTGGGTGGCGCGTGAACTGGTGACACAACAATGTGACTGACTGGGGTTAGGAAACCGAGATCTTCCCACTGCGGAACAGTTACTTCGAAGATGTTCCGGTCAAGATCCCGTTCGAATACGTTCGCCTACTAAAGAAAGAGTACGGGTCGAAGTCGATGACTGCTTCCGTGTTCCAAGGGTATGCTTCGATTTATTGTCACTCTCTTCGCTCTCACTAATGCGTGGCACAGATACCATTTCAACCAACAGACTCAAGTATGGGATAAGATGAGGTAGGTTTGATGCGCCCGAGCTATTCGCGATTCTGGCTGACATGTTTTGATTTAGCCGGAAGAGGCACTTTGGGCGACGGGAGACCGACATTCCCGTTCGGACCACGCCCCTCGGGCGCCTGTTCAGGGGTTGATCGTGCGACTGTATGATATCGACCGAGCTCCCTTGATTCGCTTGTATCACGTCGGGCTTGTGTATGACGGTAACGATTTGAAGTGGCCCAGCACCTAGACTTTCGACTTCATTTGCATATACGGCGTTTGCCTTCGGTGCGCTACCAATTCCGCATGTTGGCTATATGGCGTTTGGGCATGTTTTTATATACTCTGGATCTTGTTTGTTTACTCTGGGACATGGGACATGGAATACCTTGTGAAAATGTGGTCGCCCCATAGTTGAAATGGGCTGCTGAGCATCAAAGCCCGTTGTGTGGCTTCTGTGAACATACTATATAATACGACTTACTACCTAGTAGTACTACACCATGGTGTGAATGTATATAGTGGGGGTGGGTCCCAATAACAATCAGATTAGTGTCTGCGATCAAAATAGAAGTTACTCGAGTGACATCCTTGCTCTTTTCGTCTTGGCTCTACACTATTTTCAGCAGCCAACTGTTAAGCTTGGGCACTACCACAATAATCTCCGATTGACGAACAAAAGATGAACAAACATGAACATCTGTCATGAGAAGCTGTCTAATGCACTCGAATTTATGAGAGGGACTGATTGTTCCTTTTGTAGAATCATCCTACCGATAAATACCAAGTTAAACCGGATCAAATTCTCCGCGGACCACCCGCGGACCATCCGCGGACTGTCAAGGAGGCTGGTGCAGTTTGAAATAAGTACAATCGAAAAAAGCTTGGGCGTCCGGAATTAGAAGCGTGTTGACTTGGCGGACTTTGGGGGTTAACTCCGAGGTTGATCAGATAACCACGGAGTACTGTGTGTGGACAAGCCGGTGGTGACAATCAGCAGCCCTGACCATCAGGACTGGCGGCACCTTGCCAGTGACGTGTGTCTGTACACTGACACTGCATGATCGCCCCAAATCCCGCAGCCAACAAAGTCCGAGGATGGCGCCGTCTCAATCTTATCCTTCTTTATCCTTTCAACTAATTCTTGCCCTACACCTCCCCATCCACGTGATTGTCAGATGGGATTAGTAAAGCAGGGCCAGACATGACCAATCACACACCACCTATCCAAAGTGGCGGGTCCAGAACAGCTCGGGTGTAGCCAATAGCGAGAGACCATCCATCCCGGGGATCCACTAAAGTATGAGTCGATGACTGAAGATCCAAGTCAGGCGCGACAAGTTTGATAATTTATCTAACCATTATTGTTGAAGTTAAATCCTTTATTTCTCACTCTGCTTTTTCTAACCGCTCTGTTCCTGTTTTCCATGTCCATCAATCGTCTCCTGCTACACATTCTCCTTGCGTGAGGATGAGGTTTGGTGGGGCTCCTGTCATTATCAGCAACAGTTCCACGCCATGTCCACTTCGTCTGTGATCTCATTCTCAGCCCCATCGTCCCTCTCGCCCAGGAACGGGTCTGACGTTGTGCCTGGCCCGCATACCAGCCACGACACCCACGGCATCCCTTCCCATTCCGCACAAGACCACAGCTTGCGCAGCTGCATCACCTGCCGTCGGAGAAAAGTTCGCTGCAACAAGAAAACCCCTTGCTCCAACTGCGCCAAGGCCGGTATCCAGTGTATCTTTCCCCCACCAGGAAGGGCACCGCGCAAAGTTAAACGACCACAAGATGCGGAGCTCCTGTCTCGCCTAAGGCGCCTCGAGGGCGTCATTGAGCATCTCAGCGAAAAGAAAGCGACCGGTGCTGCGGTGTCATCTCCTGATACGCCTTCCCCGCGTGTACAACAGCATCCTCAAAACCCACCCGCACCCCCGGCCAATGCACAGGCCTCGGTGCCTGATGGTGATGGCGATGGCTGCCCGCTTCTTATGGATGCAGCCAAGCTGGATCCTACCAGGCCGATAGCGCCGCGGAATATTGAGCATGAGTTTGGTCGATTGGTTATCGACGAGGGTCGAAGCCGTTATGTTAGTAATCGATTCTGGGCGAGTCTCGGAGATGAGGTGATTATCCGTGTTACCTTATCGTTGTATTTATGCTAACGTCCATAGATCGAGGAACTGCAAGATATCCTTGATCCGTCGTCTTCGGACGAGGAAGACTATCCGTCTCCTGAGACGTCGTCAAGCCATTCGGCCAACCATGATGGGTTTCTATTCGGGTTTTATTCCATCTCACACTCTCTACACGAGTTCCTACCGCCGAGATCCCAGATTCCCCTCTTATGGAATACCTGGTTGGAAAATGTGGCGCCCTTGATACCAATCGTTCATAAAGCAAGCGCTAGGCAGCTATTCGCTACAGCTTCCCAAGATCCAAACAGCTTGGATAAGAACTTTGAGGCGCTGTTCCTTGCAATGTGCATGGTCGCGATTATCAGCATGTCGCCAAGCCAGTGTTCAGTTCACCTAGGAGAAGAGAGGGATGTGCTTGTCAAGCGTTACCGGTTCGCAGTCGAGCAGGCGCTATCCAAAGCGGATCTCTTGAATACTCAAAATATCACTCTCTTACAAGCTGTGGTCATATTCTTAATAGGCGTTCGTCGAGAAGATGACACCAAATTTGTCTGGTCTATGACAGCGCTTGTTCTTCGCCTTGCGCAAGGGCTTGGTCTTCATCGTGACGGCACCAACTTCGGCCTGAAGCCTTATGAAACGGAGATGCGCCGACGACTTTGGTGGCACATCTGTTTGTTGGACATCCGGGCAGCCGAGGATCACGGATCTGATGCGCAGATTCATGAGCGATTGTACGATACTCGACTGCCACTGAATATCAATGACGAGGACATCACGCCGGACATGAAGGAGCCTCCTAAAGAGAGAGTAGGCTGGACTGAAATGACATTTTGCCTGATTCGCTGCGATATTACAGTTGCTGTGCGTCGAGTCAGCTACACTTGTCCGAACGCCCCTTTCATTTCGGCAACCCGACAGCTCAACCCTGATAACTGCTCCAAGGTGATTCGGGCGATCAACGACCGCATTGAGGACCGATATATTAAACATTGTGACATGAATATTCCGATTCAGTGGGTCTGCGCAACGATTGGTCGCCTCATCCTGACCAAACTCTGGCTTGTCATTCATCATCCGATGACCCGGCCTGAACGGGGTTTAACGCTGAGCCACGCAAATCGCGAGAGCTTGTTTGCTACTTCAGTGGAGGTAGCTGAATTTCAGCGACTGCTGGATGGCGACGTCAAGACGTACAAATGGAGCTGGCTTTTTGCCACGAACATGCAATGGCATGCCATTGCCTTTGTGCTGTCGGAGCTTTGTGTCCGCCCACTCAGTCCCCTTACCGACCGGGCATGGAAATGCGTGAGCACCCTATATACGGAGTGGATCAAGAACAGCAAGCAGCGGAAAGGCATGCTCTGGCGTCCGCTTTCCCGCTTGATGAAGCGAGCAACCGCGTTCAGAGCCAAGCAAGAAGAGATGCGCGCGCAGATGAGTTCCAGCATGATTGCAGCTCACGATGTCACTGCCCCAAATTGCCCTGAAATCTCAATTATACAGCCCCCAGTCCTGCCCCGAGCATTGGACCTCCAGGCTTCACCAACAAACCAAGAGAATGAGTCCTTGCATGGTGTGCCCGAGAACGGCGGACTCGATTTCGATCTGCGCGACGGACCAGTCAGCGTGATCAAAGATTTATTCCCCGACACGGACTGGCTGAACCCTGCCACAGCAGCCAGCATACAGCAGGAGTGCTCGGGCGCGTCGATAGACACGCTAGTGAGACCAGCGGAGCCGAGCGAGACCCAGCAGGAGATGCCTAATGCGAATCTCAACTGGGAAGAATGGGATCAGGTCATGACTGATTTCCAGATGGACCTGCAAGCGTCCAATACGCAGAATCCTTTTGGCAATGCCCTGGACTGGCTTGCTTGATGATGATACCAGTTGTGTTGATACCTTGATGGCCCTGGTGGCTATTATCGGCATCATGAAGATGCCTCTGTACTGAATGTCTCCTCTCTAGACGACCACCGAAACCTCTCCATTCACGATAATGAGAAATTTAGCTAGGAATGAGCTAAAAGCTAATGATGAATCATGTATGTACTATGTACCTTGCAATGCAGCCGAGGCAGTACTTTACCTGTATACCATACAGTAGGCAGTACAGCAACACTGAATGAACATAAACACTCCAATTAAACCTTTAAATAAAGAACACTCATAAAGCTCCTTTAAACTAAACAACCAAAGCCCATCCAACCACCCAATAAAACAATAACAACACCCCCGATCTATAAATCACGTGACACCGCGTAACCACCACCCGCCCAGGACAGGCCAGCTTGCGTAACTATACCTCCACCTACCTCCCCTTCCCAATCCTTCTTCGCCCTCAACTCAACCCCGACCTCAATTCCATTCTCCCCAATATAAAAGAAGAAATACAGACAGCGACAATGGCCCCAAAACGCACCGCCACACCAGCAACAACAGGCCCCGTCCCCGCGCCCTCACCACCTACCATGCCCTCCGCATCATCCTCCTCCGCACCCGCAGCATCCTCCTCCCTCTCCTCCGGCCCCAAAACCCTCACCCAGAACTCCTCTATCTACGACATCGCCCACACAGTCTGGCAGCAGTATTTGGCTACTACGCCGCAGCGCACAATGCTGCTTGATGCGTTCATGGGATTCTTGGTGCTGGTTGGTGGTGTGCAGTTCGTTTATTGTGTTGTTGGGGGGAATTATGTGAGTTTACCTTTACCTTTTCTTTCCCCATTCATTATGGATGAGGGGAATGGGAGTGTACGTATGGGTTTGGCTAATATTGGGAATTTGTTTTTGTGTATAGCCGTTCAACGCCTTCCTGAGTGGTTTCTGTGCCGCTGTAGGACAGTTTGTTCTTACGGCTAGTTTGAGGATGCAGACTAGTGCTGCTACTTCTTCTTCTTCGACTGGGGGAGTTGGTGGTGGTGGTTCGAAAGGGAAGGGTGGGAAGAAGGTTGTCAAGGGGGATGCTGGGGAGGAGGGGAGTGGTGTTTCGGCTGAGAGGTGAGTTCAACATTTACTTTAAACATATTGACTTGGGGAGGGTTGGAATTGTGCTAACTGGTTTGGTTTGTGTAGGGCATTCGCGGATTATGTCTTTGGGAGTCTGATTCTGCATTTCTTTTGTATTAACTTTATTAACTAGATGCTATCGGGTCTGTGGTATTCATGGATGTGGATATGGATATGGAGCTGGGTCAAGAGATGTGATGGATGGAAGGATGGAAATGGTGACAAGGGAGGAGAGGATAGGATAAGATAGGATAGGACGGGTGCATGCAGGCTGTTTCCCTGGTGGATTAGCCTTGTCCGGTCTGGTTCCTATCCCAGTGGGTGAAGGTAAAATAAGTCGAGGATCTGTTATTGCGTTATGTTAGCTAGCTATTACTATTTATACCTGTGTATCAATGTATCGATTCTACTGTTCACGCCTGGCTTCAACACTCATATAGCAATAATACAGCCAATAATCTATTCATATATCCCTGGGTATAGTATATCCTATATTCTACTAGTATAAATCAAAAAGCCCGTCCCGGTTTGCGCTTGATCTGCGGCTTCTTCACCACGCTTCCGCCTCCACTTCCGCCATTGCGCGCACCACCACCACTACTTGATGCCGTCACACCTCCTACACGTCTTGCCGTCGCGACAGGCCTCCGTACCACAGAGCCCACTTCGATCTCCTTTCTGCGTCTGGTCGGATCGTTCCTCTCCGCTTCGCGCTGCTTCTCGGCGGCTGCGCGTTCGCGGTCCGCCGCCATCTGGGTCTCGATCTCCACGCGCCGGTTGAACTCTTGTTCCGTGATGCGGCGCTCGCGCTGAGAGTAGCCTTTTTCTTTGACGGAGTAGAAGACGCCTCCGAGTTCGGCGAGCCACTGTTATCAAATGTCATTAGTACTTGACTTCTATCGGGGTATGTGATGGAATCTGGTGGACTTACATGTGGATCTACAGCAGTCACGGTAGACATGTACTCCTTACTGGTGAGGATCAATTCATGGTACACCACGTACTCCGGCACATATCCCAGACCGTAGAGGGCACTAGTCGGGTGGAGTTGCATGCTGACGCTGGTTCGGAGGTTGAGGAACTCGCCGATACCCTTGACGCGCGCGGCTTGGTGGTAGAAACCCGAGCAGATGCATTTGCGGATCTCGTCCCAGTCGGTGCCGCAGCTGACTAGTGGCATCTTCTGCACCGTCATGATGTCGTGCAGTTGGTCGCGCACTTCGCGCGCCCGCCGCAGGGCCTTGGCGTGGAGGAAGTGACGTGTGCACCAGCCGTCGGAGTAGCCATTTGCTTTCCATTGCGTGTAGACATGGAGTAGAGTGAGGTGGTCAGATTCCGGGACGAAGAATTTCTCGCGCGCAGCGTCGGATTCTTCTTGGCGCTCTTTAGGGCGGTAGAAGACGCTGGGGACGGATAGCATGGATACGATGGTTAGCATCTCCTCGCTGCAGCCGTAGGTCTCTGCGGCAGTGATGATGAGCTTTGCGAGCGGGGGATCCATTGGAAATGGTGTCATCTGACGTCCTAGTGGGGTAAGATCGCCGAGGTTGTCGAGTGCTCCTAGGGACCAGAGTTCGAAGAGCGAAGTGGTGATTGTTTCTTGGGGAGGTGGGTCCATGAAGTCGAAGTCGAGAAGGTCTTTGACGCCAAGGGATTTGAGGAGGAGGACGGTGTTGGAAAGACTGGTCCGCTGGATTTCCGGAATCGTTTGCAGGTATAGCTCGTTCTTGTACGCCACTTCGGTGTACAGACGATACGCCTTGCCCGGTCCCGTACGTCCTGCTCGACCAGAACGCTGGTTGGCATTGGCCTGTGATATAGGCGTGATCTGCAGAGTGTCCATGCCCATCTTGGGGTTGTACACCTTCAGCTTGGAGTAGCCCGAATCCACGACGAACATGATACCGTCAACTGTCAGACTGGTTTCGGCAATGTTGGTAGCAACAATCACTTTGCGCACGCCAGGCTCAGCCCGTTCGAAAATTTTGGCCTGTTGCTCCGCAGGCATCTGACTGTAGATGGGCAGAATGCTCAACTTCGGCGGATCGTTCAGTAGCTTTAATCGTTCATCGACCAGCTCGCATGTTGCTTCAATATCTTCCTGACCTGTCATGAACACAAGGATATCACCAGGACCTTGCGACACGTGGATGGCCAAGACCTGCTTGACCGCGCTGTCAACATAGTCCTCGCAGGGTGTGCGTGAGAAATGGGTATCGACGGGGAACGTTCTTCCGGGAATAATGAACTCCGGTGCACCACCATAGAATCGGGAGAAGCGCTCTGCGTTCATGGTGGCCGATGTGACGATAAGCTTCAAGTCCCTGCGTCGAGCTAGAACCTTCTTGAGAAGACCCATAAGCACATCTGTGTTCAATGCTCTCTCGTGCGCTTCGTCCATGATGATACAAGAATACTTGTCGAGGTCCTGCTGGACAAGTGACTCTCGTAGAAGGACACCATCGGTCATGTACTTAATGACCGTCTTCGGGCCGGTACAATCTTCGAACCGAATAGCATAACCAACTTCATCACCAAGATCCACCTCCATTTCCTCACTGACACGCTTGGCAACACTCATAGCCGCTACTCGACGAGGTTGTGTGCACCCGATCATGCCAAACTTCGAGTAACCGTCCTCGTGCAGGAACTGCGTCAGCTGTGTTGTTTTTCCAGACCCAGTCTCACCAACCACAACCACAACCTGATTATCCCGAATGACGCGCAACAAATCCTCTCGGACCGCAAACGCTGGCAAGAATTCTCTCTGCTCCCGAAGCGTCTTGCTCTTGCTGAACGAACTCTGTCCACCTTCATCCTTTTTCAAATGTTGGGCGAACTTGTTTCCGCTCTTGTAGGCATCCTCCACTGGCATAGCGACCGCACTGTCACCCTCATCCTCCTTTACACCCATGAGGTTTCCCAGCGCCGTTCCCGCCATTGTCGTCGCCTCCTGCGCTTGCTTCTGGCGTTCTCGCTGCTGACGTCGTTCGCGAACCACTTTGCTTCCTTTCCGACTGAACACTGCCATGTCACTCTGCGGGTCTCGGACAGCTGAGATAGGCTCGAGCTGTTTGGTGAAGATCGTGCGGCCATCGAGGAACGGCGGACGGAGGTCATGAACCAGCAAATGAACTCGGGTGGCCTCTTCATCTTCGGGCATGAAGTCGCCATCGAAATCGCGTCTCTGGGCGACACCAGATGTGAGCATGCGGTTCGTTTCCCAGTTGTCGATATCCTTGCGCTTTGCGTCGCGCAGCTGTGGCGGGAGATTGGAGCTCTTCAGCCTTTTGGCTGGCGGCTGATCGTTGGAAGCCATGATGGTGTGTGATTGATGATCGAGCAATACGACCGCTTGGTAGAACAATTGTTAAGTTAAAGCTTCGCAGGGGGCTACAGCTGTCTGCTCAAGCCCTCCCGCCGATAGTTGGAGAAGATGCAATCACCGCGAATTGCGGATTCCATCATTTCTATCGGAGTTGCGGCAAACACTGCAAACATCGCCGCCCGCTTCGTCACGTGGAACATCCCCTCCCAAGAACAGGCAGAAGATGGTGCGGAATACATTAATATATTATATAGAGCTCTGGTAGTTAGTTGTTTAGTTGTAGTCATTTGCACCGTTTTTCCCTTGTTCCTGCATTAGTAGTGGTTTGTTCGTTAGCAACGCAGACATACTAGTAGCAACAGAGCGACGCCGCAAGCACCGCCGATCCATATCGAAACTCCCCGCATCGCAACTCCGGCTTTGCAACTGCGCTTTCTATCAGATTTCGACATCATGGCCAGCCAAGCACAAGTCAACCCCAAGAGGCAACAGGGTATTGTACCTTTTTTCAGTCTATTCTCAGTCGTCGGTTTGAAGAAGCCAAGCTAATTCGAAGCAGAGCTCCAGCTCCAATACTCCAACTACAAAAACACGCTACAACAATTGGCGCAGAAGATCGGTGATATCGAGCAAGAAGCAGAGGAGCATAAGTAAGCTGCCCTGTTGGAAGTCCCTCGCTATCGAAATTCGCACAATAGTGCGCCTTTTTGCGCTTGTTTGAGAATGGCAACTAACGCACACTCAACGCTAGGCTTGTTATCGAAACCCTCGACCCCCTCCCTAAGGACCGGAAATGCTTTCGGATGGTGAACGGTGTACTGGTGGAACGGACAGTTGAGGACGTTCTCCCGTCTCTCAAGACAAACTCGGATGGATTGAAGCAGGTCTTGGAGGAGCTATTGAAGCAGTACAAGTCGAAGCAGACGGATCTGGATAACTGGAAGGTAGGCAGATTGTTCTCTGGTGGTCCACGTATGTGGAAGGTTGAATGGATTGCTAACAGTTCTGTCGCTTTACAGAAGAAGAACAACATCCAGGTTGTACAGCCTTAGAGCAACGGTGCTTGTGTTTTCTCACGGTTTCTGTATCCTCTTCATGCAGCGTTATACACTGAAAAATAATATTTCTATAGTAAAATCATGTAATTCTAGACATCCGGTCTGCAATTATATAGTAAATTAGAGAACACCGTAGATGAATGTGAATGACATACAACAAAAATTATATGAAGTACCATCGTTGAAGATAAACCTCTGGAAGGCCTGCGTTACTAATCTGCCCTTCCACCAGTCTTCATCTACAACTTCAATTGAGCCGTCAACATATCCATGACCCAGCATCATCAAATTGAAATCGCTTTACTACGCACCTAAATCTTGAAAATGTGACAGCATGTCACAGCGCCGTCAATTTTCCAGTTGCGATCCATGCCGTCGCTCCAAGCGACGCTGCTTTTTCGCCTCTCCCGGAGGAGAGAAGTGTACTAACTGCCAACGACTGGGCCATTCATGCACCTTTGACTTTGCCAGATCTCGGAGGGTAAAGCCCAAGCACGACCTAGTGCGGCCTTCCCCATCGACAAACAGCAATGAGCTACCAGGAACTCCACTTCTAGGCTTTGATAGTCCTGATGGTTACTATCAGGCCGGTACCACGCCTCCCGGGGATACCCTGGTCCCGGGGCTCAACCTTAACGAAGGTCATGATACACTGAAGGACCATGACGATCTCATGGACCTCTATCTGGTGAATCGATTGACGTCGGATCTTGCGCCTCCAGTGCAAGTATCAAACAAGGCGCAAACGTGCGTACGCAGTAATCTGTCGGGCAGAGTGTCCTACGCGATGCCGTTACTTGCTGGTAGCTCACTGGCGAGTCCTGTCCGCCTGCTGAATTTCAAGCTGGATGCAAGAATCTTAGATGATCGCCTGGCAAAGATTTATCACGCGATCATTACGGGATGTGCTTCCCGGTTTGTGGATTACGACTGCAATTTGTATGCAACGGCGTCATGCTACCGACTGGAAGGTTGGAGTGAACAGTCCACGCAAAGACATACGCCTGCTACCTTGGATACTAGCTCTATAAATACTTCTTTTCCGGACACCCCAGCTTCGGTTACACCGCTAGATGCCATTTCTTCTTCGGAGTCAGGGATATTATCAAACGATCTCTCCCGCACTTTTACTGTTATCGGGGCCGTCCGTTTCCTTGATCATTTCGCGGTTCTTTACGGCAATCGCATCAGTGCGAATGCGCGTAAACAGTCTGATGCTGCGCTGAAATCAGTGCTTCGCACGTTCTCCCTTCAGTGGCTGCCTACCGAGAGTGTATTGGCCGCTGATAGTATCTTGCAGGACAGTGTTTATGGGATACCCACGAGCGAGGCATCCCAGAACGCATTCTACGATTCTTGGTTTCAGACACAGGGGGTTCTCGAACAGGCAAAATCTGTCCGGTCGTTCAGGGTTGTCTATGCCATTTTGCTGTTTGGTGGCATTACGGTTCCGACTAAAGCTCCAGTCGAGTCAACACGCGAGATCCTTGACAGCGGCCTGCAAAGCCTTCGTTCTCTGAATGTGCTTGTTAGGCAGCACTGTAGTACTCTGGGAGCTCACTCTATATACAGTGGTCTGCTGGAAGCCAGTCTGGATGCTGTGCATTGGGGCGGGTACATCCGTGACCTTGGGGCATCGCTCACCATAAATCGTCCATGCAAACTTCCTATTCCGGGTCATAGTAAAGGTAAGCTCATTGTCATGGACGATTAGTCATGGATATTCAAGCTGAACTCAAATAGTGCTTTTCAGTACCGGCTCGATCTTGTCCACATTCGACTGGTCGAATAACCACAATTTCCCTCCCGGTCTTGATGACAGCATCCCAAGTATCTGTAAGAAGGCAGTTGCTGAGGCGTTTTACATATGCAGGCAGATAGTTGAGGTCAAGAATTCACTACACTGTGATCAGTCTTTGGCTTGCATGGATGATGTCACCTCAACAGTGGCAGCCATGAGCAGGTTCAATGAACTGTTCCGCCCATTCATCAACTACTGCATCAACAACCTGGAGTGCCTTTCCTTACAGTCTAGAACAGCTTTGTGGGTCCTCAAACTAAGTTATGTGTCCACTTACTGACGATTTGAATAGTCTCACTCGTATTATTCTGGGATCTGAGCATCCTCATCCTAGCCGAGGCGTTGGCTCTCAGCAGGGGGAGCGACTCTGTTGACGAGAATATCATCGCAAGTATGCGCTCCTACCAGGCTGAGGCAGTTGCATCGGTTACGAAAACAGTAGAACACGTACTCTCGCTACCGCCAAACTCTGCCTTCAACATTGAAAACGGTCTTGATGCCGAAGTCCCTCTCATCGCCTATCACATTACCCCAAGTTTAACGGCAACGGTTTATCAAAAGACCATTGAAGCCTTGATGAACTCTCAGCAATCACCGCTTTATATTGAAGAGATAGCCGACGACGTTTGGCAACGGCAGGTTGATATTATGCTGAAAGGTCTCAGCTCACTGGGAGTGACCGTCGGTGGATCCGAGGCGGCCACAAGAGTTTTGCAGTCACTAATGCCGCGATATGGGGATATACTCTCTGAGTGCTGGACTTCTGATTTCAGCACTTGACTGGTGTTTAGACCACCTGCGAAGTACAGCGGGTCCGACATGCGGCGTCTGCTATAAGTACGGGCGAAGCTAGAAATACGATCACGCTTTCCAGAAGGGCAGTGTTATCACGCCTTTTCATGCCTGCGGAGATAAACTAAAGCTGCAAGTTCTGCGATCACTTAAGCTTAGCTTACTCGCGGCATGTTGAAGATGCATTGACCTGCCCAGATGTGGGATTCTGCTCCCGTAGCGAAGGCAAGGCCCAGCACCCCATCTTTCAGACAATCGCCTATTATACCAACAACTGATATCAATAATATCAAGAACGACATGAATTTACAAGTTAGATAGTGTTTCTTATAATTCATCTGTCACTGTCCGCATACGTCATTGAAATACTATCGGTTCCGCTCTGTCGGCTCCGACCATCGGTTCCGCAATCCAGAACTTTTCTCGAGATGCAGTCTGCTGATCCTCGATATCATCAAACAATTCTGAACATATTAAAGCAAGCAATCAATTGGCTTCACTCTTCCAGGGTCAGTCATTCAGCATACTCAAACAACAACATTACTACACAGCTCCTACTTTCTCGGGAATATATACCTTCTACTACCACTACCACTACTACTATATAAACTACAATGCCTACTACAACCTCCACCCCCCTCCCAACCCTAATCTTCATCTCCGGCGCCTGGCACCTCCCAACCTGCTACACCAAACTCATCACCTACCTCCAAACCCACCACCCAACCCTCAACTGCACGACCATCACCCTCCCCTCCACAACCGGCGACCCCAGCGCCACATTCAAAGACGACCTCTGCGCCGCCCGCGCCGCCATCACCCACGAAACCCTCCACCACGGACGCAACGTCGTCCTAATCGCGCACTCCTACGGCGGGATGGTCGCCAACAGCGCCATCAAAGGCTTCACATCACCCCAAACACCCACATCCGGCACCATTATCGGCCTAATCCTCATTGCCTCCGGCTTCACCCTAACCGGCTTCTCCTTCATGGACCCCTTCCTCGGCCACCCGCCACCCTCCTGGCGCGCAAACCACACCACCGGCTTCGCCGAACTAGTCACTTCCCCTCGCGAACTCTTCTACCATGACCTCCCTGAGGAAGAAGCCCGGTACTGGGTCTCGCAGCTTAGACCGCAGAGTCTGAAAGCGCTGTTCGAGGGCGGTGAGTACTCGTATGCGGGGTGGAAGGACGTCCCGTGCTGGTATATAGGGACGGAAGAGGATAGGGGGTTGCCGGTGCTGGTGCAGCGGATGGGTGTTGGGATCGCGAGGGGGTTGTGTCCTCCGGGATGGAGGGTGGTGTATAGGGAGGTGGTGGGCGCCAGTCATTCGGTGTTTCTGAGTAGGGTGGAGGTTGTGGGTGGGTTGGTTTGGGAGGCTGTAGAGGGGTTTATGAGGATGGATGTTGAGGTGCAGAAGGAGGAGAGGGAGGGCGTGGTGATTGTGCCTGAGGCGGATGTTTGGAAGGTGTCGACGTGGTTCAAATATGGGGTGCCCGCGGCGCTGGGGAGGGGGGTCGGGTGGGGTTTTGGGTTGGTTGGGTGGATTAGGGGGTGGTGGTAGATATGTTACTCTGTCTGTATATTGAGTAGTAGGTGACACTTGGTTTGATGTATATGTTTAGCTGTGGGCTGTCTGATTACATTCGAATCTGTTTTCTTATGTTGTTGCCTTATATGGCGTTTGGGAAATACTATCTTCGCTCTCATGTGATTACTTAGCCCTCGGTGTATGTATGTATGTATGATTATGGCGGTGTATACAGTAGAATAGACAGAGCATACTGAGTACTGTCTATCTGCATGATGAAATACAGGTTGTCGATGCCATCATACTACTTCTCTCAATCATCATATCGTCTCATGTGTATCAACTACTAGATGAACGTGTGATGTATGACTTCACCGATAGAATCGCCAGGAAGTATATACCGAGAACACCTACATCATATTATATCCACATCAGTGGAATGATAGGTAAGTAAGTATGTACCTACGTACCCAAATCTCATCATCATCAGCCTTAACGATTGGGACACTAGAATCTCTTCGAAGTCCGAACAACTAATAGTTATATACTTATATACGGACTGCATAGATACCCGATCCCGGGGCAGTTCTTTATGCCTAAGAAACCTAAAGTAAAAAAATTGGAGGAAAATGAAAAAGGACCAAAATATTTCCATGTCTATGGTTCGTCTGTTTGTTTCTTTCCTCTGTAGTAAATAGGAGCGGGCAAATGCAAAAAAAGCCCACCCACATTTCAACATCAATTTCGTCATTCGTGATCGTCATCATGTACTCCTAAATGTGTTCAGTCCCACCGCCGTGAAATTCATTCATGGCCACACCATCCAAAAAACAAAACCGAATAATCCAAAATAAAAATATAAACCAAAATGCAACCAACAGGGTAAATAGATAGCCCTGGTCCGAGCGCCGACTGAGTGGCGGATGTTGTTATAGTAGTAATAAAAACAGGTATATCGTAGTGGGAAGAAGAAGGGGAAGGCGAAAATATCAGAATCGAAAGGGGGTAAATGACAAAATTATGACATGGTACTCATCGAACATGGACCGTATACGCAAAACAGTGATAGCTCGGAGGCCGTGGCATGTATTGACGTCGAACGGTCAGACATGAAAGACGTCAAGGCATGCGGGTGCTCAGAGACTATCGACGAAGAAAATGAGCTTCTAGAGCGGGGAGGGTGTAAGGGTAAGAGGGTGGCTTGCTGTTGCAGCAACCTGTAGACCTGACTACTCAAGTCATCATTGACGCTCAACCAGCATATGTGGATTGCCGCCGTTCAGGGGGCGGAACCGGGTACTCCCCGTATGGCTGTCGCATGTAAGCATCGCGGGGTGCGATGTAATCTGGCCCCACCTCTCGCGCATACCTGTACTCTTTGTCCTTGGGCGAGCGGACCTCGCCATACACAGGCCGGCTTGAGGAGTGCCGGGACACACTGGGACGAGCAGCAGACTCATACCGCATGTGTTCTGTGGGGTAGGTGTAGGTGCTACTCCGAACGGGAGGCTTCGGCATAGGGCGTTCTTGACGTGGCGGTGAACCCCCCCTTGCGTATCTGGGGGATTTCTGGGGTAGCGGTATGCTGGGTTCTCTGAGCACGGTGTCCGGTTCCGTCACGATCTTGTAGCGAGTCGACTTGGGCGGACTCTCGCCGGTTGCCATCTCTGGCGTGCCCGGACTCGAGTAGCCCGAATCGTACTTGTCCGTTCGCAGTTTTGCGGTCCGACTCGCCTCATGAACCATGTTATGCAGTGGGTTTTCGCGGCTCATTCCCCTGGGGCGGGAATGGGTTTGCGCAGCGCTCGCAGAGCGTGAGGGCTGAAGGGACGGCCGGACAGAAGACGGAATCTTCACTGATGGTGAAGTTGCCGCAGTTGGCATGCTAGGTATCTTGACTTCGTAGGATCGGGCCTGGGACCCGAGCTTCTCATATGATCCATTGCGAGAACTACTTGTCCGAACACTTTCCTTGCTCGGTCGTTTTGTGCGGCCCGAGTGCCGTGACGAGGAAGACTCCGGATCAGCGGATTCATAGCCATGATTGCGCGGGGGCGAGCGGGAGGTTTGCGGACGTCTGTCGATTTCGATCGGAACGGATCCCTTGGAGCGTTCAATGTAATCTTTAGCGGTGGTGTGTAGCTTGTCATGCTTCGACTCAAGCTTAGACTCATATTCATCCGTGTACTCGTCGTCGTAGCGGGTCGACGTGTGCCGGCGCGGGAGATCCGCCGGTCGGGACTTGCGAGAAGATGCCTCCCGGTTGCGCCTTTCCGAGGGGCGCTTAACCTTCACATAAACCGTGGATGAGGCGCTGGAGTCAGATGCGCCGCCAGCGTCTTCGGAGTCGCTGTACGGAACGGCCCGCTCATACTTCTCGTAGGCATCCCGTTGTCGTTCCCTGGTACGATATTTGGCACGACTGCTGTGGGTCGTCCTCGAATTGTCGCGAGCCATATCCCTCGCCGCACGAGTACTTGGGCCATCACTCTTGCTCTTCTTCTTCTCGCTCGGGGGTTTGGAGGAGTATCGTTTTTTATACTCATCGTATTTTCGGGACGTGGAGCGCGACTCTTCGGAGAATTGGAGGTCGTCATCGGAATAGGTGGCTGCATCAGCCGGCATCCTCTCCTCGTAGTACCGTCCATTGCGATACTCGCGAGGGGCGCTTGCGCGCGGGGTGGCATAGGCCGAGGTACCATTGACCGGTACGCCTTGTTCGTGCATTTGGCGACGCAGCTCAGCCAGCCGAGCTTTCGCATCGTACTTGGCCCTTCTTGTCTCATCCGAAAGCGTCTCGTAAGCCTGCTGCACCTTCTGAAATTCATCCTGAGCCTTGCTTCTCAGCGACTCATCTTTGATCTTATCGGGGTGACATTTCAACACGAGTTTGCGATGAGCAGATTTGATATCCGACAAGGCCGCATCCCTTGCCACCCCCAACACTTCATATGGATCGATATCTGGCGCTGTTGCCATGGTCTGTGGAAGACACTAGTGAAAGATGGGGTAGAAAACATATAAACCAGTCTCAATGCAGGATTGACAGGAGATTTAAATAGACAGTATGATGATAAATGCAGAGCGACGAGAAAGCGATAAGTGCCGCGGTGTGGCGTTGTATAAGAAAGCGTGGAGGACAGCAGAAGCGGTAAGTACCTGAACGGAGGGAGGCGAAGCCGGAGGGTTGCAGCGATAGCGCGGATGTGTAAGGTACGCTGAGATGGACAAGGCGGGCGGATAGACGGCTCGATGGGGTGACGTGGGTGCTCGACGATCAATGGCGCATAGTCAGGATTGTCCCGATCGGATATGCGGCCAATTCATGGAGAAGGCCGGCGAAGACGAAAGAAGGGGAAGAAGCAGGATGACAAAAGGTAGGGTGAAACCGGCAGGCAGGAGGGGAGTCAGTTGTAGTGAATTGGGAGATGTGAAATTAATGAGTAATAATGAGTAAAAGGAGAGACACGGGGAGTTTATGGATGAGTGAGAATCTGAACCATGCAGAATAAAAGTCACTAGTAAGAGTCTGGTTTGGAGTGTGCAGCGGGTTTAAACCAAAGAGAGAGAGAGAGAGACAGAGAGGGTGGAGGGGGGGTAGAGGGGAGGGGGAGGGAAATTGCGAGGCAAAATAACCCAAAATAATAATGAATTAGTTGGTAGGTTTTAGGTATGGTTACTGATGGATCCCCGAAGTTGTATGGCAGGAAGATTCCCAAGTACCCAAGAAGAAAAAGTAAGAGGGGAACAGCTGGGGGCAGTACTTGGCCCGGGTAATTTCGCCCAGCAAACCAAACCCGAAGTTAGTTAGTAGCAAGAGTGGATGCACTCCAGTTCAATCAAGAGGGGGAATATTCCTATCTGGTCGGGAGAGGCGACCAGCGCTGAGGGGCAAAAGGGGAAAAAGTCAAAATACTAAAGAGAAGAGAGGAAAAATGCGAGAAAATCAAAAGGGATTTTCCCCCCAACGGGCAAATACCGCCAAACAATCGGACCCAAGCACACTGCGCCACGCTGCTTCAACTGGAGACCGGAGAGTGTAAGCTAAAAGTAGAAAAAGCAGCCAAATCGACTAAGACTAAAGGATGGTCAGATGAAGTGGCACCACGTTTAGTCAGGGTTGCTGGTCGAGTGAGGGAGGTAGTTAGCTGGTCAGACGCCAACGTCGATGAATAATGGCTGATGATTTAACTAGAAGACGCTCGATGATGCCACCAGCTGCGTCTGGTTGGATTGTCCTTGCTGGGGTTTAGGCCAAATGCGAAGTATATCGGTGGTATAAGAAGTGGGCAGTAGTAGCAGCAGGGAGGACAACTGGATTCAAACAGGATTGATTGGCAACAATGACGATATAAGAGTCGGATCGTCTCGTTAATCTCTTGGGAGTGATGATGATTATGATGAGGAGGAGCAGAAGGATGACACTGAAGAGAGTAGTAGTATGATTATGATACTCTCTGCATTCGAATTTCTGGTGCAGAGGGAGCCAACAGATGGACTGCAAAGCAGCGGTGAAGTGGGAAAGTGAAACCAACGATGGGGTCTTGTCACAACCAGGAAGCCCAAGGGCCCGCTTTGCGAGGAACAACAGCAACCACCACCGTCAACAGGCAAGTTGCAATAATGGAGAACCAACGATGAACGATTGGCAAGGAGCGGTCAATCACTTGATGCCTCTCAGGAGGAAGGCAGGATGAAAACAGGACAATTGGTTCATACAATGTCCAAAAAGTAGATCACAGGAGGCATAAGAATACGGAATACAGGATCGAAGATTATTATTATAAAACAGCCACCAGAAGGTGATCTAGAGAATGAGACGTATCATCCTGCAAACGAAGGGAAATGAAACTGGACCTGATGTGGTACAAATACCCCGGTGGTGTTTGACCGTGGGTTTATCTCCGATCCATGAAGGAACCTTTTTTATTGGAGGGATTGGTACCTGGCGAGACGACATCAAGGTACAAAAGAGAAAGAACTATTAGTATCTAAGCCTTGACTTCTATTGACCTTCGTATCATGTTGGCTTCTCGCAAACCCTGAAGCCCTATGTGCGACTGCGGCATCGAGTGAGAGGGAGATGCTGGGCCGTTCTCAGTCACATCTTCATCACGGTCACGGCGGGCGCTTGGCCAGAAATCCATCTTGCCTGTCCCATTGCTAGCGTCAAAGTTACGACGCAGAGGAGACTAAGCCATGGGTGTCTGCAGGACGAGTGTCTGTTTGGTCATCCACCTGGTGGTCCCCGGCAGATGAGCGAATTCGACTTTGCGACCGTCAGTCATCAGCCTGATTGATCTGCGGGGCCTTTTCCACGAGGTGTCCCTCTATGGAGTAAACTATCTATCTATCCGGTAGTACTCTGTAACTAACTAGCAGTAATAGGCTAGTAGTCAAGTAGCTGAACAGGGCGCTCTCTGCCTGGTGAGGATCTATCTAGTGACTACTCAGCAGTAAGTACTACTATGTGATTCTTAGGGTTGATAATGACTAGCAAGTAGTAGTATCTACCTACTGCGTACTACCTCCCATAAGTACTCCGTGCCTATGGTAGTACGTCGTAACAGAATCTTTCCTCTCTCATTGCTCTGATTGAACCACCGAGACTACCAACGCCAACTAATCATCGACGTTTGCTTTGATCGGAACACACCCTCTCCCTCAGCACCGGGGGGAGTTGACCAGTCAGGCCGAGTTGTCAACCACCCAAAGACGCCGCGAGGAAAGAAACCCCGCACCACCTCCACTTCCCTCACTTCCCTCACTTCCCTCACTTTCCTTCCCAAACGCCGACTGGCAAACTGCCACTGACTGGATCGACTCCCACACACCACCTTGGGTTTGTTTTGCCTCCTTATAGGCTGACCCCATTAATGCTCACAGCCTTTGCCCTTCACCGGGAGGGATTTACAATCCAATCACATCAGCAGTCACCTGCGTATGCGCTCTGCTAGCTGCATCCTATTTTGGGGTCGCCTCACCGGACACGATGCGCTGGGTTCGGCAGTCTGTCTGGAATTGGCTCAGCGAATTCGCTGCTCTCCTTCCTCTTACCTCCTCCTCTTGGCTTTGGCTCCTACAGCAGCATCCTTACTACTTTGAAAGGACTAGTCCGGTGGAGTGGAACCAGCCCATCGCAAAATGGACTCATCCGTACAGGGATGATACCTCTTCCTATGCGTGGGGTAGAGGAAGAAGGAATAAGGTACCTCGGCTGGCTGACTGAACTTCAGGAACATGATGGTTATGGTACCTGGAGGGGCGTCGTCCATGGTTACAGTCCATCATTATCCATCGATCCGGTCCGGGCGCGCGTGAATTAGTCCCGTGGATTGTTCCCGAAAGGTCCCGCCCTTCAATTGTCTCCGTCCCTGGGCTTATTCAGAAACAACTACTTACTACTGACTAACTACTTACTACTCCCGGTTCCTCACGGCTATCAAGGGGAAGGAAAAGGAAACCCATGGATGCCCGTCAGTGGTATGGTCTTCCATCCCTCAGGACGGTTATCTTCTGTCACAAGGTGTATCCTGCGAGTTTCGCGGGGTAAGGCCCCGAATCGTGTAGATCTATCAATTTGATCGGCATCAAACGGCCAAAGTTAAAAATGGCTGATACAGAGCATGGCAACATGGCTGGCTTGCTCATCCTGGGATCGTAACTAGTGGTTGCAGGGCTTGTCTTGTACCACGCAATGGCCTGTCAGCCTATCTCGCTTGTCCCACCCCCAGGTTATCCGTGCCCATGACACGCCGCACCGAACGTTCCTCGCCGAGCTGATTGTTCTCGAAGGAGTAATTGGACCCTGTGCAAAGTCATCTGCACCCGATGTCTGCTGCACGGCTCAGCCAACAATTCGCGCCCGCTGTCCATGCAATGATTGTCCCGGCATTAGTTTGCATGGTGCTGCTTCACTTTCGCGATCCCGCGCATCCAATGGGACGCTCTCAATAGCCTTGGATCAAGGGGCGCTGGTGCACCAGCTCTTCGTCAAGGCTCGCAAGTGCAGAACTGATGCAAAACGTTAACAGGAGCTTAAAGCAGCTGTACTCAGGTTCGAAAGCTTTGCCCGGGCTCTGGACCCATCGTCGGCTCGGGCGCGCTGTCAGATGAAGCGCCCATTGTTTTGACTGCCAGGCCGAGCGAGTCGGTTGATGCGGCCCCGACAATTACCCATAGCCGAAATGGTGTGTAGGTGTGTACTACTACAGCATTCGTATGACACGTTCCGATGAACGCTGAAATCCCGGCCTGTTCCTTTGGGGGTGACAGGCAATAAGCAGGGGGCTTCCTGTGAGGCCCATGCCGGTGAGACTCGCTGACCACAATGTCCTATGGTACGTACCTTGCTGCCTCACATCATCCGCCAATGCAGGCCTTCATGTGGGGTGTGGAGGTCCCAAGTGCCTCGTGGTAGAGGTTACCTACGCGTTCAATGTTAGTGTTGCAGTAAGAATTGCGAAACAGGCCCCCCCTCATCAGCCAGCTGCACCCGGGGGGGTTTTACCACGGCGCCCACCACCAATGAAGTTGGCGAATATCAACCCCAACTGCATCTTATCAATCCAGTTTGGCGGCTACCTAGCCTTCTTGAGAATCGGTCGTTACCCACCGACCCCATCACAAATCGGTGGCTACGGCTGAGTGGAGGGATATCAAGGCCTCTTTAGCGCGCTAACCTCACTTCTGTGGCGTTGCTCGGTTTCATCCCACGCCCTGATCCCGGCAGCGTCGTTACGGGCGGGCTGCCTACGTACGCATCTCTTAACCCTTTCAGCTTCTGCCTTCACAGCTGACTCTGGATGTAAAAACTATCTCATGCCTAGCACAGCTAATCACTACAATGAAAATTGGAGGAAGTGGTGACGGTGTGGGTTCAATCCGCAGCATCAGGTCGACCAGACGTCTGCCACCTTGCGACACAGTCAGGTGCTCGAGATGGTGGCTCGGTGCTCATGCTGTGCGATCGTAGGATGTCTCAGCGATTGAACCAGTTCCATCTAGGAAGCGATGCGTGGTGCTGTCTCGACCAAAAGAACAATCGACACCAACAGGTCAGTCGCAGGTTGTTGTGGCGCACTTGCGAAAGCCTCAAGTGCAAAAAACATCTCCCCGACTGGGAGTCGAACCCAGGTCTCCCGCGCTTGTTCCTATTAAGGATTGACAAGCGGAAATCATGACCGTTAGACCATCGAGGATGTTCAGTTGTAACCTGCTTGATTATTCCGCTTCAGAACCTTACATATAGGTCAATCGGAAGATTGGCCAACCCGATTGACATCATAGCTTGTAGCGGAGCAGATCCGTTTCTTTCCAAATCGTGAACCATCCAAGACCCACTGTGGGTAAGGGGCGTCGATAACGATACAGATAACTTGACGATCCGATTCTCCACGCAGACAGCAGCACAGTACACGACACTTTTCTGGGAGCAATAAGGGAGATGGGCTCACAGGGTCCGCTCACACAATGCAGTCAGGAGCCTAAGTAGGAGTTGGTAAGACCCGATGCCTCGTCTCAACCCCGCCACACTCCATTACTGTCACTCATAGGACAGCATCAAGCGCCTCCATTCCGCGGCCTGTTTTGGACAGCTTCTACTCCTGGACTTTGACTGGTGTATGCTCAAAGGAATGGTCATGGCTATGTCCGTCTGGCTCTTGGCACAGACCTCATACTGCTATTACCGTCTCAGAGTGACTTGGTGATCCTGCTCCAGTCTACTAATGAGCAAAGGATGTCATTCACCCACATCACGTTTCAGATGATCTTGTATGGCCATTCGACACCTGGAACTGCCGATTTAATTTGCTGCTTTTGGATTTCAACTTAAGCTCCCAGTGATCATTGTGCTGTTTACATCTCCTCGGCTACCACGCTGCCCCTGCTTTCCTGATCTTCCACTTGTTCCATCCCGGGTTTTCTGGTTCATCAAATGACGGCCCGACACAAGACAAAGAGCAAGGGAGCTAGGGAGCATCACCACCACACCACCGCCTTGCTGCTCTTGAGTCACAGCGTAACTTATTCCCGCTCCTCTACAATGACCGACAACCAGACCCATCAGGCCGGTGTATATACTCAAAACAGTATGGGGCGGAGTGCTCTACATGGCTGAAGTGTCTCCCAAATCCAAGGCAGCCAGTGATGCATCCCACCCGAAACGGTCGGCCATACGTCAAACCGCAGGTCAAAGCTCAAGCTGCCTGCTGCACGACAAGAGATATTCCACCTTGCACAGCCAATCGTCGGAGTTGATGCTAGCCTGGCCATTCAGGACAGACGATATGAGCTACACTTTCTAGCCGTGGGGTTCATTTCCTCCCTTCTCCTCTTCCCAGACTGGTAGTTCTAGATCGACCACAATAGGGGCATGGAACCGCTTCCCACCCCGATGCGGCCAACTGGTCGCCACGATGGCCGCATTGACAATACATGTTTCGCGTCGCCTTAAGTTGGACCCGTCTTCATTCTCAGTTTGTCCTTCTTCTAAGCACAAAGGCCGGAAGGATGACGTTGATTTATCGGCTTCAGAGCCTTGGAATCCTTCAGATGGCCATCCATAAGACGGTAACAGCAGGGCCTTTTGTAATGATTGGAACAGTTGACTGGCTGGCGCTCGAAGGTTGTTGCCGGCAAAGTAATTGTTATCGATTTTGGGTGCCTTCTTGCCCGTGAGATCGACCAGGCTCTGCTTCTTACTGCCCGGGGCAGGCATCATAACTGGATCCTTGTGCTCTTGGACATCCACTGTTGGTGATGACGATGCCTGCGAAGAATACCATCGCACCCTCTCCGAGCCTCGCGACTCGTGTACATGGCCACATACTGCTAGTGATGGCCGAACTTTGCTTAATGCACCCCGCAGGGCTGTGCATCCGACTGAAATGCCTTCAACTCGGCTATCGCAGTGCGAATAAGGCGGCGTATGGGTCACGGTGATATCCGTGTCCAATGGGATGCTGTTCCAAAGCGCACCAGCATCTGAAGACTCGTATCCATACGCCCAAATTCCAGGTGACTGGGAGTATGGAGAGCCAAAGACCTTGAAGATGGTATTTGGGCCGTTAGGCCGGGTCAACCGGATTAGTGCTGACTGGTGCCTGAGATAGACTATCGACGGTGATGCTTGAGTTACTATTTCCAGACACTTCTGGGTATCTTCTAGATGTTCGCCGTGAAAGCTAGACCCGTATTCAGCGTAGAAACCCGGGTCTAGTGTGATATCATGATTTCCTGATGATTACCGGAACTCAGTACGTATTCTTTGGCCGTCGAACTTCCCCGTCTCCTTCAGCCCTACGAATGGCCTTCTCGGACAACAAAGACCGTACTTAGAGGCCCAATATTTGGCAGTCTGGGCGGGAGGGAGACGAACCGCAGCAGATGATTTTGACTTCGAAGTCAGCTGTAGCAATCCAGCTCATTGTCTTACGGAGTTCAGCAGCGCTCCCATGGTTGGTGAGGTCACCAGCATGAATTAAGACATCTCCAGCGGGAAGCTTGAAGCCGGCCTCTGACGGCGTGTAGGCATGCGTATCAGAGACACAGACAAAACGTGTCTTTCGACGCATCTCCAGGCTTTCTTTTCTTGATCCGACGCCCCCTTCGTGTTGAGCTGTCAGCACAGCCCGATGGCGTTACTATTTCAGTCAAGGCTTAGCGAAGCCGTTCTGTGTTACCTAAAGCGGAGCGGACTATAGCTGCAGTGACAAAGGCGTAGTTTCAAATGCTGCCGTCACTCTAAAGTTGTAGTTCGACATCAGCTGTCGTCCATATACGGATGTCAGCCCTAGGCACAGAATTTGCTAGAAGGTTTTAGCACGGTACCCCGAGGATTGTACCACCTGACGAAAGGACAAGCCTGGCTCATATTTTTATGTGAATTAACATTAAGCAGCAGATGGAAATGCAACAAGGTGCGCCCATGTGCCATCAGGCCATGCTGAGTCAGCGGTCTGGCCAATGAACTCCGAAAGTCTCCGCCTGGCCCGTCGGAGGCATCCGGCATCAGCCACCAATAATCGGGCGCCAATCTCACCCCCGAACAAGCCGAGTGGAACCGCCTCTCACCATTACATGATGGAGGAATCACGCTTCAGCGACCTCACGATACAACCTTCCCCTGTTCCCCTCCCCTTCTGACCTCACCCTGCCCAGCCGCCGTTATCTTAGCTGCATTCTTCCGCATCAATATTATTGCTAGCTGTGGCTGAGGGTCAACCGTCAGCCCCTCTGCTTCATGATGCCTCGCTGGAAGCGCAGTAAACCGCGCCCCGAGAAGGATGCAGCAATCAGCGGCGGCAATTCCGGTGTATCCCCCGACTCCCCTACGGCTCATTCTACAGCTGTGGCCTCCCTTCGCGCTGTTAGTGGCTGTTCTCCCGATGCCATGAGAACGACAGCAGTAACCCAAGACCAGGCACCATCCGACCCAGAAGCGATTCGAAAGCTAGCCAAGCAGCACGCCGAGTTCGGACCCCTGGGCGATCCGTCACATCTCTACACCAGCGAGCATCCCGGCGGAGAGATTCCTGACCCGGTCATTGATGAGCCTCCGTACTTCGTCGTTCTGACCACCTACGTCAGCTTTCTCGTGCTGATCTTCCTTGGCCATTTCCATGATTTCGTGGACAAGTGGTTTCGCTCCCATACTTACCGGCACTTGAAGCCCCAGAATGGCTATGCGTCGTTGTACAGCGACTTCGAGAGTTTCTATACGCGACGCTTGAAGCAACGGATTAATGACTGCTTTGAGAGGCCGATCGTTGGTGTTCCGGGCAGACATGTTACGTTGTTGGACCGGACGACTGAAGACAATCTTCATTTCAGACTTACGGGCACGACGACGGATACGCTCAATCTGAGTTCGTATAATTACCTGGGTTTTGCTCAGTCGGAAGGCCCATGCACCGACTATGCCGAGGAGGTACTCCGGCGGGATGGCATTTGCATTGCATCGACTCCCGAGGGAGGAATCACGAAGCTGCATGCCGAGGTGGAAGATCAAATTGCCCGATTTGTGGGGAAAGAAGCCGCCGTTGTGTTCTCCATGGGCTTTGTGACGAATGCGACTATTTTTCCCTCCATCATGGAAAAGGGATGTCTGATCCTGTCTGATGAACTCAACCATGCGTCCATCCGGTTTGGTGCCCGTCTGTCTGGCGCGGCTATTCAGGTCTTCGCGCACAACAACATGGCCGACCTCGAGAAGCGTCTCAGGGAGGCAATCTCTCAAGGTCAGCCTCGCACGCATAGGCCGTGGAAGAAGATTCTTGTTACCGTGGAGGGTCTGTTTTCTATGGAAGGTACCATGTGCAATCTTCCTCGGATACTGGAATTGAAGAGGAAGTACAAGTTCCACCTTTTTGTTGACGAGGCACACTCCATTGGAGCTGTTGGACGTCACGGACGCGGAGTTTGCGACTACTTCAAAGTAGACCCGGCGGAAGTCGACATCCTGATGGGAACGTTTACCAAGTCCTTCGGGGCGAACGGTGGTTATATCGCGGCCGACAAAGCCATCATTGACAAGATCCGCTGCACAAACGCTGGTCAAATCTTTGGAGAAGCACCATCGCTTCCTGTCCTGGCTCAGATCTACTCCTCGTTGCGACTCATTGCTGATGAGGATCCTCTTCACCCGGGCGAGGGACGGGAGCGGATGCAGCGCTTGGCCTTCAACTCGCGCTACCTTCGGCTCGGATTGAAGAGACTGGGTTTCATCGTGTACGGACATGATGATTCTCCAATCGTGCCCTTGATGCTGTACAACCCTGCCAAGATGCCTGCCTTCTCGCGAGAAATGCTGCGACGCAAAATCTCTGTGGTTGTTGTGACCTACCCTGCCACGCCCCTGGAGCTGTCACGGGCGCGACTCTGCATCTCAGCCGCGCACACTAAAGACGATCTGGATCGCATCCTGCAGGCGTGCGATGAAATAGGCGATGCATTGGAGATCAAATTCTCTTCGGGCATTGCAGGTGGCCTGAGGGAACCATTGTCTGCGCACGATAGCTCGAAGGGACCCAGGACGATTGAGCCTCCCCGTTGGCCTCTCGAAGAGGTCATTGCGAGGGGTACTTACGACGCAAATCAGCCTTTATATTAGGTGGATGTCACCGCTTAATGTGATTAGAAATAGGATATTCTAACGCCGCATGATGTTCAAGAATATACACGCCAAGAACATATAGCTAATGCCCTCTTTTGGATTCGACTTGGGCGTTACGGGTTGTTTGAATTCTTTCGCTCCACGAAAAAACGCCGGCATGTGAAGACGCCAAAGCGTACTTGATGATATTAATATTAATGTATACAATAATGTTTTCTTTCTAGACAATATACAAACCCGGAGATCTTGTTCATATGGCGCTTACTCTTTTAGATAATAAGAATACTATGCTAATCAGAGGTCATTTTCTGATTGAGTTGCAATAAGAGTTCCATTTGCTGTTCTTGGGCATGAATGCGACCGTGGGAAAATTCATATTGTTGAGTTTGAGTACTAGTAATAAGGAGTGCCTGAACTGTCTGGGGGAAGACTGGGTCTCTATCTAGTGTCGCGATACAGTATTTGCGGGGTGGACTTAGCATTGGTGTCGATGGAACATGACGGCACGCATAGTCACAATGAAGTCTAGCATTCAAGGGGTGGAATAAGTTACACCCACTCCCAATACAAGTCGATGTAATACTAAGCCAACCTATCAGACCTCCATGGCCAAACCCAGAACCACATGGACATTAGGACTCGCATAATAACAACCATAATAGATAAAGAAAATCAAAGGGCCCCTTGACGATCCGGAACGGTTCACGTGACCTACAAGCCACGGGCGTTAGGGCTGTGGCCCTCGAACGGGGCTCTTCCCGCACAAAGAGGAAGTAGCGCCGCTCGCTTAGCGACGACCAGCGAACTCATCCGACATCGTTGTGTGCGTTGAACCTAGCCCACCAACGACAACAACCGCCGACAACATACATCCCAAGGGAGTATCCTAGAGCAGCGCTCTTCCTTTCGCTGGATATATCCTTTTTGAACCGGTGACAGAGAGCAGGATGTCCGCCATCGAGCCAGTCGTGCGTACCGCCCCATCCCGAAACCTATCATCCACATATACATACAATCTCCTTGAAATTGAATATACACACACAAAGACATGTCAAAAGGAAGAGGGCGTCACAGGGCTCTGGAGTCGGGGAATTCACACATATATACAAAAGTACAATTTGTCGCTGACTTGAGTTCTTGGGTTTTTCGCAGGTCGTCATTGACGGCAAGGGACACCTCTTGGGTCGCCTGGCCAGCACTGTTGCTAAGCAGCTGCTCAACGGTCAGAAGATCGTCGTCGTGAGATGTGAAGCCCTCAACATCTCCGGCGAGTTCTTCCGCGCGAAGCGTATGTTCTATCCGACCCGGTTTCTTTTCGATTTCACTTTGCAATATGGATTTTTCTTTGGGATGGCTGGGAAGAAGAATGGGGAATTGTGCGACGAGTTGCGGCATATTGAGGAGGACATCGACAATTGCATGGAATAGCTGTGGAGGAACAAGCAACACATCTATGCTGGTGGACAAACGGGCTGACCTGGATTTCGCGATATAGTCAAGTACCACGCCTACCTTCGCAAGATGACTCGTTTCAACCCCACCCGCGGAGGTGAGACTACCCGATGACTTTCCCCCTTACGATAGGGGGAAAGACGACGTTTGATTGCTTTTTGGGACTCAGTGCTGAATCGCTACAGGTCCCTTCCACTTCCGTGCCCCCTCCCGCATCTTCTACAAGGCTGTCCGCGGCATGATCCCCCACAAGACCGCCCGTGGTGCCGCCGCTATGGAGCGCCTGAAGGTTTTCGAGGGTGTTCCTCCCCCCTACGACAAGAAGAAGCGCGTTGTCGTTCCCCAGGCTCTGCGTGTTCTCCGCCTGCGCCCCGGCCGCAAGTACTGCACCGTTGGTCGTCTCAGCCACGAGGTTGGCTGGAAGTACCAGGACGTTGTTGCCAGGTACGTTTATGCTGCATTGGAGAGGATGAGTTGGGAGAATTGGATTAGTGGGTGCAGAAAGCTAACGGATTCGTTTTTTCTACTTGTACAGACTTGAGGAGCGCAGAAAGGTTAAGAGCAGTGCATACTACGAGCGCAAGAAGGCCGCTCGCCGCCAACTCGTCCACGCCCAGAAGTCGGCGGGTGTTAACGAGCAGACCAAGAGCCAGCTCGCTTCCTACGGATACTAGATACCTAGTTGCGCGGCTGGTTGCTTGTGTTTGTGATGGGATGGGATGGGATCGCGAAACGGTTCTCTGCGAAGAAGATGGACAGCAAACCGATCGACCTTTTTCTCACTGTCCCTACCTTTTCATGAAATACCACAATTCTTATGTTGTGACGCACATGGAGGCTGGAGAGATCGATTCTTTCTACAAAAAAAATACAGGAGTCACTTGGGATGAAAGGTTGTTCAAAATAGCTGACCCGTTATTTCGCGCCGTGGCGGTTTAATCCAAGAATTTCTTTTCAAGAGTTCAAATGACTTTGCTGTGACGAATCCGATGCACCATTTACCACCGCTACTACTTACTACTGGCCCCTTGCAATTATGTGTATTTCTAGCCCGCCCCCGGACGGAGAGAGAGAGTACTGCCTATCTTGTACTTGATTTGCGATATGCGACTACCCAGGATGCCGGACGAGGCTCCATGTTCCATCACCTACCATGCCGTGCCCACGCGATGCTGCCCCTATTCTGTTCCAGTGTAGAATGATGCCCTGAGCGCCACCGATTGCCAGTCTAGACGATGTGTAGGATGTCCCTTGGAGCCGTATCAGTGACCCAGTAGAACCCCAATTTGCCCATTGGAGTTCCGATATCCACTCCTACGATAACCGATACAGATAGTAGAGATAGATCACGATACCGCCTGGACAGCGGATAGGATCACAGGATCCACCTCTCCCTCAGAATAGTGGTCCCGACTTAGTTATTATCGCCTGACGTATTAAGTGACCATCTGTCTGATTTCTACTTACCTCATATCTAGATAGATTAAATAATCCTCATCAGCCATTCCGCACTAACATAGCTGCAGACTCTCAAACACCGGTCTCGTCCAATTGATCATTAGAGGCCATTAGCGCTGGTTCCCATATGACAGGCTGGTAATTGGCTGACTTGCAGAATTTTTTTTTCAGTGGGTTTGTGCGAATCATGATCCCTGTTTGTATTCTGCATACTACGTAGTTTCTTTCTTCTTCAGTATATGTACCTCAGTTGTAAAGAGGGTTCAAAGCACGGGCACGCGAAGAGTGTGACCAATTGACCATAGATTGAATTCGGCCCCGAGATTTGTTCAACTAAGTGGGTACAGACAGGCACTACGGAGTACGGACAGGAAAAACTGTGGGTGGAAACGGATCCGGATCCGGTGAGTTTAGTCTACAGTTTATTAACGTATCTGTGTCTGTCAATGGCTCTGAGGAAGCAATAATGGTATGATGGTGGTATTGAGTAAATAAACCAATTGATTTGTGTTCAAAATAGTAGGATGATACTTCTTCAGGATATTTATTTCTTGAGACTCATCATACACAAGGAATGTTGAACAGACCTTTGTCAGGTATAGATGGTCCTCCCGGCACTAGTAGTTCCAGCCCCAGCCCAGCCCAAGAATTGGTCCCCGTCCGCTTTTCCCTTCTCCGTCTCCGCTTACCGACGGTGATGGATGATCTGCTTCCCCCGCATCTTGTTCCTCTCTTTTTACTTTACTATTACTATTACTACTACTGTCTATTGTAGTACTACTTACCCAGTCGTATTTAGTCTATTACCCTCGGTTCGGAGGTATCCCTCACTAAAGATCAAATGTCCCCTCCCTTTCCCTTTTCCTCCTCTCATCCTCCACCTCCTTCTCTTCTCCTCATCACATCCCTCTTCTCGTCACACACACACACACACACACTTGATTATCCCCTCTTTCTTCCTCTCTATTGGCCATTAATTCCACAGATCCCCAAACATTACTTACTTAGTAGTACTGGCCCTCCCCTCTTGAATCAATTCAACCATGTCTTCCGCCAAAGATAGATTATCCGGCCTCTTAGGCCATCTTATCCCTTCCTCTTCTTCTTCTTCTTCCGCACCATCTACACCCCATACCCAAGGTCCTTCTATAGATCAGGGGCAGAATAACAATAACAACAAAGTCAACTTCCACACACTCTCGCCCGCGTATTTCCTGCAGAGGTCGGCGGCGATTGAACCGGACGTAAGTTGATCTACATTGTGTTCCAACTGAATAGGCGGTGCAATTTAAAAACGTTAGCGAATTGTGGCTAAATGATGTCTCTTTTTGGTGGTTGTAGGCAGAAGCTATCTACCACATCACATCCGATGGTCAGGAACTACGACGAACCTACCTCGAATTTGCGGACCGGGCAAGAGGATTAGCGTATTTCTTGAAGAAGCGCGGCTTCAAGAGAGTCGGCATTCTGTGTCCGAATACCCCGGCTTTCTTGGAGTCTATTTTTGGGATTGGGGCCGCGGGGGCGGTGAATATTGGTGAGTCCATTTTTCTCTATTTACTTTGTGTTTTGCTTTTGTTATTTGAAATAAGGAGTATACGCTGACGGTTATACCCTCTGCTAGCTGTGAACTACCGACTTAAAGAAGATGATATCGCTTATATATTTACGCATTCGGAAGCGGAGGTGATCATTGTGGATAAGGAATTTCTGCCCTTGCTGCGCGTATATAGGGAGGCGAAGCCGGAGACTCCCATCATTGTTGATACGGATACCGATGCCGCGGAGGGCCAATTGTCGGGTCCCTTTGACGAGGCGGTTTTGGAAGGTCTCAAGTACGATATTGCTACCGGAAACAAGGGCTGGGAGGGGCTACAGGCTCAGGCTGGTTCGGAAGATGATGTTGTTGCTTTGGCATATACGAGTGGGACGACGTCGCGGCCGAAGGGTGTCGAATATACAAATCGGGGTGCCTATTTGGCAGCTTTGGGGAATGTGGTTGAGTCTGGGTTGAATGTGTTTAATGGTCGTTGTCGGTATTTGTGGATCTTGCCGATGTTTCATGCTGTTGGTGGGTGCTGTTGAGCTCAATTGCATTTCGTGGATGGCTACTGATATTGTTTTCTAGGTTGGACGTTTCCATGGGCTGTTACTGCTGCGCGCGGTACGCACTATTGCCTGCGCAAGGTGGACTATGGGCAGATTTGGAAGTTGTTCAAGAACGAGGGTATCACCCATTTTAATGCGGCCCCTACGGTGAACACGCTGCTTTGCAATCACCCGGATGCTGAGCCACTGTCAACGCCGGTTATTGTCCAAGTGGCGGGTAGTCCGCCTACGCCTCATCTGTTCGAGCAGATGACCAGTCTGAATCTGCGTCCCGTGCATGTCTACGGTATGACGGAGACGTATGGTCCTACCACCAGGTGCTATATGCTACCCGCATGGAATCAATTACCACGAGACGAGAAGTTCCGGAGGATGGCCAGGCAAGGCCATGGTTTCCTGACCAGTCTGCCAACGCGGGTCATCAAAACGGATGTGCCTGAGGGCACCATCATCGACGTCAAGCAAGACGGCAAGGAGATAGGCGAGATTGCGTTTGTTGGGAACATCTGTGCTCAAGGTTATTACAAAGATGCCGAGGCGACGCGGAAGCTCTTTGCTGGTGGCGTTCTTCATTCGGGCGACTTGGCTGTCTGGCATCCCGATGGAGCAATCCAGATCCTGGACCGAGCCAAAGACATTATCATCAGCGGTATGAGGACACCTTGACTATTGTGGTAGCCTTCGTAGGAATCTGGGCGGTGCATGCTAACGTCGTACAGGAGGCGAAAACATATCGTCTGTCGCACTGGAATCCATGCTGGTGACTCACCCGGACATTTTGGAGGTGGGCGTGGTGGCAGTGCCTGACACACATTGGGGAGAGCGACCCAAGGCGTTTGTAACCACGAAGCAAGGTCGGCACCTAGAGGGGAAAGAGGTGATTGACTGGGCCCGGAACCAAAGTCAAATCAGCAAGTTCATGCTTCCGCGGGAGGTGGAGGTGGTGGCGGAACTACCCAAGACGAGTACGGGGAAAATCAGGAAGAATGTTCTTCGGGACTGGGCGAAAGGGGCACCGCGATGAACCCTAAGCTGAGGGTTGGGTTGGGTTGTGCCCAGGAGAGGGGAAGGAGGGATGGTGTGATGGTGTGATATAGAATAGAAACTGCGTGGTGGTTATTTATAGGGCTATATGTAAGTGAGGTTGTTATAGACTGGGAGGGGGACTCGCTATCACGGTCCGTGTACTTTCCCTTGTTCTTGGATAGCATAGACATTTTGAATGTTTTGATCCGGATTTTTCATTCTTCTGAGATTGAACTTGGGACTTATGAGCCGTGAAGAAAGTACAGGTATTTTTAGACGCGAGTTGAAGATGGAGCGGAGCGCACAGACATCCCCGGGGTCTCGGTGATGCCCTGAAGAGGAGAGAGTTGGACAACAGTGGCATTGTTTGGGCGACGGACAACAATGAAACGGGATATGCAAGTAATGTTTGATGGATGAATCAGGCTACCCAAATGGAAACTTAACACAGATCGTCACATAGTGAAGCACTCAAGTGCGTCGATAGTACTTTGTAGCAGTTGTGCTGTCTTTGGGCGCATCAGAGAGGCAGGCAGGCAGGCATACTTACTATGCTCCCTCTGCCAGCATCCAGGCCCCGAATCAAATAACCCCAGCCTATCGTCTGTGCACAGGGCAGGGCGTCAAAGGGAATGCCTTAATTCACTATCCAATACAATAAACCTCCCTCAGTTAATTGATCATCTTCACGCCACTAGGGAAAGTCAAGATTGGGCAGTGCTGGTTGCTGCTGAGGCTTACCTCACCAGGCACAGTGACGGTGGGCTGCCGACCGGGGCTAAGATGCCCCCTCTCTTCTTCTCTCACTCTCTTCTCTTTCCCTTTCACATATCGTCACACCCGCCCATGCGATAGTTACCCGCCGCCCTGCTTTGCCTGCATCCCTCCCTCTCCCTCACCCTCTCTCCCCTCTTCCTCCTCTGGTAGAACACTCATCTACCTCACAAGCCTCTCCCTTTTCCCTCAATATTTCACCTTTCCTACCGAATCTCTCTACTAAATCCCCCAGCTTGCCTCTTCCACGACTGGCGCCTTCTCTTGCTCCCCTCGCATGCCCTTCCGACGCTGGGCCTCCTCCACACCCCTCCTCTCTCCCTTCCTTGCCTTCCGCTCGCCTCCTCCTCCCTCAGCTGCAACTGCTGCAGGCACGCCCGACGCGCGTTCTCTCTTATAAGCGCCCTTAATCCGCTGTTCGCTCAAGTGGAACTCGATTCTCCTTCGCTGACTTGGGTCTTATTGGACATCGACCCTTTCCTTCCACATCCCTCACGACCGGCTTCGATCTCAGGAACCAACCGCTCTTACACCTGCAGACCACACCCCCCCCCCCCCCCCGGTTGGATCCACTCGCATCGGACCCAACGCGCATCCCACTCGCTCTCTCTCTGTGTGTGACGACAGTCGATGAGACACATTCCATGCCGATCAGCCTTCCATATTCACGGTGAGCGAAACCAGGACGCAACTGAGCACGACCAGGGCTCCGTTCCCGCACACTTGATCCCCATCCCGACGGCGGTCCTAATGCCCCGCCAAAGGCAACCCGCTCGGTTCTCGAGCGAAGCTCCCTCCGAATCCTCGACCTCGTCGACGTCTCCGGATCGCACTGCAGACGAGGATACCGACTTCTTCACAGCCCAGGCGAATGACTCGCAATCGTCGGTCGGCGTCGCGACCCGTGATGCCCATCCCCACCATGACGCCGACTTGTACCTGCCGCCGATCGGGCGTCTACCCCCGGAGATTCTCATCGCCATCTTCGCGAAACTGTCTTCGCCCTCCGACATGTTGAGCTGCATGCGCGTATGCAGGGGATGGGCAGCGAACTGTGTGGGCATTCTCTGGCACCGGCCTTCGTGCAACAACTGGGACAACATGAAGAGCATCACGGCTTCGGTGGGCAAATCGGACAGCTTCTTTCCCTACTCGCAGCTGATCCGGAGACTCAACCTCTCCGCGCTGACGGACGATGTCAGTGATGGTACTGTGGTGCCCTTTGCCCAGTGCAACCGCATCGAACGTCTCACGTTGACCAACTGCTCGAAACTTACGGACAAGGGTGTGTCGGACTTGGTGGAAGGCAATCGGCATCTGCAGGCTTTGGATGTCTCTGATCTGAAACACCTTACGGATCATACTTTGTATACGATAGCTCGGAACTGTGCGCGGCTGCAGGGCCTCAATATCACGGGATGCGTGAATGTAACGGACGACTCGTTGATCACGGTGTCTCGGAATTGTCGACAAATCAAAAGGGTAAGCGCTTGTGCTGGTGTATCTGTACCATGTTTTGGGGCTCGACTAACCTAGCGCAGTTAAAACTGAACGGAGTGACGCAGGTTACTGACAAGGCCATCTTGTCGTTCGCCCAAAGTTGCCCGGCCATCCTGGAGATTGACTTGCACGACTGTAAGCTCGTCACCAACCCGTCGGTGACATCGCTCATGACGACGCTCCAAAACCTGCGCGAGCTACGACTAGCCCACTGTACAGAGATCGACGACACGGCTTTCCTGGAGCTCCCCCGGCATCTGTCGATGGACAGTCTCCGCATTCTTGACCTGACGTCATGCGAGAGCGTCCGGGACGATGCCGTTGAGCGCATTGTGGCTGCAGCCCCGCGACTACGGAATCTGGTGCTGGCCAAGTGTCGGTTCATCACCGATCGTGCGGTCTGGGCCATTTGCCGGCTCGGCAAGAATCTACACTACGTCCATTTGGGCCACTGCTCCAATATCACTGATGCCGCGGTGATTCAGCTGGTCAAGTCTTGCAACCGCATCCGGTATATCGATCTGGCCTGCTGCATTCGTTTGACGGACACGAGCGTGCAGCAGCTGGCCACATTGCCCAAGCTGCGGCGAATTGGCTTGGTCAAGTGCCAGAATATTACGGACAATAGCATTCAGGCCTTGGCAGGATCCAAGGCGGCCCACCATTCAGGGGGCGTCAGTAGCTTGGAGCGGGTGCATCTGAGTTACTGCGTTCGCCTAACGATTGATGTATGTTTCTGAGGGAGCCTCTACTTGGCATTTGATAGCATGCTGACTAGCGCACAGGGAATTCATGCTTTACTTAATAGCTGTCCGCGATTGACACACCTGAGTCTGACGGGCGTTCAGGCTTTCCTGCGGGAGGAGCTGACGGTCTTCTGTCGCGAAGCACCTTCGGAGTTCACGCATCAACAACGAGAGGTATTCTGCGTGTTCAGCGGCGAAGGCGTCAACCGCCTGCGCGACTTCCTGAACCGCATCATTGCGCCTCCCCCGCCGCCGCGAGACATGACCGAGGCCACGATGTATGACGATGATGAAGAGCTAGAGGACGAGGAAAACCAAGTGACAGGCTTGATGCATGCGACCGCCGCGACGGCCATTCACGACGACGACTACATTGACATTGGACATACCCATGGTTGATACCCCCGCCTTCTTACAGCGAGTCTATTCACATCGGAGCCTATCATTTTGCACTTGCTTGCTTTTATTTTTCGTGGCCTGTGTTGTACTTATTCGCGCTTTGCCCTAGGGGAGGGTTGATCTTCCCTCCTGGCTGTTGCAATGGCTATTCGGAAATTTGCATCGGATCGCGGCTCATGGGGAGCTGCCTTCTAGGACAGAGGGAGGCTGTGGTTTATTTCTCTTTCATTTCTCTTTCTCATTCGATTGGGACGAACATCTCTGTGGACTTTCCCTTTTACCGGAATGATATATACCAGGCGATGGCATGGTGCTGTAGAGAAGCAATCCACGGTGTGCGTGAGTGTATGGGGGGAAAGAGCAAGGGAGCGAGAGACTAGATAGAGTATCTATTGTTATCTGCAAAGGATGGCAGAGCGACCATGTGCATGGACGGAGTTTTAGCTAGCAGCATTTGAATCCCAGCATCGGCTTATTTTTATGGTGACTTTTTTATCTCCGAGTGTATACAGTGACCGGAAGTACTTAATGAACAGTTAGTGGTACAACGTCACTTTCCCCACCGCCTTTCCGCCCACTTGATCATCAATCAATCGGCGTCTCCTCACTTCCTCCGCATCGCTGCTCCAACACTAACCCAGCACTCCTGCAGAGCTGCAATCCTCCGATGGCTCCTCTCAGGCTATCGCGAGCCAATCCACTGGCCTTCACTCCCTGGCCCGTCACCCTGATCACCACCGTCGTCTATCTCGCCTTCCTCATCCCACTGCTTATCGTGCATCATGTCGTCCCCTCGCCTCCAACTGCCAACCCCAACGGTCTCGACCTCACCCAAGCCTGGGCCGATCTCCAAGTCCTAACCGACGGCTTCCACCCGTACAATTCCCGTCGCAACGACGAAGTCCACACCTGGCTCCTGCAACGCATCCACGAGATCCTCGACGCCGCACCTTCGGCCGACCAGTACCTCTCCGTCGATGAGGAGAAGCCGAAGCCCGCCGTCTTCGTCTTTGACGATACGCAATCCAACCTCTCCTTCGTGGGCAACTCCCTGTCCAGCTCCAACACCGCCGTTTACTTCGAGGGCACCAACATCCTCGTCTACATCCGCGGAACGGACGATGATCCCGAGAACTGGTGGGAGGAACCCAACGGTGTGCCCTCCGGCAAGGGCGGCGTGCTGGTCAACGCCCACTACGATAGCGTTTCAACGGGATACGGCGCCACCGATGATGGTGTCGGTGTCGTGACTTGCTTGCAGCTGATTCAATACTTCATGACACCGGGCCATGCGCCGCGGAGGGGCCTGGTAGTGCTGCTGAACAATGGTGAGGAGGATTATCTAAATGGCGCGCGCGTGTACGGCCAGCATCCGATCGCTAAGTTCCCCCATACGTTCCTCAATCTGGAGGGTGCGGGGGCTGGTGGTCGTGCTATCCTCTTTCGCAGCTCGGATACCGAGGTCACTCGTACGTATATGAGTTCGAAGTATCCGTTTGGGTCGGTGTTGGCGGCGGATGGGTTTGCGACGGGTCTTATTGCTAGTCAGACGGATTATGTGGTGTTTGAGGGGGACTTGGGCCTGCGGGGATTGGATGTTGCGTTTATGGAACCGAGAGCTAGGTATCATACGGAGCAGGATGATTCGAGACATACGAGTAAGAGCTCGCTCTGGCACATGTTGTCTGCGGCGGTTGCGACTACGGAGGGATTGGTCTCGGATAAGAGTGCGCAGTTTGATGGCGCGCCCAGGGATGATGCAAAGGTTGCGAGCGGGTCGGGATCCAAGGCTGTGTGGTTTGATCTGTTTGGGACGACTTTCGTTTTGTTCGAGCTGCATACGCTGTTTGCGCTCTCGGTGACGCTGCTCGTGGTTGCGCCGCTGGCTCTGCTGGTGACGGGCATTGCGCTGACCCGCGCGGACAAGATGTATTTGTTTAGAACGACTGCAAAGACGGATGATGGCCTGGACTCGACTTCTCTGCGGGGTCTACGCGGTTTCTTCCGGTTTCCGTTCCTCTTTGCGATCCCTACGGCTGTCACTGTTGGTCTGGCGTACCTGGTGACCAAGGTTAACCCGCTGATTATCCACAGCAGCGAGTATTCCGTCTGGAGTATGATGCTGTCTGCCTGGATCTTTTTGGCTTGGTTTGTCTCGCGGGTGGCTAACACTGCTCGTCCCTCTGCGCTGCACCGCATCTACACCCTGACCTGGATGTTCGTGCTGGCCTGGGTACTCCTCGTCATCTCCACGGTCTACCAGAACCAACGCGGCCTGGCCGGCGGCTACTCCGTCTTCTTCTTCTTCTGCGGCACCTTCCTCGCCACTTGGATCTCCTATCTGGAGCTCTTCTCCCTGCCGCGCAAGTCCGAGTTCGCGAACCAAAACCGGCCGATGTCCCGCCGGGCCAGCAGCTACGGCGGCAGTCGGCTAGGCACAGCATCAGGCGAAGACCACGAGGAGGACGACCACGACGCCGAAGAAGAGGAAGAGGAGGAACATGAGCCCACCGAATCGACCTCCCTACTCGGAGGCGGCCAGCGCACCACCTTCGCCAACTACGTCCGCGTTTCCGGCGACCACCGCGGCTCTGACACCGACGAGCACCACCACTACCCAGGCGTCTACGAGAACGAGCAACGCTGGAGCGGCTCGCTCCCAGCCTGGATCTGGACCCTACAATTCCTCCTCATCGCGCCGCTAGTCCTCATCATGGTCGGACCCCTCGCTCTCCTCCTGACCAGCGCCCTCCACCAGACCGGCCAAGACGGCAGCTCCTCCCTATTCATCTACGTCGCCATCGCAGCCCTAACCACATACCTCCTCACGCCCCTCCTCCCCTTCATCCACCGCCACACCTACCACCTCCCCGTCTTCCTTCTCCTCGTCTTCCTCGGCACTTTGATCTACAACCTCGTCGCCTTCCCCTTCTCCCCGACCAACCGCCTCAAACTCTTCTTCATCCAAGACATCGACCTCACCACCGGCTCCACCACCGCCTCCCTCGCCGGCGTCCAACCCTACGTCCACGCCGCCGCTTCCACCCTCCCCAGCACGACTAACCAAAACATCAATTGCACTGAACACACCACCCGCGGCACCAAATGCGCCTGGCCGGGTCTCGCCCCGCGCGTTGTCCCAGACACACCATACTCCGACTGGCTCGACTTTACCATCTCCCAGCAACACAACACCACCACCACTGAAACCAAAGACAACGACAATGACGAAGATACCCACCCAAAGCAAGCCCGCATCACCTTATCAGGCCGCAACACCCGCGCCTGCAAACTCCTCTTCGACTCGCCCATCTCCTCCTTCTCCGTCCTCGGCTCCGCCACGGATCCCCGCTTCCCAACGACTTCTCCGCACGGCACGAAGGAGATCCGTCTATGGAGTAGAGAGTGGGAGAATGAATGGGTCGTGGATGTTGCGTGGTCGAGTAGCAGCAATACTACTTCTACTTCTACTACTGATGATGATGGAGAAATCAAATTAACCGGCAAAGCAGTCTGTCTCTGGAGCGACAACAACTCAAAGGGCGTCATCCCCGCGTTGGATGAAGTCAGACAGTTTGCGCCCAATTGGGTGGCGGTTAGTAAGGCTGCGGATGGGTTGGTGGAGGGGTGGAAGGCATTTAGCATTTGATGTATTCATTTTTTTTTTCTTAGTTTGGAAGTTAGGTGGTGAATACTTACCCTCTCTCTTTCTTTGTTGTTGTGTGTGGTCTTGTGTTTGTTTGTTTACTTGTTTTTGTTGCTGTTTGCCTAGCTGGCTAGCTTACTTACTTTTGTTTTGTTTTTTCTATTGTTTCATCGTTCTATTGAGTGATTGACTGATTGTGTTGATTGATTATGAGGCGATAAATTCCATGCGTTGCGTTGCAATGAGATAAGAGTATATCTCATTCATTCACCATCATCACTATATCTCCCTTTCTACACTTCTACACTCGGCACTACGTTACTACTACATCTCATCATCACTACATGTTTGAAAAAACCCAGTATGGCATTGTAGCAATACAGGTATAATACATTAACTGGGAGCGAGAATCAGGTGTGTGTGTGAAAACAGTAGAAAGAACTAGGATACATGTTGGTTTGGTAAAAAGGTAGAGATGTAGATGTAGGTGTAGATGTAATAGGTGAAAGACAAGATGAGAAAGAAGAAAGGAAGTAGAAAAAGGGAAAACAAATCTATCTTCAAATTTCAAGGCCGTCCGTCCGTTCCATTCCAAAGGGGGAAAGTTAATCTCGTAGCACTCCGAATCATTCGTTCAATCAATGAGTTAGGTCTTGATAAAAAAAGGAGAAAAATAAGACAAAAACACAAGGAGTAAGAATGGTAGAATAACATGGTAAGGTAGATAAGATAAAACCAAATGTCAAGTCAACTCCACGCCGGCTTCCCTGATAAAGAAAGTAGTTTAACACAACACCGCGTAATGGATGGATAAAGTGGTAGATAGGAAAGGAGAGAGAGGATCCCTGAACGCCTTGCTGGATTTTTCTTTCTTTTGGTACATGGATGTGTGTGTATGCGAGGATGATGAAGGGGATGATGTAAGTAGTAAGTACTAGCGCTGCTTGTTGCAGATGCTAGGGTATTGGCATGCCCTGGATTGGGAGGGCGGTTGGGGAGGTTGGTCATGACTTCATTGTGGCCAGGAACGAGTCCAGGTTGTATTCTTCCTGGTATTGGCGGTCGTCCCAGAGCTCGCCGAGATCGTCTAGCCAGCCCTTCTTGCCCTTTTCTTTGACTTCGCCGTCGATGTCGACCATGTCTACTTCGTTGCCGGCTTGCTCGTTGGGTTTCTCGGCGTTGTCGGCCGTTTCTCCGAGGTTGAAGAGGTCCAGAAGTTGGTCGGTGTCCATTGTATTTAGGCCCGCGTTTTGTTGATTGACCACTGTGGAGGCCACGTCGATCTTGAATCGTTGGAGACTAGAGAACGGTTAGTATTGGCAAAATAGATCGCTAACTGTAGGAGCAACTTACTTCAGGATCTTCTCCTCCAGAGTACCGCGTGTGATCAACCGGTACACGTTGACAACCTTCTTCTGACCGATACGGTGAGCACGGTCCATAGCTTGGATATCCTTCTGCGGGTTCCAGTCGTGCTCCACGAAGATGACTGTGTCGGCTCCCGTCAGGTTCAGACCCAAACCACCAACGCTGGTCGTCAAGAGCAGAACATCGTAGCTGGGATCCGAGTTAAAGCGGTTGACAATGTCCTGACGCTTGGTAGCTTCCACGCCACCGTCAAGGCGGAGATACTGAACCGAGGGAAGAAGCTTGCGCAGCACTTCGCTTTGGACGATGTCAAGCATCTCCTTCATCTGACAGAACACCAGAGCACGGTGTGGGCTCACATAGCTTGCCCCGGTGCCGAGATCACCCTCAGTGGGTGGGTCGACACCGATGCCACAGTCGAGTAGCAGGTCGCGTAGAGCGCTGAGCTTCGGTGCATGGGACACATCGCGGATATGGGACTGTTTCGTGGTGAGGTATTGCTGGACCTCGTTGTACTGCTTGTGTCCTTCTTTCACGACCAGCGCAGGGGAGTTGCAAAGGCGGCGCATGTATTGCAGTGCTTGGAAGATGTGCTCTTTGTCGGATTTCTCGGAGCTACCCAGCTTGTTTGCCAGTTCCTTCTGCTCCTTCTTGGTAAAGTCCTCGAAAAGTCTCTTCTGGAGGTCACTAGGGTCACAGTAGTAGTTCTGAATGATTTTCGGTGGCAGATCATTCAGGACCTCCTCCTTCAGACGACGAAGCAAGAACGGAAGCACCTGCTTGTGCAAGGCCTCAATAGCAAGAGCGCCGGCCTCTTGTTCCTTGGAAGACGACTTGCTGAAGCGACTAGCCGCGATTGGCTTGGCAAACCGATCTAAGAAGACCTTCTCTGTACCAAGGAATCCGGGCATAAGGAAATCGAAGAGTGACCACAGTTCCAGGACATTGTTCTGAATCGGGGTACCAGAGAGGATCAGCCGGTGGTTGCTGGCAATCCGCTTGACTGCAACTGTGACCTTGGCCTTGGGGTTCTTAATAAGGTGTCCTTCATCCAAAACACAGTAGTTCCAGCTGATCGGTCGGAGAACGTCGTTGTCGTTCCGGCAGATGTCGTAAGAAGTCACGACAATATCGGCATCCGCCAATTTACCCTGCAGCTTTGCGCGCTCCACCGGGGGACCAACGTAAGCGACGCAGTTCAAGAACGGCGCGTATTGTTTAACCTCCTGCTGCCAGTGACCGGAAAGAGACGGGGGGCAGACGATCAAAGACGGAAGCTTCCGAACTTCCGCTGACTGGGTCCGTGCATACTCATCAGCACGCAGATGGTGGTCACTTGCGACAATGCAGATTGTCTGCAGAGTCTTACCAAGACCCATGTCATCACAAAGAATACCATGTAGGTTGTACCGGTTAAGGAAGGCAAGCCAGTTGACACCCTCTTGCTGGTAAGGCCGAAGCTCAGCTTTGATCGCAACTGGCAGCTGGAACTCTTCCACCTTGCGAACATCCAGCATCTGAGACATGAACTTCCTCTCCCGGTCTCGTCCCTTGAGCAACTCCTCGGATAGGCCTGGCGGATCGGGAATGCCAGCTTCCAGGGGAACAAGCTTGACCAGGGTAGCAAAAGATGTTGTAGCCAAGAGGCGCACGTCATTGTCCGAGTCGCTCATCCGCCCCAAAACCGGCACCACAAGGAAGATGACATAGGGAAGGATTCCGTCCTCCATCACATGGATCAGGTGGTAGATGCACTCCACAGCTCCCTGGCGGTGGTGAACATCCAAGGGATCATTGATGGTTGGCAGTACCTTCTCAACCAACATGGTCATACCCTCAACAGTAATGACACTGCAGACGGTTGCGAAGCACTTGGCGGCGGCATATCGGATGACTGAAAGTCGGCACTGCAGAGCCTTGACAATGAGAGGCATGAGCCCGATAATCCAAGGGTGGAGACCCTTATCGAACTTCGGTAGCAAGGCGCGCAGTGTTGACAGGCCATCGACAACCTCCTGACCCAACTCGTTGTCGGGATTGAGGATCTCCTGGGGAAGTTCGCCGGCAAGAGCCTCTTTTAGAGGCCGCTCTACCAAGGTTGCAAGGTTGGGAACCTTCTCCAAAAGCTGGGATCCGAACTTGACGGCCAATTGCTCGAGGGCTTCTTTGGCACCACGGCGCATGATCCTCGCCTCCTTCGCCTCTCTCTCGAATTTCGCCGCATCCGGATGGTCGCGCCTATCCTCTTCCTTGCGCAGAGACAGAATGGACTTCTCCAGGGTTGCATTGTGGTGAAACTCGGGCGTCTCGGAAGTGTCCACACAGCAATACTTGACCAAATTGCCGATTACCTTGTCGACGGGGCCTCGTTTGGTAGCAGTGGTATAATATTCAACCAAGAAAGCAATAGCTGTGGCAGAGCGCTGTTGCAGCTCCGCATTCTCTTCCTTCTTGATACTGTCCATCATGCCCTTGATTATGTGGCTTGGCTTCTTGGGAATGTCGTGCAACGCCACCAACGCACCCGCGGCGGCAGCCCGCACACGCAGATCCCTTTGTTCCCGGACACTTCTAGCTTCCTCAATGGCGCTTTCTGCGGTCGCACGGGTGTCATTCAGAACTTGGAGGGCAGTAATACGCTGGGCTGGGGCCAGACCCTTCTTCAGCCGCTCGAAATCTGGCCCAGCAACCTTTTCAGCGTCGGCAAGGGAGAACGCACTGGGCCCAGCCTGCTCTTCTCCTTGTACAACGACCGCCAGCGTGGGTAGTCTTGACCCAGGAACATGAGCGTGATCTTTGAACGCATAAAGGAGCGAGTGGCACTGTGCGCGGGCGACCTGTAGATAGCATGCAATGTCGCTGTACCACAGGGGGCGTTCGCCTTCAATGATTGGGCGTAATTGCTCAGTGAGAATGGAAGCATACTTACTGCCAGGTCCAGAGACCCTAGCGTACTCCTCGACGATCATGGCTGTCGACAATTGCGACGTCGACGCCGTATGCTTGAGACCAGCCAAGATAGTTTGCCACAAGCTGGGAAGTTCATTCTTATCCCAGAGGAAGAGCAACTTGCCAAGTGCTCTGGCCGCGTAGATCTTCGATCGCAGCATTGTATCTGCGCCCACCAGATCAATATCGCCCTGAAGCATGTGCCCATCCACGTTATGAGCTGAAGGCGGGGGGGCTTCTTTCTTCTCCGCTTTCCGTCCGCGCTTCTTCGGTCCATCGGCGGCGGCATTGTTCGCGGTGGGCGAGGACTTTGCGGGGGCCGCGGCACTATTTGGGAAAGGCACTCCAGATGGCTTGATGAAGAGTGAGGCGTCCATGGGAAGAGGATATCTTGGCACACCGAATGGTGACATTGTGAGGGTGATGAGCGGTTCGATGTAGCTCAGGAGGTCGCCATCAGCCTTAAACAGCCCCCGAGATTCCAGGGAATTTAGCAGTTCCGACCACACTTGGAGCGAGAGCTTGAGCACCCCTTCATTTCGTTCCACCAGTAAATTCTGGAAGATCAAGCGCAGTGCTTTTCCATTCACCCATTCGTTGGTACCTTCGCCTTCCAGCTGCAGGAAGGTCATCAGGGCGCGAAGGACCGCCGAGCGAACGCTGGTGATCGTATGGCGCAAAAACGGGTAGAGACGAGGCACGAGGTTTCCAAACGACGACTCTGGGTCCACGGCCGCGTTAGCCTTCATGGCATCCAGGACCTCGCGGAAGGTACACAGCTTCGCCAGAAGATCCATGACTGAGCCGGTACTGGCACTTAGGTCGTCCTGTAGGTTTGAAAGACAGTCCCAAACAATGTTCATCAGGCTTCCTAGCGTGCTCTGCCTGGATGCAACAAACTCCTCCGCCATGGGAACAAGCGTCGCCGCACTCACGGCACGAACATCGTCGTCATAGTCACCCAACCCTTTCATTACTGCCTCTAGTACGCCATCCATCAAACTCCGGTCTTTGATCAAGATGTCTTTCCGAACAGCTACCAGATACCTTAACCCAATCATACCACCGTGACACACCTCCCAAATGGGACGCTCCAAGCCCAGGTCATTCTGCATGACAATGCGGTAGAGGCACTTGTAGACAGCGACCACGGACCGAGAGGGGAGCTGTGATAGAAGGGCACCCAACGTCTGGCCTACTGTTTCTCGGATGGGGGCCACGACATTGTCGGAGATGTAGTCACCGAAACGGTCGAGCATAAGAACACAGAGAAGACGACAGGCCAGATCATCTAGCCACTTACGGTTTAGCACATCGTTCTCCGGCCTGCTTTTGCCTCTTAAGCGCCCAGCTCCAGCACCCTGAACACGGATGACCTCTCGGAGGGCCATGGCAGCCCCATGACGAACCTCCCAGTTAGGATCAAAGATGTCCATCGTGAGAATTTCGCACATAGGATCATACGGCCAGGAGTTACTCGGTCCTTCATCGGAGGTGTCTGGTTGAATCAAGGGCTTCTCGGGGGCGGTTGACCCTTTGAACTCCGAGACAATCTTTTGGTCGTCGTCGCCTGATGATCTTTCCAGGGAGAAATAGTCTTGCTTTGAGTCGCCATTCTTCTCTTCGCCATTTTCCGCCTTAATGGGGTGGGGAGTCGTAGCCGACGGGGTGGTGACATTATCCGAGGGCCTCCGCGTCGACAAGTCCACGACACGAACCTTGTTGGCTCCCATCCTCGCGCTCTGCTTGTTTTTCCGCTTGAGCTGGTTCAATTGCCGCTTACTCAACCCCGACTCTTCTCCGTTAGCGCTTTCCATGGGAGATGCCAGCGGCGGCGCAGAGTTGTGGTGGTTTGTTTCCTTATGCGGGGCTTCATCCTTGATAGCGGGGGTCTTCAAGACGAGATCATTATCGTCGATCAAGTCCTCCTCAATATATTCCCCGGCCAGTCCTAAACGGGAGGTTAAAGTTTTCTTCTGGTGTTGCAACCGGGAAACCGGATCCATCGCGGCTAGCGAGTACTCATACTCCTTACCCGCGCTACCCAGTAGCCGCTTGCCGTACTTGAGGATTGATGCCAAGTCCAAAGTCTCGAGCTGGAGGAGGGAATCACTTGGGGAAGAGGGTTGCTCATCCTCCGACTTGATCTCTACATCATCCTCGTCGAGCTTCTTGATCGTTTCACCATCTTCCTCATTGGGATCGAAGGTGTCGGCATTGGCCACGATCAAACCAATCGCCTTGGCAGCTGCTGTTCGGGTGTCCCATGACTTGGACTTGAGATAAGGCAAAATGCGCCCGAGCAGGTTGAACAGCTCATCGGGATGCTGTTTCTGAACATCTGCAAGCTGTTGGGCTGCAGTGTTGCGGATGAGAGGCGTGCTGCCCGTCTCGAGTAACCTACAAAGGAAATCATTGGTCAGTGCATTCATCCCGGCTGCGGGCTGCTGGCGCGGTAATACTCACGTGACAAGCCGGTCAAGTCTAGTGCGGCGCAGTTAGCGTCATGTATCAAACGGATGCGGAATGGGCGGGACGGCAGATGGAAACTTACCTGGAGGACATGGCTGGCTGGCTGTCACTCCTCGGAACTTTGAGGAACGAATTATTTCACAAATAAAATAGTTCAGAATCCGCAAGGAAAAGGGGTATCAGCAGAGAATAACATAAAAAGAAAATGTAAAACGTGGTCGCAAATGATCCACAATATTAGAAAGAAGTAATTCACCACAACCCCCACAACACCTCTCTATGATTATTAGGTATAGTAAGGTATGGTAAAACAGAGGGAGTAATAACGAAGAGAAGAGAGGGAGTGAGAGGAGAGTGAAGTGGACGAAAGAGGTAAGGTATGTAAAGTATACAAGACCGTTACACCCACGTCACAGCCATCGAGAAGCGTCGAAGCGTGACTAATTAAGCAAAGCTGGACAGTTTCTGAAGGGCGATCGGGAAACAGAAGTGGAGATCACGGCTTAGTAGAAGAAACGCGGGTATTGTATTGATGATCGGGGAGGAAAAGGCGGTTTGGACGTGACGCGGACCAAGGCGATATTACTTTTTAAGTATGGTCAAGTAATGAATCATAAAACAAGTCACGAAGGGCAAATGCCGGGATGGGGAAACGGGACGAGAAAAATAAAATGAAAAATTGCGGATGACCAGGAGATGAATGGAATCGGATCGACAGGGAGTGAAGAGGTGGTGGTGGTGGTGCGTTGACTGGAATGGAGGTGGTGGTGAAGGGAGCAAGCCTTGTCTGGCCTGCAAAGTAAATGCGCAGGAGTATCAACAAGTCGTCCTCCGGTCCTGCTTTGCCTCCCCTCGAGGTCACGCAGCCTGTTTATATCATTGGGGGCATCTTTGGCTGGGCGCGCCTACCCATACTTGGGCCCTGCGCGCTAGCCTGCCTCGGGGTTAGCGCCCCCCACTCCCGTAAAGGTTTTCTACTGGTCACGTGATCCCTCCCTGCGCCAAACCGCCGCTTGGATCGACAGGCGCGAAATTGCTGCACTGCGATTCCCTCCCATCTGGAGTTCGAGTTCCCTTTCCCCCAATGCTGTCTGTCCTGCGTGTCCATGAGGCTGACCGGTCGGTTTGATCCACGGAATTTTGCGCCGCCCGGGATACCTTCGCGGCTGAACTCTTAGTTTTGACCCTCTTTTGTCCTCTCAGCTTCCCCCCATTTTCCGATTGATGAGCATCACGCAGCACAGCTGAGGTCACCTCCTCTAATTGGTGCCTGTAATGTAAAAAAACAAAATGGAAATGGAAAAAAAATCTACTCCGTACGTGTAGCGGTAATTCCCTTGTCTTTTTCCTTAAGACTTCGTTTGCCTACGTATCACCTACATACTACTACTACTACTAGATAGCTACTACTAGTAGTTAGTTAGCAGCAAGATAAAATTACCTTCTCATCAAGTCCGCCATGTGAGCTTGTTTCGATCGCCCACCAACAGCGCCAAGGAATGCCAGATGGCCTCCTTCAGTTTCGGAATCCGGTCGTCCCCCAAAACCAATGTTTCTTTCTCGGCGGTGATTCCCTCTCCTCTTGTTGTGACAAGGTTCTTGACAGTTGCCTGAAACTGCTGGTAACTCCGTAGTTACCAACCAACCAACTACTTACTAGTTCGATTCCTCCCAAGCTGTCATTTCCCGCGTAGATGACGTTGGTCATTTCCGCCAATCAGATAGTCCGTATTTCAAGTGAAACCTATTGAAAAAATATAGATCACATACTACTAGTCCTACCACTACTTCACGTCTAGGCGCGAACTATTCCCATCAACGGTCTATTCAACCATTTTTGCTCCTAATCAATGGCAGCTTATTGTTTTGTTCAATCAATAGACCATCCTGATCCACATTTGAAAATAACGTATTCTAGTATTGGTTGTGAATTTTCGTTTCATGGCGCCATGTAGATCCTGAGGCCAAAATATATATTGAGAGTTCGCTACTATATATCCCCGCATATGTTGGCAGCGGCTTCACCAGTATGACCTTGGAAACACCACTTCGTCAAAGTTCGCTCCCCTTCACATCTCAATTGACAGCCCTGCGACTAATTACTAGCCGGAAGCCGCTGTTGCAGCTACCAATAGCTACTACTCACAAAGCGTTAGAAGCTACGGTGGAACTCCGCTACACCCAGACCACCGATACCTGTCACGTCCTACAGGGCTTAGTCGACCGATCAGATATCCTACCCTCCATCGAAATCGCAGCAAGGACTCCAGGATTGATCAATGAAACTGTCCATTTCTATACATCGAAGGACTCCACAGGGGTAAACAGAAAAAAACAGCATAGCTTTAGTGACAATGGAAAAAATCAATACGTATTCGCACCAGATATGCGCATATCATCCCTCAAGCCTTGGCCAAAAATGCCGCTGCCTCCTCCTCTTTCCCTAGCAGTCCCAGACTGCGAATCTGTTCCGCCTTGGGCGCGTTTTCACGGGGGGTTGCGGCCTCAGCCTTGCGGTAGGCGGCCTGCATCTTCATCGTGCGGAGAGCCTAAGCGTCGAAATGACAATGTTAGCAAGATCCGCATACTTGAGTATGAACTTGATCGCATGAAGCTAGACAAATAGGCGTACCTCCTTCTTGTGGTGCAGGCACTCGTAGTAATCCTCCAGAGCGGGCACACACTTCTTCTTGCCAGCTTCACCCTCTCCGCCGTTAACGACGTAGCAACCGAGAACCTCCTGCCAGAAGTTGTAGCAGCGGGAAGGACCTGCACAGAGCGATTGAGATTAGCCGGGAATGTCCGCGGGAGAGTCACACAGCGGGCGCCCAATGTAGGCCAACCCGGACACTTTGGCTGTCAATGAACCTTGACAGCTAAGGATAGATAGACGTACCGCCGTTGTTACCGAAACCGGAAGCCATTGTGAGTGAGTGTGGTGGGGAAGGACGGGGGAGAGCAAGACGAGGGGATTAGGATTGCGAGGGAGCGGAGGTGAGGATCGCGATTGAGGTTCTTCTTCCCTCGCCGATGATTCGCCTGTTCCGCCTTCCGCCCCGGCCCTGGCCCGTGCACCTGACGTCTTTGTGTCTCCCGAACACATCACCCTCTTCCATCATGCTCTCTCTGCTGCTCCCTCTCCAGACGTCATGGCGGTCCTTCAAGGGCTCTCAGGTGCTCATGCGATTCTTCTAGCGACCCATATCTGTGCCACCGGCAATGTGGCTGCTCTTCCGCACTTGCAGGCAAAGTTCCCTGCCCACCTCCCGCTCGAGCGTGTCTTGCGCATCATCTTGACCTTTCTGCCCGAGAGCACAGAGCCTAGCTCCTACACACAAGTGCTGCAGGCGCTGGTAGATGAACAGCTACCTGAAACCAGTGGTGCTAGCATCGATACCTCCTCCGTTAAAGACCTACCCGCCGCGGTCGTGAGGAAACGTGTACGGAAGATCCATTTACTACCATTACAGTATCCCGGCGACGAGGACAGCCAGGATCCCTCTGACCTTCTCACCAAATTCCTCATTCACCGGGCCCATCGCATCGATTTAGAAACTGCTCTTCAACCCCTCGTCCTCGATCTTCTCCTCCCCTTCTACCAACGCTCCGAAGTATTACGCACATGGTTGATCTCCAGTCTCTTACCGCTACTCCGATTGAACTACGAGTATTACCCCAGCCAAGACGAAACATTCTCGCTGGATATCTTGGAGTCGATGGACAACAGTATTGCGATCAACGTCCTTCTTTCGATGACTGGTGCGACAAAGAGCAGCATGGACTTGGTACGGAACCTGCGCGGCCTTGTGGGTGCGTGGATGTATGGCAGTAACCGTTCTAAAAGACGGAGACTCAATGAAGCGATGCAAGAGACCTCAATTGTTCTACCTCAGGATGAAGCGCAACCAAAAACCGCCTCAGGTGTCGGATGGCAGCAAGTCAATGAGTGGCTGCTGGCACGAAGCCTGGTTGATCATGAGAGTGCGGTGAACGCCTTCGTCAATTGGGATGGGCCTGAGGATGTCGATTTAGGCGGATACTCCGAGGAGAATGAAGGCCTGTCCGACGATGAGCTGCGAAACTTGCGAAGGAGGTACGGACAGACTGGGCTTGCTGTCGTATATGCGAACGCTGATCCCAGCCCTCCGGCGCTGGACGGCTCCGTCCGAGTACTCGCGCGCATCGCGGAGTTCCTGAAGCTCGAAGAACATTCGTTCATTTCACCGGACAACTCAGAATTCCCGAGCGTGAGCTTCGATCCGGCACCGATTTCGTCGGCATCAAGGGTATCTCTGTTGCAGAATGCTCTGCTGGTGGCCTCAAACCCTCTGACGCGCCCTTCAGCCTCTTCAATCTCCTTCCTCAGTGGTATCTGCCTCTCTCTTCGGATACTAAACGAGTTAGGCCACCCGACTCCGTGTAGGACGGCGGCAAGCATCTGTCTCCTGAATAATCAGGAAACGCAGCTGCTCGAATTGCGCAGTGTCATAGCCTCTGTCGTAAGACAAGCAAGATCGGGTCATGACTGGAGCAAGACTCGCCAACAATTGCTATGGCTACGTGACTGGCAAGCCGATCACACGGAAAACACCAGCGACCATCCCGCCTACCATGGTCTCTTCTGGAGAGTTTCGCAGGATGTCGTCGATGCAGAAATATTGAAAGCGTTGCTTGAAGCCAAAGGTGAGCACGGAAAACGCCTTTGTTGTTCTGCCTTTACTGACAACAACAGAATACCACCTTGCTGTGAGCATTTACATTGTCTCTGGCTCGACCCTGAGCTCTACGCAAGTTGAAGAAGCTGTCAAAGAGGCCATCTTCACAGCCTACGACAACGCGAGCAATGGAAATAGGACCAGGGGCGGAATGAAGCGAGCATACGACATGTAAGTCAAGAAAATAAACGCGCATTGCCTTGGACAGACTCTAATGCCCTGCAGTCTACAAGCTTTCCAACCTCACTTCTCAGATTCTGCCTCCTTCAAGCAGATCCAAGCTCTCATATCCGCCACACACGCCCTGTCTTTCTACTCCCTTACTTTGCAGCACGGCGTCCCTTTCCAGCCAGTCAGCATCCGTGTCCACCCAGACCCTCTCTCCCTGATCGAGAAAGTTCTCGACCAGAACCCTAAGAGCTACACCAAACTGGACGACTTATTAGCCATTGGCCGGAACCTTGTCCTCGCAGGCGTCTCCCACTCTCCATCTGACGAAGATGTCTCTCCCTTCCTATCCCCTCCCTCACAGGAAGATGCCGCTATCACCGCCGAACGCCGTATCATGTCCCTCGCCATTTCCTCCGCCCTCTCCTCAAACGACTTCGGCACGGCCTACTCCTACATTCTCACCCGTCTCACACCCCCATCCCTTCTCCCCACATCCTCCCCTCTCACCAATCCTACATCCCCCAAAGACGACATCACCTGGCGAGCCGTCTACAACGCCGGCCGCTACCGCGCCCCAGCCACCAGCGCCACCCCCAACAACCAAGCCCAAATCACGCACCTCTCCCAACGCATGGAACTCCTCTCTCTCGCCCTTGTACTCGCCCCGACCCCCGAACCTCTTCCTGAAATCCTGGGCGCCTGGCGCCGCTGCGACGAGGAGCTCGCAGCCCTCCGCGCACGCGAATCCGAGGAAGAAGACATCTGGGACACCAAAGCCGACAACCTCACCTCCACCACCCTTCCAGGAGGCTTTGGCCCCACGGACAGCGAACAAGACGCGTTCGAAACGCGACAGCACCAAGCCCGACGAGCACGGGCACACGCCTCACAGAACCGTCTGCATCATGAAGAAGCTCCCATGGGTCTGTTCGAGGTGGCCCGTGGCGCCGCACTCGCGTTGCAGAAGAACGCCTTCCCTCTCCGGTCAGCTGCATCGTCCGCAAAGACAAACACCCACGACCAGGATGATCACTCCGTCCCCTCGTCTCATCTCCGCAGCGGCTCCTCCATGTCGAACGAGGACCCAGACGGCGAAGGCCGCGTCCGCAAGCGAGACGTCGTCAGTAACATGGTCACTGATGGACTTGTCAGTGGTATTGGCTGGGTGTTGGGTGCTCAGCCTGTAAATCGGTGATTCATTCATAATTATCCTTTGAGAACCCACTTAGTTCAATGTCAGATTACGAAGTACGACATGATTGTTTGAAGTCCGTGACATGGAATGTCCCATCCAACACAGAAAGAAAGCTAGAAGCTATCTTATCTTATTTGTCTGTTTTCAAGCGTGAATTTCCTACAACATTGTTTTCTTCTTACTTCTCTCTATACATATATCATCATATTTTCCATAGCTTTGCATGAGTGATTGAGTGAGTGAGTGAGTGAGCGAGTGGGTTTAATGAACGAGTGCAAGGTTGCATAGTAATCTAGCATGTTAATGAATGAGAGGATAACTACAAGTCATAAGCAGTTCTTCTTCTTTCTTCTTTTTCTTGTTCTTTTCTCCCACACCCCTCTCCTTTGGTAGTATCTGGCCCAAGCCTTCTTCTTCTATACATATCAGTAAATAACCAATAAACGCTTGAGTTATAACTATCTTCAATGTTCGTCTGTAAACGACATTTATAAAGAGGAGAGAGAGAGAGAGAGAAAGAGAGAGAAAGGAAGGAAGAGAGGGAGTGTTTTCTGGGAAGAGGCGATACTTTGACTGATCTGTATGCCGATCTGGTGATATAAAGTGCTTTCTATTCTAGTTCTTTGTTTTATTGCCAACTATTTCTTCTTCTTTTGTTTTCCTTGAACTGGCTAGGTCTTTTTTGGCTTCACAAATCTTCTAGTAGTTCGTTTACTATGAAATCACGTCTTAGGAGGTGGTTGATTGAGTGAGTAGTAGATCCACTGTACCCCATACTTGATAATTATAGAAGGACAACTTTTCTAATGAAATCAGTCTTGATATTCCTGTATCGCTATTCCGGTGCCAATCACTATACACAATATGCGGACCCTGCCTTGTCACAACGCACGCTCACAAGCAGAAAGAACAGGCTAATCAGACTGTAAATGAAGATATCTTCCGTGTGGCTGTATGTATGTATCTGCATGCGTACAATCGGAGAATGAAAGCCGGAAATGATGATGAACCAGATCAATGGATGAGGATGATAAGAGGATAATGTATGTAGTATGATATATGGAACAAACTCGACAGGATAGATGATCAATAGAAACCAAGGATACCAATCTCTCACCGTCTCAACCGGAAAAGAGGAACAAGCGTCAGCACCGCTGGCGATGGTTTTGAACAGAAACAACCTCAGGTTGCTGGATGAAATGACAACGGTTTTGGGTAGAAATAAAGAACCGAGATGACAATCGGACGCAATGCACAGGACGGGATAAATGCTGAACCAGCGGGGAGGCAAATTAAAGGAAGGCGTGATCATGTCGGGTGATGATAATGAAGAAAACATTCCCAACTCCATGATTCCAATAAAGGATAGACAGTGCCGCGAAGAAAATGAGTGTCGTCATGATCACAATTCGTATGCTTTTGACATCCGGGTCAACCAAGGGCCAGCCACTTGTAAGCATCAAAGGAGAGACCGTTATGTGCGATCGTATTAGAGGTGGAGCATTCCGTCCGGAAGGTGCATGAGTAATTGCCGAGATCCAGTTGCTGCAGGCAGGCAATCTAGTCTTTCCAATCCCAGACTTGCCTTACGAAGTTGGCCATGTTGACCTTTTTGTTTTTCATGTCCAGCATCCAAGGATGTTCGAGCATCCGCCAGGGAGTCGCTCGTCGCGGAGGTTCTTTCTCCAAACTAGACGAGAAGTTAGCATGATCCAGATATAATGAGCATTTCAGCACGTACCAGCATTCGATGAAGTATTTGAAATTCTCGGACCATCGGATACCGTTGTCCGGCTCATCCTTCAGCTTGGGAATCGGTTGGCGGACAATGTAGGTCAGGAGATCGATCAAACCGGCGCGTGGCTGCATTTCGGTGCCGTCGGCAGGGAAGGGGAAGCGATGCTGGGCGACTTCGAGCAAGGTCACACCGAGTGACCACACGTCGGAGGTGATGGTGTATGATTGGCCAGTGATGCGTTCAGGGGCCATGTAGTACGATGTGCCGATAAACGTATTGGCGTCTCCCTTGGTGCCAAACTCTCCACTGACACCAAAATCACAAAGCTTGACCTGACCATTTCGGCAGAGAAGAATATTTGATGGTTTGATATCTGCAATCAATGTTAGTCGGATAATGAACAACTGCGAATCTAGAAATTGACTGACCTCGGTGAATAATCTTTCTGCTATGAAGGTAGGTCAACCCGTTCAAGACGCCCTCGGCAACCTTGCCTAGCACTTTCTCTCCCGTCCGTCCACCAAGCTTCTTGACCTCCTTGTAGATACTGTCCAAGCTGCCACCTTCGCAAAATTCCATTGCGATAGAAATGGTCCCCGTTGACTTGTCCATGAAAGCACCGTAGTAGCGACAGATGTGCTCCGAGGCACAATCTTTGTTGAAGTTGAGTTCTCGAACGATCTGCTTCTTCACATCGGGGTTGGGGTCCGTAGTGATAATCTAGAGAGTGTATTAGCATCCAACTACCAGACAATGCGAAATGAACGAAACCCACCTTCAACGCAAACACTGTCTTGCCCTCCTTGAGCTTGCATCGAGTGACAGCACCTCCAGCGCCCTCACCCAAGCTACCCAACTCCACGATCTTCTTCTGCTCACTCGCTGCAAGCCAAGCCTCATCATCCAAATCATCCACATCGAGGGGCCTGCCCTTTTCCAGACTCATCTTGTCCAGATCCGGAATTAGGCTGTTTACACTGTTATCGCGCTCCATCTGTACCCCACTCTCCCGGTCGGAATAGACAGAAATCGCTGACGACGGATCCGGAGTGCTGCCGTGAGGCTGGCGAAGACCCATGGCGAACGATAGGGCTGAATAGTTGGAGGAGGAGGCGGAAGCGGGCCCACTGGCCTTCCCGTCCAGGTACGTGAAGCTACCCGATCTCGAGTGTCCGTTCGGTTCGTTCAAGCCGGTGGTCGCCAACGGTGGGGGAGCGGGTCGACTCTTCACTTGTTGCACATTCTGACTGCTGCCCATGGGAGTTTTCAAGCGTAGCTGGGGAGGCGCTGGGCGAGCTGCTGGGCGCTGCAGCTGAGGGACCTCTGCTGGAGCAGCAGGCGCGGGAGCGGGAGCGGCGGCGGCGGCGGTAGCGACAGGAACGCCGGTTCCCGTGACCGGACGAACATTTGGAGATGGAGGGATTCCCAAGGTGAGTTTGGGAGGTCGGGAACCACTGTTGTTGCCGCGGTTGCCAGGTACGGGCGGCTTGAGGAGAGGAACCGGCGAGGATGACATTGCGAGATTGTTTTGCCTCTCACCAGGCAAAAACAACTCGTTGGGGTCAGCCAAGGTAGCCAGATCGGCGGTGTTTGAGTGGGACACTTTGAAAGAGGGACGGGGGGGAAGCCGGGGAAAGAGATTAAGTGAAAGAGGAGGAGGAAGAGGAAAAAGAGGAGAAGGTGTGATAAGTAAGAGGAGAAGAAAGAGGAGGAGTTGGACGAGGTGGTCGGAACAAAGAGGGCCGTGGGGTTAATTGGCTGGACGAAGCGGCGGTTGGCTGACAAGAGGGGTTGGCTGATCGGAGAGGGGGGAATGAGAGGGAGAGAATGAAGAGAGAATAGAAGAAGAAAGACAAGAATACAATAAAAACGATGAATCAAAGCACTAAGCGAATGTTTGATCCCCAGCGATGATGATAAAATAAGAATGGAAGACAAGCGTAAGTAGATAGTAGATAGTAAGTAGTAGATATATAGGGAAGAAGGAGGAGGAGAGAGGAGAGGAAGCAAAGAAGGAAGGAAGGGAAGGAAGAAAGAGGAGAAGATGTGACTCGGCGAGGCCAGCGATTCTTGCTTTTGAAACTGGGGCCGAGTTTTGTGTCGATTTTGTCAGTTGGCGGCTGGACTCCACCGCTCGTAGGGTGACCACTCAAGATCCTTCTTTCTTTTCCCACTTGACTTGACTTGAACTGTCGTTTGTTATTTAGTGAGTGAGGAGTTAGACTAATTTATAAACTAGTCAGGACAAGAAAATCACTGCAGCATTGGTTAAATAGTTAAATAGTGCAATAGCCCATATTCCTGTCATCAGTACTAATTCAATGCTCCGCACTCCCGACCGGCGAGGGATCGAATGGAGGCGCTGGAGGGTCGCCGGCCTGGTGGAACCGGCCTGTTTCATAATGGCGCCTAAAACGAGAAGTGCTTGCGATGAGAGATATTTTGGGAATCCAATGCTACTATTCTTGACAGCTATAGAGCTCCAGTTCATTCCTATGTCTAAGCTTTGATGTCTGTGGGTAGCAGAGCTATGATTGTTTCTAATCTATTCTCATACTTGTCAAATTAATATAGTAGTAGCTTTCTATATTGTTTTGTATCAAGTTGATGGTTGAGTGGAAGGGGGAATCTGCTCGGGTGCCTGAATCATTTGGCCTGGCCAGTCAGGCATCCCACATCAAAAAATCTCTGAACTTAAAGATCGACTCCGCCTGAATTGAACCATGTTTCCTCAAATCTTGCATTTCCATGAACGGCCACCCCGACAGACATTCTTGATGATGTCGATGGAGCTGCTGTCCTTCAAGAAAACAAAAAAAAAATTAAATTAAAATAAAATCTTGTGTGTCAGGGTCCAACATCATAACCGGATAATGTCGATGGACAATTCACCCAAAACGACTTAGTAGCGTGCGGATGTTTTACATCATCCGCCGGTTGAGTGTCTCTGATATTCGGTGCCACTATCGATATTGATGGCTGCTCCATCCAATCTGCGCCGGCATCTTGCTCCGGGGCTCCACCCTCATTATGCCCCGACGGTGCTTGTTCAGCAGAATTTCATCTCGGCGGCCGTTACGCAGTTCTAAGAATACACACAACACTCACGCATTAGGATTATGGTCCTCGATGCTGTCCGATCATAGTAACACGGGCCCGATATGATCAGACAATCGCATTGACATCGGACATACTAGTAGCACTCTGGCGCATAGCACGGCTATACATGCACCGTAATATTAATCTATCCCAGTCTGATTCTCAACGGTAGATCCTCAAGTCACCACTACCAAGCAACTACTAATTACCGTGCATCAACGCGTCAGCTACCGATACCGATTGACACGTGCTATTCTCAGCCTTGTCAAATCCCTCACTCTCACAGACACCGAACCGGACACTTCTTTCCCACTCCCCCCTATATGGATAGATAGCTACTGGTTAGGGACAACTGACATCATCCGGTCCATCTGTGACGAATCTCTCTACCGTCTCTCCTCGATCCCGATGCCCGCCAACTTGGACGATTTCCGCAGCCACAAATCGATCCAGACCCACTCCGGTTTAAAATAGCAATCCCTCTTCCCCCCAAGCCTTTGCACCGCCATAGCAACGGGGCCAAATGGCAACACTGCGCCCCCGACTGACAGGCCAATAATAAGGATGACACCCAATCTAAATGGACCACTAAAGAAAGAAACACATCCTCTTAATCATCATCATCATCATCAATCAATCAATCCTCGCAAGCCCTGTCCCTAACGGTTCGTCGTGACATCTAAGCGAAACGCTCGGGTCAAACCATGACGTTCACGGGGGGGTTAGCAATGTTCATCATAGGGAACGACTATCTTTCCATCTATCTATCCACCCGGACCATGTTAACCAAGTAACTAGACTAGTGCCAGTAACTCCATAGAATGAACAACACGCCTTGGAAGTTTGGTGCAGGGTCCTGCCCTGCTGACCAAGTGTTTGATTGTGCGTACCTGGAAAATCTTCCCGTAGACGCGCGGCATGACGATCCTCGCTTGGATAAGCCCTCCCCCACCCGATCATCCAGCCGTTTTGCTGGATCTGTGGTGATTTTGGCCCCAAGGATGCTTACTGTTGATGATTACTGTGGAGTAGAGGGCAGTAGGTCATAGGTGTAACAAACAGCAAGATGTTGTCGCTTTGACGCCGGCATTTGCCCAAAAGTACGGAGTACAGATTAGTAGTTTACTATGTATATGCAGGGTTCCGTCACCATCTGTGCGTTCTCGTCACACATCACAGGATCTAGTTAGTCGCAAGCCTGTTGTTGACTTCATGCAGTGTTTTCAATCATGCTCCTTGCTCTTCTTTCCTATAGGCCAATATAGCGATCTCGTAGACGCGACGATCCAAGAAAGAACAAGTCAAGAACAAATAGCCAAGCACATTGGCACTCCTCTCTCCCTCCCATAGAAGTAGTTAGTTAGCTATTAGCCGTCCAAGACGGCCCATACATACCATCATCATCCTTCCAACAACCCCAACACTTCCCCAGTTGGCGTCGCCTATTTGCCGCACCGATGCCATATAGGGGCCATTCATCGAATAACTCAATCCACACGGGACAAGAGGATGACCCATCGCCCATATCCATCGTCCACAAAATTGAGAAAACAACAAACACAAACAGATACACACACAATGTGAACTTATCCATAGAGAGGGAGAGAGAGGGGAGGGGGGGGGAGGGAAATGCCTGCCTTTTGGACGTACGCAACACTCCATGGATCCATCGCAAGGAGCCCCTAAAACTGGGGTAAACCGTAAAGGATATCCGCCGCTGTCCGCGTCTCCCCTTTGGTAGGTAGTCTAGTAGAATTTCACGCCGACTGCCAGCCCGCCTCTCCCCTGTTGATCGGTGGAGCATTCAAAACTCAATTCTTGCACACATCATCATCAATCATCAGCAGCGTCGGCTCACTTGCAATAATTATGATGATGGCATGTGGTTCGATGTCTTTTCCTCGGGATTTATGTATTTATTTACTAACGAATTGGGGTCTAGTTACTTACACATGATTACTAAGTAAGATCCTCTTGCTTGCTAACTCCTCCTCTACTTTGTAGTTATAGTCTCCTCTACTATAGCGGTTCACACAACAAAGAACGAAGACGGAAGATAGTATATCCTCATATACTACTCCATATATAGAGATAAACTACGACTAGACACTGCAACTATTGATTTTCCAAATCAGGGATTAACTGTCGTCCCTAAAAGACTGGGCATAAAACCCTGACAGATCCCCCTTTTTCGCAGTTCGTCACGAGAGCGCGCGCCCTAAAAAAAGAAACCAGGAAAAATCTCCGTTTCTCAACGGGACTGAACTAACTAGTACCGTGGGAAGGAATCCGGAGACCTACTGTAAACTACCTAGTCCCTTAAAGTAGGTAAGTAACTAAGTAAGTAGTATGAACCAAATATTTGCAATGGCAGCACAAAGTCTGAGCTTTTAATAGAAAGAAAAGGGTTTCAATAGTTTCATTGCTGATAATAGCCATGATGTGCACACAGATTTTTAGCCTTTGTGTTTGTTATACACACATATAGCTCATCACTCAGATGGTAGACAGACTGGGCAATAATTCAAGACTTGGCATTTGGCCCTATTTATCATGCCACGGCAATTGATTCATAGATTCCGACTTTGAAGATCCATCCAGTGTAGTTCACTTTCCTGATTGCTACATGATTGTCAACCGCCGTCTTTTCTCGGCGCTTAAGCTACTACGTACTGTATGCAGTCTTGCGCACACACAATCCTTCTCCATCTCCCTCTGGCTCTTCCAATTAGATCATCGCTTGCTATTGCGCCATTAGCTAACTACAAGGAACACGGTTCTGACTCGTGAGGACCACGTCAAAAGTTGACGCACACCCAGCAGACATATGGTTCGGAATAAGTGCGCGATAACATCAACTTATTTTGAGCCATATAATATTATTATCCTACCTAGCTAGCATGCTAACTAATATGATAGCTAGACTACTAACTAATACAATGTCCGACATCCAGACTAGTCAGAGAGCAGCCTAGTCACTACGCACTAAGCTTTGATTAAGCAATTAATGAATGCGACCGTGGCGCCGAGCCAGGCCTGGCTCTCAGCAAATGAAGCCCCCTCATACCCATAGAAACGGGGCCGGAGCTGTATGGAAGAAGTATTTTACCTTGTTGGAGGAGCTTCTAGACCGATGCTGACAGGGATGCCAAAAAAGCGCCGAGAATTATTCACTTCTTGACTTGGTAGAAGAGAAAGTGCCTTGTAGGGTATATACTGCTCGGGATGGAAACAGCGCGTTCACATTTAAAATAGTCGGCATAACTACTACATCGGAAGATGTGGTAGGCGTCATACGTGGGGTGACAACACCACTAAGTTGTATCTACTTCCCTTGTACCTTACAGTAGTAGATCGGCTGCAATCCACGCAAACGACGGGAAAGAACGCTTCCGCTGACGAATGCTTCTGACATTGAGAGACGGTTGAACCCGACAATTTTTTTTTCCCTTTCTTTGCTGTTTCTTTATTTTATTCTCTTGTTTTACTCTCCTGGTTATTTTTATTTTTAATATATTTTTACGCCCTTATCTTATGGAATCATTTTTTTTTGTGGGACTCTTGCACCTGTCACCCAAACAGTTAACAATAGTAATAACAACCAACCCATGAGCACTTATCCGAAGCGACCCTACTAATGAAACTCTCAGATAAAATTGGTACGTATCGAGGACGAGATTAGTTAGTAGTGGTTTCCAGGTGGAAAAAAGAGAGACAGGGGGCACAAGTGGGTCCAGCAGCCAACCAGCCATTGGGCCAAAAGCGGGGAAGAGAGAGCCACAGCGGGATGGTGGCCAGAGCGATGAGTGGCCAACGGCATCAGGAACAGCCTGCAGGCTCCACTTTTCCCAAGACTGATTGGACAGCAGGGAGAAACATGAAACAAAGTCTAAGTTGGCATTCAACGTCCTGTGGCTCAGTAAAGCGAGGTTTCTGCCCCCTGAACTTATTTCCTTTTGATTATCGGGAGGGTGGATGATGATGACATCCTAATTTTTTGGAAGGTTTACTTACAAGTGATTGAGGAAAGTGACCAGTAAACTGTGCCCATTCTTTGCCGCTTTTACCGTTGGGATGTCGAATGTTACTGCCTGTTAGACCAAAGTATTTATTAGTAAGGAAGTAAACTACTCATAGTGGTGATGTACTCCGTAGTTAGTGCTAGCAGCAGTGACGGGACGATGTGCCTGAAATTGATGCAGGTACAACAGAATCCCGCGCGGTCCATCAAAGTAAATAATTGCTATCTACTATTGCTTGAAATCCAAAAAAGTTCGAACCTAAAAATCCAGTAGGGGAACCATTGATGACCCAACTAAGTATCTATCTACCGACCCCATTAATTCCACCCCCCTCCCCTGAGCCGAAGAGTTAGTCGAAGTGTTCTTCCGGTCGAAAAGAGCAATGGAGCGACCGATCAACAGCACTTGTCTCGCAACGCATGGACAGCTTGGACAGCATGGACAGTAATTCAGGGCCAGGGACGAAAGTCACTTGGCGGCACTAGTTGGTCTAGTCAGACAGGCGAAGGGGCTGGTTGGACCAACCAAGAGACGTGGGTGAGACGGGCGCAGAACCCACGAGGTGCGAAACGAAAAATGGAGCCATAGAACTAAAGAAGAGAGGAGTGAGAGGGGGGCCAATTCGCGGGATTGCCCCAAACTTGCCTATGGAAAGGTTGCTCTTCACCCTCTCACTCTCTCACACCGCATCGGCGCTCTGATTGACTCGGGGGCCATCAACTCCACCCGCGTGCAGTTGCGCTCTCCCCTTTTCGTCCCTGAGACGATCTCCAGGTTAATCTCCCGGCTCATACAAAGGCCCCCCGGTTCCCCCCTCTGCTTCCAGCTCGTTCCTGGTTCTCTCTGTTCTTTCTCTTTCAAGACCAGACTTCTTTGCCTGCTTGAAGCATCCCATTGACTTCGGTCAGCCACTCTTTTAAACCAAACCCCAACGCAAAACCCCAACTAGCCACACTCTCTTTATCTAAACGCAGCTCTCCCTGTGTTTCACATATCAAACAACCCACACATAAAAATCAAATTTATCGACCTTGACGGTTTTATTTTTTAACCAACACAACATTCAAGATGCGTTTCTCTGTTGCCACCGTCGCTCTCTTCGCCAGCCTTGTTGCTGCCATCCCCCAGGATGTCGAGACTGTCTACTCCACTGAGGACGTGACTGTCGTCTCCTGCGCTCCCACCGTCACCAACTGCCCCGGTACCCTGCACGCCACCTCCACCCCCGAGGCCGTCGCTGCTGCCACCACTGGCGGTGCTGAGGGTGTCTCCCCCGTTGGTGTCACCAGCGCTGTCCCTGAGGCTCCCTCCGCCACCCCCGCTGCTGGCAGCTCCCCTGCTGGTGGTGCTGGTGCTGGTGCTCCCTCCGGTGCTGCTCCCTCTGGTGCTGCCCCCAGCGCTGTTCCCTCCGGTGCTGCTGCCGTCGGTGGTGGCGCTGGCACCACTGCTGCTCCCCAGGTCACCGTTATCCCCGTGACCACCTGCGTTCCCACCGTCATCATGTCCACTAGCACCATCGGTGGTGGCTCCGGTGCCGGTGCCTACGGCTCTGGCTACCCCAGCGGCAAGCCCGCCAAGTCTTCCTCCCCTGTCATCCCTAGCGGTGCTGCTGCCTACGGCTCTGGCTACCCTAGCGGCAGTGCTACGTGAGTATCCCGACACCATTCCTCAAAAGTGAACAATCATACTAACAATACGCACAGCCCCTCCCCCTCTTCTGCTCTCTACACCGGTGCCGCCAGCTCCGTCAACGGCAACGGCTTCGCTTTCGCTGGTGCCGCCGCCGCCGCCGCTTTCTTCCTGGCTTAGATTCCCCTTCTTGTTTATAGTAGCCCCGGGTCACTCGTGAGTCCGGTTGCCGCTATAGGCGGGGATCTTGGGCGCATGTGAATTGGTGAAGAGTGTCGGGGATTGGTCCATACTTAGTTGCGGTTTTGCTTTGGGAGAGAAATCCGATTCGTTGCTTTTTATATCCTCTCTTATACCACTTTTATTCGAAATTTCCTTCTAGATATTTACGCTTCCCGGATTGCTTCGGAGTTTTGTTGTGAAGCAATTGGTGGCTGGATACGATTAATGTAACCCATGAAGCTTTCACATACCCAATCGAAGCAGTTTATAGATTTAATCAATGCCGTGCCGTGCTAGAGCTATCATTTCCATCCGGACCAGATCACCACGCCATACACCTGCTGTAGAACTGCCAGACGATCGGACATGTCCGACAACAGGGGGCCGGCCCGGATCTCAATGAATGGATCTACCCATCACCTAAGTAACTGCCGTGATGACATGGGGCAAGTTGGGAGAACTCAGCAAACAAGTACTAAGCAGGAGGCTGAATGGAGGGCTGAATCCGGGGAGACCGCTCGATCTTGGGGGCTACAGCGTAAATGTTTCAAGATCTCGAATTAATTTTTTTTTCCTTCTCTCTTTCATTTATCGGCGACCGGCTGTTATCCGAATTTTGCGGTTCGTCTCGTTGCTGGTCTGCGCCCACTGGTGTGTATCACATTGGTCTCGCCAGTGCGGGCGATTGATTGGGTGGCTGTTTCAGATATTCTCTGGCTTAAAATCCGAGTGTCGCCCTCAGCCCTATTTGTGCCATATTGATGACTTCTTTAGGGGGGTTTTGCCGGGCGATTCTGGAAGGAATTGACGATCGTCAATTTGTAGATGCTGTCAGTGTGTAGTAAGTAAGTATTTCACGATCGTGTGTGTGTGGCTGTGTTTGGGGGTTTGGGAGATCCGTGATCTGGAGGTCGTCGGGTTTGACGCTATTCTCCTTTAGCCCCGGGGCCACCAACAAACAACACGTGCTGTTTACTTGGTTGACAGCGGCAACATCCTCGCTGTGTTTGACTCGACTAAGGCTACCACATGGCCATCGCGATGGATAAAGCCATGCAGTATAGATTAGGGATGGAAGCAGCATCCAGTGCTACGCAAAATACTTTTCCCCTCTGAATTGGACTCGTCCAAAGCTCGGACGACAAAGGATGTGGCAGTGTTGATTTTCCAACCTCATTCGGAATCCTTCAACCAACGAACCAAATGCCCCCATTATCGCGCAGCCTCCACTTGAGGACATGCTATATCGCTCAGACCCATGGAATCTCTCCAGATGGCGTCTAAATTCATAGGGGCTTCTATCTGCGCTTATGATCGTCTCCACGATGAAACTACAACTTCATGGTTACGATGACAGCACATCCAGTCTCGGACCCCAAATCCTTCTTCTGCCCCAGTGCCGGGCCCATCCCGAAGGGCAAAAAAGGAACTATCGAGCACCGGGAGATCCTTCTACGGCGGGGTTTAACGTGAGCCGACGGATTGGTTTCCTTGTTCGCTCCTGAACCAAGGCGAACATCAGCCGGTCAAGCCGAAAGCTTTGCCAACAGGGCTTGCGCCCTTTCCGCAGCTGCAGTCCACTATTAGGAGGTTGGAACGAACTGCGAGGAGGAATCCACTGTGAGGCGCAAGGCGATTTCCTGACTGTCATGGGTGTTGTTGGCTCGTATTATTGTGTCTTTGTTGCTGTGCCCGTCAAAGAAATTGGCCATAGCCGTGCAGACAGAAGACAACACCACCCTTTTCCCACAGGGGACATTGTTCCAGCACTGCCTCAAGTATCAACAACTGTCTGATATATGAACTGTGCTCTTCCCTTTTGGACCCCCCAAGTATATTTTCACTCGATTATTGACGATCATACTTTTCCACACCGACTTTAATTCCTTCATCGGTACATAGGTCGCGTGCAATGATCTTTCTGTGACATTTGCGTACAATTGCTTGGCCTACATCCACTTTTTTATCTACCTTCTCTTAATACCGTCTTTCACATCTTCACAATGGACCTTTCATCCTTAGAAGGCCCGCCTATCGCCGACACTCGGTTCACCGTCTCGCCGCGACGAGCAAATGTCCCCAGTATTCGTCTGGACACGTCCACCCCAGTCAGCCCGATCAGCCCATTAACACCTCATGACCTCCCTCCACGACCAAGCTCGACGGACGCGATCTTCAGTCCCGTGTCTGAATCAGAGTACTCATTTGCGCTATTCCACCACCACCATGAGCCGGAAGCCAATCTCAATTTCTACCAACGCTGCCACAGTCCACAGCCCCCGGTCACAGCCGACGAGCATGAGTACCAACAACAATCAAGGCCACAACCAACACTAAACCTACCTCCTCCCCCTCCTTCGTCCTCCTTCTCCCTTCACCCGTGGAGCTCCCGAACTCGAAGCGTTTCAGATCTTACCCCTCACCAATCTCCCGGCCCTCTGCTGAGCACAACCACCACGACAACAGTCACCACTCAGGCCGTGACCACCACCATTACCACCGAAGGTAACCGTCTCGTCTGGCTCGAGCACGAGAAGCTGTGGTTCTTGAAACCTTCCACATGCCCCTCACCACACCTAAGCCCCGACTACGCCGTGACCACCAGACCCACCCCTGATGCTCACTATGCGCCTTACCGCCCTTCTTCGTTTCATGGCCAAGTTCATCTTGCTGCTTTAGCACAGAGGCGAGATGTACCCCCGCCATATGGGCGGCACATCCTTGATCGGCCCTTGCCTCCACTACCTACGGATGACGACGAAGACGAAGGCTCGTGCGGATCTCGGTGGACGGCGGTTGCGAGGAGGAGGGCTAACCGGGCTGTGTCGAGGTGAGGGTTCCCGTTTAGTGTGTTAGGAAAGAGGCGGAGTTGTAGAGACGGATTGGAACGGATATTATCAGCTGCTGGCCGGCTATCCTAATTTACCATAATCCTTGTTCTAGTTTAGTGGCGTCGCCAATTATCAAGCATAGCCAGGGTGTTTTAGGGGGTGCATGTGTATTACTATTAGATTGTCTGTTTCTTGATGCCTTTCATCCTGTACATTACCTCATTCGCTCTTATTTCTTTGTCTGCTTACTAGGTGGTTCTGCTTCGTTCGAGATACCCAATCTGTGATAGATCCTTTACTCCTTTCCCTCACTTCTCACTGCTTACCTCGTACTTACCACTTCAGTTCATCTCAGCCCGTTCTCACACTCTCTTTAGTCACTCACCCATTGCCATCATGTGATACAATATAAAGCAAACTATACCACTATAATCCCGCACCTTCCAGTCCCCATCACCACCACAACCACCACCACCTCATCTCCCCTTCCTACCCCACACCTAATCACCATGGCAAACCCCAAGACGAAAACAAGCACAACCCTACTCAGAGACGCAGTGAATGACCATGGATAAACAAACATGATATGCTCCCAGTACACGCTCAATTCACTCCACAGCTCCGCGTCTCCCCCTCAACTAACCATGTTTACTATCTTGACCTTCGCGTTCCGCTCCCTCTTTCTCCTCATCTACTGGATCTTCTACATCTCCTTGATAGCAGTCTCCGTCTTCATTCTCTGCTGCTTCTTGTATGCTGTGTTGCAGTACTTCATTGAGGTTTCGTCTTGAGGTCGCTGGGCCGGTTTAACAATGGAGCAACGCGATCTCCTCTCGAGACCGAGGTCGATGTCCCGGGCTCCCGAGGAAGAACCCCAGAGCAGCCAGCATTCGGAGATAGACGTTCTACAATTTGCTGAGTTGCATTTCGTGGCTGAGCAGACTGCGAAACATGCACGGTGCTGGGAGGGTCAGGTGGATAGTAAGTGTTTCCTTTCACCTCCCGCTTGATTACTGTATACTTGTGGTTGGACGTGGAAGCTGATTGTACGTAAAGGACCTGTTTGTCCTGACTTCAAGGCCATCTGGACTTGTATCACGCCTAGGATGCGGGAGCTGTACGTTGATCGTGTCAAGTATGTTGAAACCAAAGGCTGGGATTGGATGCATGCGGACTATGAAGGTTCTTTGAAATGCTGGTATGAGAGGTATTTTGCGGGGGTCGATCAGGGGAGGGCTGAGATGATCTCTTGTGTTGATTGTGAGTGGGCATTATACTGGTCTGGTTTGAGAGTTGACTGACGGGGTGCAGTTGCCGATTTCAAAGCTTTGGTTGACAATGTCGACTTCGAATCGATTGTTCCCCAAACCATCGTGGTTAAGGAAGAGGTTGATGATCATGATGTCGTTCCTGAGTCTATGTCTGTTGATCAGGACGAACCAGAACCAGAACCGAGAGCTGATCTTCCAGACGAGGATGTCGCCATGGCGGACTCGGTCGAGGAGTCTCCGCAAGAGTTGGATATCAAGATTCCCGAAAACGAAGAAATCGTCGCCTTGGAGAACGCCGTGAGTAAAGGACTTGAGATTCTGAAGAAGCTATATGCCATTTTTGCAGGATCGAATGCCTTCGGCAATGAGACAGACTGGAAAGCTGAGATTGAGCGGACCCAAAAGTATGCCTGTACGGAAAAAGTGATCATCGGACTAGTTGGAAGCACCGGCGCAGGAAAGTCGTCACTCATCAACGCGATCCTAGATGAGAAGAATGTCTTGTCTACAGACTGCATGCGTGCTTCTACTGCCGTTGCAACGGAGATCTCCTACAACCAAGGAGCCACGAAGTACAGAGCAGAAGTCGAATTTATCGAGCGACATGAATGGGAACGCGAATTGGAAGTCTTGTTTGCAGAGCTCCTTGACCACCAGGATGAAGTGACTCGAGGTGCAATCCCCAAAAATCCCGATGCAGCGGTGGCCCTTGACAAGATCAAGGCCGTCTACCCCATGCTGACACCCAAAGACATTTTGAACACATCCGTTGCCGACTTGATGGCGAGCGAGAGAGTCACTGATCTCCTGGGAACTACTATGGGCTTCGAGGGAGATGACCCTAAAGCATTCTCTGTCAAACTGAAATCCTATATTGACAGCAAGGGAAAACGCGGCCGACCCAAGAAGTCTGCTAAGAAACAAGATGCCGCTGAACACCCAGACTCTGCGAGCGACACTGACACAGCCAACCAGGGCATCGGTCTTTGGCCTCTTGTGCGTGTTGTGCGTATATACACCAAAGCCCCAGCCTTGGCAACTGGTGCGGTTTTGGTGGACCTTCCTGGCATCTTTGACTCCAATTCCGCGCGAGTTGCCGTCGCCGAAGATTACATGAGACGCTGTTCGGCTCATTGGATTGTGGCTCCCATCAACCGGGCTGTCGATGATAAAGTCGCGCGTGACCTGCTTGGAAAGAACTACAAGCTGCAAATGCAAATGGATTGCGCATTCAATGACATGACCTTCATTTGTACTAAAACCGACGACCTAGTTCCAACTGAAGTCATTCATTCTCTGGGCCTCGACTTGCCAGCGTTCAATGAAGTTCAACAGCTGCCAGCTAAGGTTGAATGGCTGAAGAAAGAAATCAACGCTTTCGAGAAGCCCAAGAAAACAATACTCTCGCAGCTGGAGTGGATAGAATCCGAGATTGAAGAACTCGAAGAACGACTAACTGGCGATGAGTTCGGCTGTGATGTATTGGAAATCACTCCCAAACGCAAGAAGCCACACGGAAGCGAGCCCTTGGAGATGCCAGCCATTCAAGAGGCAGGCACCACCGAGATTCCTATGGTGGAGAAGCTCAAGAAACGAGTCTTGGACCTCAAGATTCAGCGCAAGGATCTACGGTCTCAGCTAAAGCATATCAACGAGGAAATGGACAGCAAAGTGGAGGAGCTGGAAGAGCTAGAAGACGGAAAGAAACAGATGGAGCACTCTGTTATAAATTCGTGCATTGAGGCGAGGAACAAGTTTTCGAAACAACAGATCAAACGCGACTTTGCCTTGGAGGTTCAGAGTTTGGACCAGGAACTTGAAGATGACACCGAAAACCCAATCCAGGCCGCAGGTTGTGATTATGACGAGCTGGAAAGGAACCTTCCTGTGTTTTGCGTGTCGACCCGGGCCTATCAAGGTCTCCGGGGCCGGGCTGATATGGCCAAGCTCGTTGGTGGCTTCTCCGAACTGGAGGAGACTGAGATACCACTTCTACAGCGTCACTGCGTAAGGCTCACGGAAAAGGCCAGAGAAGAATCGTCTCGGAGGTTCTTGACCCAACTGAACCAGGTCCTGCAGTCGATGAAGCTGTGGTGTTTGGTGAGCACGGCAACAGGTGACGCCTCAGAGCAAAAAATCAAAGAGATCAAAGCCGACTTCGAACGTGTGTTTGGCGGACTGACAGAAGTATGTTCACTTCCTCACTTCCTAATCCAGTTCTGACCTTTTAGGCTGCGGAGGCGCATATGAACCATTTCGACAGTGTCGCCAGGGAGACTGTCCAAGTAAACATCTTCAATAAACTAAGTAAGTCTTTTGATGGCAAATCCTAGCAGCGCTAATGGTACAGACCGAGCGTCGCGACATGCAGTTGTCCAATTCCCCGAAGCTGTCTCTCGCTGGAATGCCCCAGGCAGTTCCGGGGGACTCCGATGGAATACATACAAGGCCATCTGTCGCCGACGGGGAGTATTTCATGAGACAGTAAGTCCCTCCATACAGGTGCAATAAACACAGCTGACAGCTATTCAGGATTGGAATCAAGATTTGTAAGTCAAACATTAAGCACTAGAGTCCAAACTGACCTAATCGCTTGCAGAGCCCGACCAATGCTTGATAAGATAGCTTCATCCTGGAAGAGGTGTGTTTGCTATCTAGGAATACTCTGGATCAGTCTAACGCGCAACAGGACTTTCACGGAACTTCTCCCGCATTGCCTTCGTTCTTTAAAGGAAAATCTGGAAGCTGTGGTCAGTCGATTCCACACACAGGCGATTGAATCCGTCAAGCAAGGTGTCCCTGAAGGAATCCGAGTCCAACTGCAAGATACGCTCGTCGCGTGCCATCAGACAATGGGAGAGCAGTTTCGACAGGCTGAGAAGTGGACCATGCAGGAGCAGAAGCGTATCAACCGAACGTTCGCCGAAGCGATCGCTGAGCGACTGAAAGAAACCTACCAGGCCTGTGCCTCCGAAACAGGTGAGACTCTATCGCAGCTAGTCGAGAAGTATTCTAACATGCTCGTCACGACAGGACGAGGAAGCTTACAGCGTATCAGAGCGTTGATGCAACAGACAGCAGACGACCACGCCAACGATGTCCTCCGAGGAAGCACGGAGAATGCGAAGCACGAGCTTGGGAAGCTACTTGACGGCCAGCTAGCTGAGGTGGATCGGATTATCCATAATAGATTACAGCGGATTTCAGAGGACTACCATGGGGCGCTGATCGCACCACAGATCAAGCTGTATACGGAAGAGCAGATCCGCATTAAGAGTGAAGTCGCTAAGATCGTCAAGGAAGCTGAGGCGGAGTTGCTACTGGGACACCTTTTGGGAGGAGTTCGTTCTTCGTAACAGGGGAATAGCAGCCGTGCCTAAGAAAGTGGAGCACTGTGGGGAGGCAGGACCGATGCAGATGGAAGGCGGGAGAGCAGGAGGAGAAGAACAGAGAGGCAGCGAGAAGGAAAGCCATGTTACACGTCTGCAGTTAGGGTAAACGTGGACTGGACGCACCAACATGCGGGTGGCCCCAGCTTGGGTAGAGACAGAGGTGGACGGAATGATAAGCCAACCGCAGTGTCAAGATAGTCTAGGCCACATAGTAAAAAGAGAAAAAAGCTTGTCAAACTGCGACCGCCATGACAGACTAGAGGCGTAGGATGGAGGGGAATCATTGGCAGCGCGTAGTGTTGCTGTTGGCAACTCGCATGACGAAGGCAAGACGCTAGCCAGTGATGGTCGGTGACCCAGCCTCCGAATTTTCGAGCGACTGGGAGGGTCGTCTGGATGGAGACTATTAATATTAGTAGCAGCGTGACAGATGGAGGCCAGCGCCGTTGAACTTTTTTTCACATCACTTCATTCATCTGTGTTTGTTGAGTATTGACTTTGACTTGAGTGTTTGTGATATTTGCTGTGCTGTGCTTTGCTTGTGTTTTATTCCGCGAGCAGTGAAGTGACATTAAAAGTTGATTGATACTACTCCGCGCTGGCATTCTTTTCCGAAGCTGCAACTGAACAGATACGACCGATCATGATGAGTGCTTGAGACGGATTAAGACCGATACGAGCAGTGATAAAAATCGGGATTACGACAGGACCGAAAGAAAGAAAGAGAGTGACAGAAACAGTGATAGATTAACACTGACTGTCCACCGACACGACTAATAATAATTGATAAATTAACAGGTTGCAGACCCGCGTCAAGTGAGGGATAACACCAGCGGGATCTGAAGAGAGAGAGAGACAGAGAGAGAAAGAAAGAAGAAAGCAGAGAAACAAATTCCACCGCCTTCGCTGCCCTTCGATCGGCGCCACCAATCACAGTCAGCCCAGCGGCGATGGGGCTCCCGCATCTTTTCTCTCGTCACAAATCTTCTTCCTCCAAATCCTCTTCTTCCAAGTCTAAATCTACTCCGACAACGACTGCTTCTGCTCCTGTTCCTCCTACTCCTCCCACTCGCTCGATTCCTGCTTCTTCTCCCCCTCCGTCTTCCTCTCCTCTCCCCCCTCCTCCTTATTCTTCTTCATTTTCAGCGAGTTCCCCTCCTCCCCCGCGTCCATCCGCAAGAGTCAAGACCGACGACTCATTCCCGACTCGACCTCCGCCCCCTCCTCACCGGGCAAAGACCGTTCATTCGGCTCCTTCTCGCCACCCCCATCCTCCTCCTACGCCGCCGCTTCACCATCCGCAGTCGTTTCCTACTCCGACTCAACGTCCTTCCATTCCTCGAAAACCTACTCGTCCGGCGCACAGTCGTTCCACCTCCACTCCCTCCAAATCAGCCTCGGTCCGGTCGAAACCCTCGTCCGTCCCCCGGTCCGCGTCGTCGCTGTCTGCCGTTCATCATCGGTACTCGCACGACCCTAACTTTCACCCGCTAAACCTTCATCCCGACGAACTACGTCGTCTTTCCGCTATGGCTGCCGCTCGCGATGATATGCGAAGCTCGATGGACGTCGACACCAACGATCCCCGCCTTGGTTCCCCTTCTGCCACTAACGGTGTGAATGGTACTCACACGGAGAAGAGTCCGACCCCGCCCCCTCACCGGTCCAATGGGAACACCGCTGAGGCCGACTCCTTCAAGCTGGCTGGAAACAAGTTTTTCAAGGATGGCAACTATGCCCGCGCCATTGAGGAATTCAACAAGGGTAGGTTCATACCTGACTTCAGGCAGATTTTGGTGGCAGTTTAGTAACGATGGTACAGCTCTCGAGATTAGCCCCAACTCGTCCGTCTACCTGTCCAACCGGGCTGCAGCATACATGGCGGTCAACCAATACCTGGCTGCTCTGGAGGACTGCGAACGGGCCCGCGAGCTCGACCCCACCAACACTAAGATCATGTACCGCTTGGCCCGTATCCTGACCGCTTTGGGCCGCCCGACGGATGCCCTTGATGTGCTGTCTCAGATTGAGCCCCCGGCCTCCGCTACTGACCGTGCGGCCGCAGAGAAGATGCTCCGCTTTGTCAGCCAGGCGGAGGAGGCTCTCTCGCAGGACCGTGGTGTCTCCATGGTGCTGTTCTGCCTCGACCAGGCCCGCCAGCTCCTCGGACAAGGTGTCAAGGAGCCCCGCAAGTGGACACTGATGACTGCAGAGGCTCAGTTGAAGATGGGCAACGACAACTCGTACGGCAAGGCACAGGACATTGCTATTAGCATGCTCCGGGTGAACAGCCAGGACCCTGATGCGCTGATGATCCGCGCCCGGGCTTTCTATGGTATGGGTGACACGGACCAGGCGCTGAAGCTGCTGAAGATGTGCCTGGGTCTGGATCCGGATATGAAGGCGGCGATCAAGCTGCTGCGTACCGTGCAGAAGCTGGTGCGTACCAAGGAAGAGGGTAACACGGCATTCAAGGCTAGGGACTACCGTCGCGCCATCGACCTGTGGGGTGAGGCGTTGACAGTCGACCCGAAGAACAAGGACCAGAACGCCAAGATTCTGCAGAACCGGGCGCAGGCCTACATCAACCTGAAGGAGTACGACAACGCAGTGGCAGACTGCAACGAGGCCCTGCGGCTGGACCCCGGGTACCTCAAGGCGCAGAAGATGCGCGCCAAGGCGCACGGCGGTGCCGGCAACTGGGAAGAAGCTGTGCGTGACTACAAGGCGGTGGCAGAGTCGAACCCGACCGAGAAGGGCATCCAAGAGGAGATCCGAAAGGCCGAGTTTGAGCTGAAGAAGGCGCAGCGCAAGGATTACTACAAGATCCTCGGTGTGTCCAAGGACGCGGGCGAACAAGAAATTAAGAAGGCGTACCGCAAGATGGCGATCCAGTACCACCCGGACAAGAACCGGGACGGTGATGCTGGTGACGAGAAGTTCAAGGAGATTGGTGAGGCGTACGAGACTTTGAGTGATCCTCAGTAAGTTCCTCGCTAAATGTGGTGTCTGGCATTTGCTAACCAGCATAGGAAACGTGCTGCCTACGACAACGGCGACGACCTGATGGACCCAGCTGACATGTTCTCGCACGGCGGCTTCGGCGGCATGGGAGGCATGGGCGGCATGGGCGGTATGGGAGGAATGGGAGGCATGGGTGGTATGGGAGGAACCCATATCAACATCGATCCCAGCGTGCTGTTCAACATGATGAACGGCGGCGGCGGCGGCTTTGCGCACGCAGGAGGACAGCGCGGAGGATTCCCCGGCGGATTTCCCTTTTAGACAGCGTGCATGCTAAAAGTTGCTGCTGTTCCTGTTGATTGTTCGATTTGCTTCCTCTGATTCCCACCCGCATGACAGACTGGGCGATAGACTGGTTTTTTCTTCTTCTTTCCTTTGGTTTTTTCCTTCATCCGTTGTGGACGGAGTGTCTTATTGATTATTGATTGATAGTATGCTGGCGGATGCCAGAGGCGTTATATACCTGGGATGACTGATGAGTTGGGATAGGATGAATGTATGATCCTAATGCTGTACTGAGTATGTTCTGAGTAAATTTAAAGTAGTGAAAACTGTATTTACACCCAGCCTTCCTCCCTATCATCCCTTCTATCATTCTTCTCACCCCTCCCCTCCCCTCCATCCTGATCATCACCATCATCACACGAAGCAAGCAACCCCCCAGGATCATGAAGCACATCCTCCGGCGAGCTCGTAATAACAATCGGCGCCGCAGTGCCCCCACTACTCGAAACACCCCTATCCCTCTTCTTCCCACCACCACTACCACTCCCACTCCCGTCCCCAGACGCAATAGCAGAAGACCCTTTCCCAGTCGTCGTACTCCTCGACCTCGACCCCTTCCTCATCTTCGCCTTCACCCTCGAGACTAGGATATGCAGCGCAGGGATACAGCTACAAATGAGCCCGAAACCTCCTTCCGCGTTCCTACCCCAAAACCAACTAGTTAGCAAGCACACAACCACAACCACACCAAACCCTCATAAACGATCGAAATAGAGGAACAACATACCCAGACAACAGTATCCTCGCATAAACCTGACTATCCCCCAACCCCGCAGCCCCAACCCCAACCACCAGCACAACCCTATAAATACTAAATCCCACAGCCAACCCGCCACACCCCAGCATAGCCCCCACTTTCACCTTCTTCACCACCCCCAGTCTCAGTGGAAACATCAACCCGATGGGCAGTAGTAAGATAGCAAGGTCTGTGATAACGCTCATCACCGCATCAGCAAGAAACACGCCCCCCTCGGAGAGACAATTAGGGTTATGTGGGTTGTTGGGCGACGTCCAGAATGTCGAGACAGGGTTGCAGATGAAGATCTTGATGAAGAAGATGATGATGTAGTAGATTGTTGTGAGCGTGATGGTGAGGTACACGGTTAGGGTTTGGGATCGGCGGACGATGAAGAGGCGGGCGAGGATGGTGAGCAGGGTGAGCTTTGCCAGGAGGACCATGGGGACGTAGATTATTGTTAACGTATAGAATAACTTGATGGAAAGGGGAGGGGTTGTTAGTATAGTGTGGAAACTGGGGGGGAATGGGTATGGGGATAGGGTAGGTGTTGTACCTTGTACACGATGGTTGTTTGTGATGGAGTGAGGGTTGAGGGGGGTTGGGTGCCGTTGTTGAATATATCTATGTTTATTTCTTTGTTAGTATATAGAGTATGTATGTGAGGTATATGTATGGAGAAGGGTATGGGGACATACAAAAAAGAATTAATATGCAGTATGCGTCGAAGAATATCTACCCTTTCCCATTAGTCTCTCCTTCTATACTCCGTACCGTACTCAGTATAAATAGGGTAGTATACCAACGATACAAAACAAAACCCTATCAACCCATTAGCTAACACATTCCTCTATGTAGAAGGTAGGGGGCAGGTATACCATCCTCAACATCAACCCCCTTCTTAAACCTCCACGCTACAACCCCCCGTAGCGCGACAAACCCAGATACCAGCGCCAGACACAGGATCTGTGTGACGAGGCTGATTGTCCAGAGGGACATTCTCTGTCTTTCACGGGTATCATTCCATTGTTATGTTCTGTTATGTTCTGTTGTTTGTAGTTGCTGTAGCTATTCAATTTTTCAATCGAAGGTATGGTGGTGATGGTGGTGGTGGTTTGCGATGGTTTTGCCGCGTTGATGTCAGTTGGGTCAGGTTGGGGTTACGCGGGGAGAGTATTGTTTGGTTCCGACGTCATGACCCTGGGAAAGTTATAAGGGGTTTTCCATCATGCCTTGATTTATTGATGTGGGGTTGGTGATGATGGATACTATTTTGTTTATCTGTGATTTCATTTGTCTATGGTGTGTGTTCATGGTATGTGTATACATGTGTGGAGGGATATCTGCTTAGGGCTAACACAATCTATCACCCTGGTATGTAATAAGTAAAAGGCTCATCATTATGTGCTATTGTATATACAAGGTATCATCACTCATATCCTAATCCTGATAATATCATCCGACTCTCATTCACTCCCAACCCCATCACCCCCAATGCCCGCGACAACGTCCCCCGTCGCAACCGCTGCAGCCCAATCGCCACCTTCCACCCCTCCGTCTCCTGCAACACAAACACATATCGTTTGCCCTCGTGGTCGCGCACCGACGCCCGCAACACATGCAGCGAGCGCTGATCATCTCCTCCCCCGGTCGATAGTCGGCACGTGTTCTTGCACATCTTCAGCAGGTTGCCCAGGAATGCTTCCGATTCCTCTGGCGTCGGTTCGTTGCCCCGCCGATTGAATGGCCCCGGCGGGGGCTTCGGTGGTTGACGCTGCGCCCCGAATTTCGGACACCATACCTCGACGAGGTTCATCGTCCATGCCTTGACGTCCCATTCGCGCTGGCCGACGCCGCGTACATCGTCGTCGATGAAGAGTCCCTCTGTCGTGATCCTCAGAACCAGTCCATCGCTGACCATGCCCTGGCCCGAGACGAGTTGCGCCACAGGACTGCGCACAAAGTTGTTGTTGAACTCGAACACACCCTTGATAACAATCTTATCAGGGTCTTTAGTCTCATAGGCCCCACGATTCGATGGCGGCGGTGTCGTTCGTGCTGTTGTCTGTGACGGCGCATATGAAGAGTCCGAGTACACTGATGACCCCGAGGTGGCACCGCCGTACGGCCGGCGCGGACGGTCAGTCGGTCGAAAGTTGGAATATGAGCTGTCAGTGTCGGTGCGGGGATACGCAGGCTTCTTGGGTGATGGTGTGCGGGGAGTGGACGTGCTAGATGCCTTTTGGCTGGCGGCCTCTTTGGCCGCTGCCTCCTGTGCATCTTTGGCTTTCTTCTCGGCATACTTCTTCGCGGCAGCCTCTTTGAGCGCCGCAAACTTGGCATCCGCTTCCTTCTTAGCTGCAGCTTTACGCTCTTCCTCCTCTTTCTCTGCCTTGGCCTTTGCCTCCGCAGCCTCACGCTCTGCTTTAGCCTTGGCCTCTGCGGCCTCGCGCTCAGCACGGGCCTTGGCTTCGGCGGCGCGTCGTGCCTCTCGTTCTCGGGCTTCCTTTGCCCGACGTGCTTCTCGCTCGCGGGCCTCTCGAGCCTCTTTCTCTGCTTTAGCCTTGGCCTCCGCGGCTTCACGCTCCGCCTTGGCTCGAGCTTCCGCGGCCTCTCGCTCCGCTTTGGCTTTGGCCTCGGCTGCTTCGCGCTCCGCCCGTTCTCGGGCCTCGCGGGCGGCCGCCTCCTTGGCGGCAGCCATCTCCTTCTCGAGCTGCTCCCTGCGCTCACGCAGCTCTCGCTCCATGGCCTCGCGCTCGCGCTTCTGCTGCTTCTCGCGCTGCTCGGCCTCCCGCTTCCGCTTAAACTCCTCCATCTTGCGGCGCAGCTCCTCCTTGCGCCGGGTCTCTTCACGGGCCTTCTCCCAATCAGCTCCACTTTGAGGTTTGCTTTCAGAGCCGGTGGCAGACGAACCTGTCTTATTTGATCCGCCTGCCTGCGGTGGCGGTTGCGGGGGTGGTCCACTTCCGGGCCCACCAGTATTCTGGTATTGATGGTTCCCACCATACTGGCCTGCACCCGGAGGCGGACCCGAATTGAAGTTGCCCCCATATTGCTGCTGTCCTTGCCCCTGCCCACCAGGATGACCATTCGGGCCCTGATTTTGGGCCCCATGCTGCTGTCCCCGTGCATACTCACCCCCGGCGCCATTGCCGGAGGGTCCACCCGCGCCTGGACCCCCGCCGGTATTAAATCCAAAATTGGGCCGTCGTCGGCCTCCCCCAGAATCGGATTGTGAGGCGCCCACGGCCCACCCGGCGACCCCAACTCCGATAGCCAGCACGGCGATGGCCAGGCCATTGCCACTGGCGACAGTGGCAGCGCACCATGCTTTCAGAAGGGGTGATATAAGGGTCCAAAGCAGGACAGCAAAGAGTGTGCAGGCGGATCCTGCGATGAAGCTGTTACGTTGTGGCTGGAGGGAAGGTAGGTAGAGAAATCCGGAGCCGGCGGAGTGAGGGGGGATGATAAAGATGTCGTAATTCCCCGGAGGGAGGTCGGAAGTCTTGCGATATTCGCCCTGGGTGGTTTGTGGTTTCTCGCCGTGAGGGGGAGGGGGTGGAGGAGGACCGTCGTCCATGGTAGGCGGTCGTTATGAATAATTAAGCTTGATGTTTATATAATTTATATCGCTTGTTGATGACTAGTGGAGGCGCACTTGCGATCGAGGCGACATGATCAAACAACGGCAGGCGCTGGAATCAGCGCGTCTAGATCGAGATAGGAGGTCAGATAGCTCAGCAATCGTCAGTGAGAGCACATACCTGGTGGAACAATAATAGTAGGTGACACAATAATAGCGAGGGAGGAGAAAGAGGACGAAGAAGAAAGGCGACGTGGGATAAGAGATCGGCTGGCGGCAAGAGGAGCGCCTAATCAGGATCGACTCCGTTTGTGTGATCCTCGCAGCAACGCTAACGGATCCCTGGCGACCAGCGTAATGAGATAGATGTACTATGTATATACAATATTGCTCCCCCGTTGAGCGGTGGGATAGATACTGTGTGTGTAACGTAGCTGATGTGGCAGTGGAAGGAGATGGAATAGTTGACAATAAATCGGGACAAACGATGATCAATGGCTGGGTTTCAGTTGCTGAGCACCACCGATTGATTGTCTCTGATTTGATCCCTTGTCAAATGGAAATACCGATGGGATCGGCTTCAGCTGTCCACTACATTCTGGAGAGCGATTGGAATTCTAACTGCACTACCAATGAGCACCGGTGCATCCTGCTATACAATGTCGCGATGAATGCAGTGGCACGTCCACATTCCAGCGGAAATCTATAGAGCACAAGCATCCGCCGCGAACCCGGCTGGGATCTCACAACCTTAATTAAAACCCTGGCCGGATGGGCTTAGAGTTATCTACTGGGTAGACGACCATGGGTTCCTTGTGGTATCCGCTGATTGCAACAATAAAGATCAGATATGCCAACATCTCTGCAGGATCACCAGATATCGATGTTTGTGTTTGTTTTGGTTTCGCTGTTTTGGAGCATCGCGTGGGGAACCGGCAGTCGTCTGATTGGTCGATGTCTCCGCACTCGCTGGTTGGTGCAATTCATGACTAATGACTATCACGTGTAAATCTTCTCTCTTTGCTGCCTCAGGCAACAGACGAGTCGGATGGCCTCACGGATGACTTCCAGTCACATCGAACACTAATCCTAAATCTCCGTCCAGTCGCAGTAGATACTAAAGCTAAACTGACCGCTGCCATCACTACTATGGTCGGATTCTGACCGCCTGCAGCCGGGATGATCACGATGATGCCCGTCCGTGATCTCCAGGCACCAAGCGATCACGGGATGCGTTAAGTCAGTTGCGGAGATGGAAAGGAGAGAGAAGAGGGGAGATACTTTTGCCTCCAAACTTCTGTCTTTCTCACACTCTCCCCAGTATATAGTAAAACCACTTCTGTCAGCCTGGAATCCGAGATCCGCCTTGTTTCAGCCTTTTGCTGCACCAAACTTACTGCCAGGCGGTGACTCCACGCTTAACGGAAGCCGGCCGACGCCATCCAATCCATTCAGTCTCCAGTCTCCAGTCCTGACGCCTGCTGCGTTGCTGCTGCTGGTCAGTCTGATCTCCATCCGGCTCTGCTGGCTGCTGTTTCCCATCCCCTCGACCTGTTTCCCAGAAATTCCTTTTTCTTTTTCCTTCCTCCGCTTCCTCTCCTCCCCTCTCCTCTCCACCCCCCTGTTGGCGTCATTTCTTGCCCCTGGCCCTGTCAGGTACCGCCCCCTTCCCCGCCGCCAACTGTCCTCACTCGGTCCTGCCCCGGCTTCAGCCTCACCCGACCTCTATTTCTTACTCTCTCGCGCATTCAGCGTTTCCCTTTGATGCCGCTATAGCCTGTCCTTGTTGACCATCGCTCTCGTGCCCCTCGAGGGCCCGTCCCATCCACCATGTCCTACCAGTCCCAGGCGGCTCCGCATCTCCCGATCCCCGTCTACAACCCCATGGCCGCCATCAATGCCCCCGCCGGCACCTTTCTGCCCGGGACCAAGGTCCAGGTCGGCAGCCATCGGGTCGTGGTCGAGAAATACCTCTCCGAGGGCGGTTTCGCCCACGTCTACGTCGTGCGCCTGCCTCAACCCGTCGATGGCTCCGATCGTGCAGTGCTGAAGCGCGTGGCCGTCCCCGACAAGGCGGCCCTGGCCAACATGCGCACGGAGGTCGAAACGATGAAGAAGCTCAAGGGACACCGCCATATCGTCACCTACATTGACTCCCATGCGTCGCAACTGCAGGGCGGCGGGTATGAGGTCTTTCTCCTCATGGAGTTCTGCGCCGGCGGCGGACTGATCGACTTCATGAACACGCGCTTGCAGAACCGGTTGACCGAGCCGGAGATTATCAAGATCTTCTCGGACGTGGCCGAGGGTGTCGCATGCATGCACTACCTCAAGCCTCCGCTGTTGCACCGGGATCTCAAAGTCGAGAATGTGCTGATCTCCCGTCACGGAGGCTCCACGATTTACAAACTGTGTGACTTTGGGTCTACTGCGCCGCCGCGCCCCGCGGCCACTTCGGCGGCTGAAGGTCGGCTGATTGAGGATGACGTGCAGCGCCATACGACGCTGCAGTACCGCAGTCCGGAGATGATCGACGTCTATCGGAAGCAGCCGATTGATGAGAAGAGCGACATCTGGGCGTTGGGAGTCCTCCTATATAAATTGTGCTACTACACGACTCCGTTTGAGGAGGTGGGACAGATGGCCATTTTGAATGCAAGCTACAAATTCCCTAACTACCCACCCTTCTCCGACCGCTTGAAGATGCTGATTGGTAAGACCCTCTGCTCGAAAGGAAGGCGCAATGCTGACTTCTCCAGCCTGGATGTTGAAAGAACACCCGCAAAAGCGTCCGAATATCTTTGAAGTGGTGCGCGAGATCTGCCACATGCAAGGCAAAGACGTGCCGATCCGAGACGTAAGTCAGTTACCTGCAGACGCAATGCGAAGGCTCACACAGATAGATTTACGCCAATCGCTCGACGTCGGAAGCCCGCCGTTACCAGGAGCTGCCGCCATCCCCCACAGAAACGCCGCAAGTGGGCGCCGTCTTTTCTCCCCCAATGCAAGAGACGCAGATCATCCCCGAGATTGCCCCCATGCGACGAGGCCGCCCGACCAGACCAACCCCGTCGCAGCACAACTCGGCCAAGCCGAGTCCGTCGCCGTTTCGCGGAGGTGGCGATCCATTTTCCGTCTTAGATGCTGGGAACCGACAGCGGGAGTCCGCGGATGAGTTCTCGAACCGGTTCCCGTCGCTGGATCAGTTCCAGATCCTGCACGAAAAAGGGGGCAAATTCGACTTTGAACCCACCGTGTCCGAGAAAACGGAAGATGAAGATTTGGCTCAACGACTCACCAATGCTCTGGCAGATGATGCGTTTGCCAAACACCCCGCGGCAGAAAATGACCCTCTTCCCAAGACCACTTCGGAGCCGACCATTCAACGTCGTCCCCAGCCGGCTCCGATCAAGACCAAGTCGTCCGAGGTGATCGAGACCTACCGCGAGGAGGCCCGGCCTCAGGTTCCCTTGTATCAGCCTGTGCCGCAGAAACCCGCCATGGTCTCGACTGGTACTATGACCTCTCCGCCGGCGACGCCTGGCGTGCCGAACTCCAAGCCATCCAGCCGGCCCATCTTCAAGTTCCCGTCCAGCGACCACCAGCGTCGGCCATCCAGCCAACCGTGGCCGACAGAGGCGGACAAGAAAGCAGGCCGGCAAAGCAAAGCTCCGTCACCCACCTCTTCGTCCTTCCCCAACCCGCGAGTCTCGAACGATCGCGTCTCTGATCTGTCTGCTTCGCCACGGCCGTCGCTTGACGGACTCCGACCTACCAATCTGGATGTGGAGGAGCCTGCTCGATCTCGGTCAGCCAACAGCCGCTCCCGGCCTGTTTCTGTCCACGCTAGCGCACGTTTTGAGCTGCCTCGCGGGTCAGAGAGCGCGCGCTCCTCCCTTGACCTGCCACGCAGCCCGTATGAAGGCGGCGCACCGCTGCAACACGCGCGCACCGAAACGGACCAGCCATACGACCGCAACATCTCGTCGGACGTGGACTATCTGCGCGCACGCGAAGAGGAGAGCAGCCGGAAGCGTGAGAAGCGGTACAGCGGCACGGCCAAGCACACGAAACGGTCGAGCTTATCGACGCTGTCTCTGTCGGGCACAAAGACGCTGTTTGCGGGTCGATTTGGCGATGCGTTCCGGCGGTTCGAACACAGTAACCAAGAAAGCAAGGCGCAGTCTCCCGTGGCGGAAGAGTTCCCCAGACCGGTGCTGCCTTCGGCGGAGGTGACGGCAGAGCCGGCCAGCGACCTGATCGAGATGGACAGCGAGGACATTTCGCCGGAGATGCGGCGGGAGCTGGAGCGGCGGCGGCTCTCCCAGGAGGAGAAGCGCGTAGCCAAGGCGGCGGAGGAGTACCGTCGGCGGGTGGCCGAGGGTGGAGCGGGTGGCTTCAAGGGCGGCGACGGGTCCCGGTCGCAGGCGATCCAAAGCAAGGTGCAGTCGCTGCTGAGCGAGTCGAACCGGCCACCGGTTCCGCCCAAGACAGCGACGGGCTACGGGCGATACACGGACGAGTCAAGCGCCGCTTTGCAGGCAAAGCCCACGGAGGCGCGTCCGGACACGCGGGGATCGCGGGTCAGCGGCACAACAGCGTCATCGATGCAGGAGCGACACGAATCGCGCGGACTGCCCCGACAGGAGACGGCATCGACGGGATATGCGGCCTCTCAGCGCACCGGGTCGTCGCGACCGGCTCTTCCTCCCAAGCCCAAGGGGCTCCGGGTGGGGGGTATCGAGACGCGGACGGAGAGCCAACCGGCTAGCCCGACGGTGAGCTCGGCAACGACGGCAGGCGATGACTGGGAAGCCAACTTTAGCCGGCGATTTCCAAGCCTATCGGGGCTAGAGATGGAGACGGAGATCGAAATGGCGCGGGTGCCGCTGCGGACGCGCGAGATATAGCCGAGTCAGATGTGAGGGTTGAATATGGATAGAGCGTAATCTGGTATACATAGGTAGACTTGTATCAGCGAGCGAGCATTGCATTGAATCATAGTTCTATGAGTATACACTACTAAACAGCCGACGGCTTTCCATCTTCACAATATGTTTAAGGCCTTTTCCGCTCTGGGATCAGCTAGGATCGTGGCATGAGCGCGGCGGTGCGTGTGCTGATTGCTCATGGACTGTCAGAAGACTACTAAGAGAACATGTAGAAAGGTTACAATGTATAAAAGAAGCCTTTGCATTTGCATAACAGTATAGGGAAACCTAATTTAATAGGGAAAACCTAAACCAAGGCGTTTTAAGAACCCTGTTCACCTAATCATCCATGACATGCTCACAAAGGATCAATACAGTATGATTCGGACATTCTAGTAAAAGTGCGTTAGTGGACAACAACGAGCATAATGTAATTCAGAGGCCTTACTTACCTGGATAAGGGTTTGGCGATACTGCAGTATCCGGCAGTTACGGCAAGACGTTTACTATTTCTGAATTAGTATAATAAAGACATGCTCACGTCAAGATCATAGACAGAAAAGGTCACTCACAGGAGGGCCCACTATTCAGATTCCATCACTGTCAACCTATACTAATCTCAAGGCTTCTCTGAGGAAGGCAGAGAAGGTTAATTACATACCGCCTATCAGGATTTCCATGATATCAGTCTATAGTACTATGGTAATTTCCAGTCATGTCTGAGGCACAGCAGGAAGGTCAATCACATACAAACTATTCAAATCACATCATTGTCAGCCTATAATCTGGAGATATCTCTCGGGTAGAAAAGGTCAATTACATACGAACTATCCATATTCATGTCACTGTCAGCTTATATCATGTTATTTCTCTCGGCCAGGAAGGGTCACCCACCCCCAGGTAAATCCTATCCATATTCGATCACTGTCAGTTTATATTCTCTGATTATCTCTCTTATGGATGGGAAGAATCAATCACATACACACTATTCATATGTCGTCATCTCTGTCAATCTGTAATCTCTGGTTATCTTCCAGACAGGAAAATTAATCACATACAGGCTATTCATATCCCAATACCGTCAGCCTATAATCTTCAAGTCATCTATATCTCAAGCAGGGAACCAGACGTACACTCTGTCTCTTCTCAACTGTGTTCTCGTCTTGACCATTGGTTTGTGCTGGCCCTGCTACCGCAAAGGTAGCGAAGAGCATTGCATACAGAACAGTCAATAACTTCATCTTGACGATATCCTTGTGTCAGTGTATTGTAAAAATAGATTTAGAAGAAAAAGAAAAAGCTGTTGCAGGATAGGTATGTATGTTGATGATCTGATCGTAATTTTTCAATGGAAAGGGGACAAGATACGGGTTCTATGTATATTTAAGCCTTGGTCTTGATAATTGCTTCTTTCTCTGCTTAGATACTGTAGATACTCACGGTGAGTCCTTTACGGATTTTGTTCGCTGATCAACGCATATTGCATAAACTGCATGTGGGTTACAATTTCAGTCTCAACTTCCAATAAGAAATATCAGGGAGAATTTTTGTATGGCTTGACTGTGGTGATTCTTTTGGGTATTTTGTTCACTGATCATTCATGTCTTTACGTTGATTGTAAACGTTGCGTGGGGTTCTACATGTCCTCGCAAGACGTACAGAATCAGTCAGATCGGCTTAGTATTCAAGTATTTCTCGAACAGCTTCAGTGGCAGAGTTAGGGACGCGACCATTCAAAGCAGAGTAAGATGTGGTGCATGCTCTTTAAGCAACGAGTGTAAAGCGGCGGGATCCGTAGTTGAGCTGAATGGATGGAGCATCGTATTACCCAAAACGGCTAGTCTACCCCGGACTCGACTCTTCTCTGCTCTCGTCATCATCCAAACAGAATCCGCCTCAGCTCCAAGCTTCACGTTTCAGAGCAGCACATCATGGCTCCCATTCCCCTCAGCACGGTCGACAGTACGTATACCCTGTTTTTCAATCTAACTAATACTAAAATCTGCCTCAGCCGACCTGAAAGACGTAATACAACACCTGTTCGAAATCCAATCCGCCGTCCACGGCTACCTCGGTCCCGAAACCCAACAAGAGCTCGTTCGCAAAATGTACCTACCCTCCTTCCTATCCCTGCCATCTTCCTCGCCTGATATTTATAACTCTACTAACGGATTACGTGTTACGTGTATAGAAAAAATCTCACTCTCGCGCTCTCCACACTCAGCACACACACCTCCGATAATCACCCCGACGCACAATCCCAATCACCCGGAAACAGCAACGACCCTCCCATCCACAGCATCCAACTTCCCCCTGAGATTATCGACTACGTAGACGCAGCAAGGAATCCGGATATCTACACGAGAGAATTCGTCGAGTTGATCCAGCGCGGGAATCAAGATCTGAAGGGGAAGAAAGAGGCGTTTGGGAGTTTTCGGGATGTGTTGGCGAGGGAGATGAGGGGGGCGATGCCGGAGATTAGGGGGGAGGTGGATAGAGTGGTTGCTTCGTTTGGTGGTGATGGGAATGGGAATAATAATGGGGAGGGCAGGGGGTGATGGTTAGTTCATTATGATGATGGTGATGATGGTAATGGAATAGAGGGATAGAATTATCTTGGGATGGAGTTTGGGGGTGGAGTTATTTTTCGCATGCTTTGTTTTGGGGGTTAATTTATTATTACTATGAGTGATTTGTGATGATGGATGATGAGAGGAATGTGATGATCGGAATCCAATGCCGACTAGACTGAAACTCAAGTCAGCAAGCAAGTAATGGGTTCAGCCTTGTGTGTGGCAGTGGCTGCTGCTGCTGCTGCTGTTACTGCCCCCTGGAGTTATTATTATCTCTTCAGACAAGGAGCAGAGGGATAAAAATAACATGATGAACGATTAAAATAAAAATAATGGGGGGATAATGCACGTGGGGATGCAAGGACTGTTTTTTTCCCCTTTATTCTTCTCCTATATGATTTCATATGGAAGGGGAGTATAGCATAGCAGGTATGCCAACATAACCCTATCTAGTATCCACCTCAGGACGGAGTATCTCAGAGTTTAACACAACATTAACTAAGTAACTAACAGGTTAAATGCTCAGCTGAACAATAATAATGACAACAGAGAGGACAGACTCCCCGCCCAATAAATCAGGCGAAGGGCAACTGCAAATAACAATGCACCGCGTCACGCCAGCCCCCGCCCGTCAGCCGGGCACTGACTGCCTTTCAATGTCCCCAGACGGCAAGGATCTGAGCCCGACGACCTGTCATGATTCTTGATTCATTACATGTCGGGTAATTGCCCGCCTGCCCCGGATCCTGCATCGGCCTCTGCTTCTGTCTGTCTCTGTCTGCCTCTTCCTCTTCTTAGTCGCTCTCTCGTCTAGCCTTACTCTGACTCGCTTAGTCTCGCTTCCTCTCTCCTCTTCTTCCTCTTTCTCTACTTCTGCTTCCTCTTCCTCTCTTCTCTACTTCCCTTTTCTTCCTTCCCATCGTATATCGTCTTCTCTGCAATGGCATCATGATCACCGGCCCTACCGCCTCCCCCGGCAATGGCGTGGTTGGGCCCTACTCAGGCAACAGCCTGGCCCTGCGCATCGTCATCGCTACCATGGCCGCTCTATCCTGGTATAACGCCATCGAACTGGTCATTCTCGTCTTTGTGACCTTCTCCCAGTTTCGCGGTCCCTACTTCTGGTCTCTTCTGATCTCCGCTCTCGGTCTGATTCCCTACTCAGCCGGCTTTTTGCTCAAATACTTCGCTCTCACGTCCGCTACCGCCCTCTCCATCACCCTCATTACCATCGGCTGGTATGCCATGGTAACCGGCCAATCCGTGGTGCTCTACTCGCGCCTGCATCTCGTCCTCCCCAATCCGAAGGTCCTCCGCCGCGTCCTCACCATGATCATCGTGGACGCTTTCCTCTTACATATCCCCACCTCCGTGCTCACCTACTGCTCCAACCTCTCTTCCCACCCAGCCATCTTCATCTCCGGCTACAACATCATGGAGAAAATTCAAATGACCGGCTTCTGTCTGCAAGAATTCATCCTTTCCGTCCTCTACATCTGGGAAACCATCCGCATGCTCCGCCTCGATCCCGACCGCGGCAAACGCAAAATCATGTACCAGCTCGTCGCCATCAACCTGATCATCATCGCTCTGGATTTGGGACTTCTCGTCATCGAATACCGCGACCTCTACATCCTCGAAACCATGATCAAACCCGTCATCTACAGCGTCAAACTCAAGCTCGAATTCGCCGTCCTTGGTAAACTCGTCCTTCTCGTCCGCAGCGCCCACAACCTCACCTGGAAGCCTGATTCGCCGCTCTATGCTGCCGCCTCGCCTGTTACTATCCCACCGCAGATTCCGTGCCGCAACGGCGACATTGTTCACGGCAATTTCAACAATAACAATGACTTGCCCGACTTCGTCGATGCCACTCGCGTCCCCTCAGATCTCAACCACGCCGCGGCCGGCGCCGCACCCCGTCGACGGCCCCCGCCCCGCATGGACTCGGAGGAACTCTCCATCGCCATGTTCGAGCACTCCGAGAGCGGTGGTGCGGGGACGGGCAATATCCTGAAAAATGGAATTGGTCGAGACCGAAGTTTCGAACGAGATCATGGACATAGTCTGGATCTCCCGCCCACGGGACACTCGAACGGCTCGCAATCGTGGAGTGGGGAGACGCAGACGAATAACTCCGCCACGGAGCGGGAATTAAGTCCGTTGGACTTTACCAAGCCGTTTGGAAGGCAGGATAGTAGGAGTAGTTTCTAAGCTGCTATGACGATGATGATATTGATGATGATTACGGTTTGATGATTGATGATTGCTTTTTTGTACAGTACTGACAACCCTTCTGACTACTAACATTGTGTGTGCAATAGTTAGTAGTTGTTGTGGTTTGGTTTGGTTTGGTTTGGTTGCCTTAGCGGAGATACCCGATACGATACCCACTTTTGATTATCTTTACTTTTAACATTTGCCGTGGGTGGGAATCGATCCATGGGACGGCGTTTATCTTTCTTTTTCACATATTTGAATTGAGTATATATTTATATAGCAGAATACATATATGAAATTTAATCAAATAACCTCAGCTTCGGTGAAATAAGCACATACCAGGAATACTGGTAATTAATCAGGGAAAGTAAAGCGACAACCGGTAACCGGCAACCGGCACGAAATCCCACCCACAGTTGAAAAAAAGAAAGATGAGTGAGTCATCTCTTCCCCACCAATCAGATAAATTATCAAGCATGGTTGATAATCTCACTGGCCCAACACGGAGTAAAGTATTAGTGTAGTTGGTAAATGGTTAGGGTTAGTAATTACCCCTCATTTCTCCATGAATGATAATCATTGATTCAGAGAGAGGAAGTGTGTAGTGTGTCCACTTGGTTCCCGTTCTTGTTTCTTGTGCTATGGTACACTTTACCTGTTTTGGATTGGGGGTTGAGTTGGTTTGGGTTGGTTTGGGAGGGTGTTCACCGACTTTTTTTGCGGGTGAGTAGGTAGAGGTGGAGGTGGAGGTGAGGTGAGGTGGATGGATGGTTGTTGGGAGTAGGTTCTTACGCTGGTGGTTTTTGGGTTTGGGTTTGGGTTCTGGTTTAAGGTTTCTTTGTTTGTGTGGGTAGGTGGGTGGGTTGTTGGTGCTTGGTTATTCTCACAGGGGGAGTTAGAGTGGTAGGTATGGATGGTTTGGTGGGTTTGATTATATAGACTTTTGGACACATCCACCACAGTGGATTAGAGTAGTGCCTTCGCAGCAGCATGGGTAAAGGAAGATGTTAGATACTTTCTTGTGTTATAGATCTAACACCCTCACAGGAGAGCTCGAAAACGGGAGACTTGCCAGCAACCTATCTCATTGTATGAGCTCGAACATTCTAGCTCGTACGTAGATCCTTCAACCAAAGTTTACCCTCTCCATATAGTCTAGACCAGAGTGAAGTTCCGATATTCAGGCGACGCAGCAATCCAGTCATGAAGCTCGACTGCACCTATAGCCACTCGCCGACTCAGTCCATCTCGAGTTTCGACGATCAATACATTGACAACGAATTTCACCATAGTCCTTTCATCTGAGCCGAGGAAGCTTCCCTCGGAATCATACCACAAGCCCCATTCGTCTGGACAGACATAAGTAGCGCATTCCTCACACATCATTGAGAGAGCAAGCACATCCAGTTTGGTACCATGATCCGTGCTGTAATCATGGTCGAGAAATTGCCAATGGAGAGGGTTAGGCCGTATCCACAAGTCTACCTCGATTTCACTGATGCTGTGCAAGATTAGATGCACGTATCCTTCGATGGCAGGGCTTGGGCACTCTTGGTCTCCACGCTTGACAATTTGAGCATGGATTGATTGTGTATGTGATAGCAATGCTCCCGGCTGATCGGCATTTTCCATGTAGAATAAGCAAGACATTCTCTCGAAATGCATCTTCCCCGAGCTACTTGCTATCCCAAGTGCTTCCTCGAAAAGCTTATTAGCTGACGCCCATCTGGACATAATTAGAGCCAATAAATTTTTCCAGGTGGTGCTGATATTCAGCATGGACGGCGATGGCTTTGGAAAGCAGCCTTCCTTCCACATCAATGCGATGCCAATCCCTTCATACGATTGAGGTTTCTCATACCATGACGGTCTCGGATTATGAGACGGGATTATGCGCACCAATTTCTTAGTCTTCGAAGATGGGATGCCCCACGCACCCAGCATGATACCGGGCCCTACAAACGAGCCTCTTCCTGCGCCTGAATAAACCTCAACGGGTGCTATCACAGAAGACCACGACCAGGTTGGAAATATATCACCGGTTTCTGTACTCCTGACCTCTGGCGTTTCGAGAGCAGAGAGTCCACGGGGAGACCAGAGCATACCCCCCAAAAATTCAGAGTGTGGTAGGCCAAAGTAATGCTCCGTGCCAAATTTCCAATGCATGACGCCAGATAATGCCTTGAGAATATCCGCACTGAAGGTCAAGTCTCTAGAAGTGAAGTCCTGCACTATACGATGGTATCGTTTGATCTTGTTGAACAGTAATGACATCATGATATATTTCAATTTCGGCCTTCGGGCAAATCTATCTTCCTGATAACCTTGTGAGCACTCAAAATATACACCTACATTTGCAAACATCAGCATTCTTGGCGACAACATTGCCTCCTGAAATATCCAGCCGCGGGAATTCCATTTTGACTTCTTGACAAGCTTGGGATATTCTTCATCGATGATTCTTAAGTTCATCCCTGGTATCTTATAGGTCATACGGACTACTCTTGCTTGCGAGACCCCGGGGAGACCGTGATCCATGTTGGCGCCTTCTAAATCCACTAATGTAAGGTAAGAATGGCTGTATATATCACCCATGGCATTGATCTGTGAATCTTTCACGGCAGCAGTGTCGTCTTGCACAATGCACAGTCTGTCGATCCAGAGGTACCGTATCTTCAATTCGATGCAGGCACGGATGCTATCCCTAATAGTCGCCGGTAGAGGTTGCTTAAATAGGTAGCCTTCTTCCTCCAGTGTTCGGATGTTGCTTGTTGTTGCCAATGCATAGTTGTCAGCAGTGCCACCCCACACGTAGCTCAAGGTAGCATATCTGCAGGCAGGAGGAGCCATTACTACGCATCCTCTTTTAGTGTCAATAACTCGAAACCCGCGTGGCGGTGTTTTTAGGGGCCCATTGTCGCATGAAATTTCTCCATGCCTTTGGTGATGCTTTTTGTAATGCTTTATGTCACACTGTCTTAACCATGTGTGAACGGTGCTCCAGTTCACCATCGGCTGCTGCCATATTGTTCGTTTGGCAAGAGCACAAACTACCGCTTGGGAAGAATCAAAAACCCCACCAAATGAGCCTCTTATATCATCTAACTCAACTTATCAGATTAGCTTACATTTAAACTAATGATAGAGTATTATACTAACCGCCTGTCCGGACTTGTATGTTCAAATCGATATCCTTGTACTCAAGGTCAAAATCAAGTTCCAGGCTACAATGCGACTCGGGATTGCACTCCTCTAAGCACTCTTGGACAATCATGCGACACAATACACAGCTTTCAGACCGTTGATGTACGTCCTGAAGCTCCCCGAGGTCCACCTTAAATTCGACCAACTCCCGTTTATGTCTAAGGTGGCACAGCCTGAGATGCTTGCAAACATCACAGAGAGAAATATCAGAGACATCATCGCATCTAGCGCAGGGCTCGTGGAAGTGGGAATGCCGAAGATCTGAAAATTTCCGGTTGTGTTGCCAATTGAAAAGATCACGGTTGTGCAAGTGAACCCGTATAAAACACAGACACAAGGAACATGTTCTAGCCACATCAACGCCAGAGTGGTTCGCGTCCCTATTCTTGCCCGTAATGCCTATTCGACAAGACAGACCACGTAGTAATCTTGACATGTTCTGAAGGAACTAAGACTCCTAAGAGCGAGAATGCAACAAGCTGTAGCAGGCAGAACGACTGTAGTGTCGGTTGGCAGGAGGTTGGGATGGAGTTTATCTCCAGTTCAATAAGAAAACCTGAAAACCTGTTTGCTGAGCTGGCAGAGATGAAAGACAGGGATCTGCCTCAATGCATGAACCCCCACCTTTAGGCGCCTGGGCGGTTGGTCGAACTAATCATATCGCATGGTGTGGTACTCGCGTACTTAGTGCTGAATGGATCATCGACTCAAACGTAAGCATCGTAGATCAGCTGAAAGATCTCCGAATGTGTCCGATACTATTTTGATGACTCGCTGGTCATCGTAAGTGGCAGATATTCAAGAAGGTGAAGATTTGCAAGTCTCCGAGAATTATGGAGGAGACGAGAGGAAGAAAAGAGGAGGGTGTAGTCCACTGGATCACCTGATTCAACTGTCAGATAGGCTGCTTCTAGCATAGTATCCACACCTCACTAGACATGCGATGTGTCAGTATCAGCGATGCCTTGCACTGGTACAGCCTCAGCCTGTATCTTATGCGTTGCTCCCCAAGTGCCTCATATGCACGCAGTGTTATCAAAACCTTCTTTTTGAATCTACACCCGATAACAACAACAGGACCTAAGGCTAAAACAAGCTGCTGAACTACTGATACCATCTACTTCATTCGTGTACTTGAGGGAATAGCTCATTAACAAGTAATATGATACAGTCTCAATCTCTGTATTCACCAATCAATCAGATCATGAACGCCTTGCATACCGGATGCATCCCAGCGCCTACAATTTCACAAGAATCAAAGTCCCGCAGACACCAAGCCAGACCACTAAATACACGGCAGCCGCCAAAGAAAAGAAGCATCACAAGAAATGTCGCAGTAAGTACCATGCGTCCAACGCTCAAAAATGCAATCAATGTTAGTCTCATTCAATTTAGGCACGGTTCTTCGGCTGCGCCAGCATGTTCAAGCGGCTGACGCTCAACACGCCCCGGTTGCGTGCGCGCACACTGGCCGGAGTGCTGATGCGCGGAGTGCTCATGCGGCTGGTCGTGGCCGATCGGAGGGGAGTGTGCGAGCGAGGCTTGGTGGGGCTGGGAGTCGCGGCTTTGGTTGGGCTAGGGGCCGCAGCCTTGCGGGCACTCAGAATGGGCGCCTTGATCGGAGAGGGCGAGGTCATCTTCATTCGTTTAGCACTGCGCGCGTCCGCGGCTGTGTCGACAGGCGGCACATTCTCGGTGTCGGTCTCATCCTCGAGGGCAGCGCGGTTTCTCTTCTTCTGGCCGATGCCGTGAGGGACACCCGCGACCTCAGGGAGATCATTAGACTTGGTGTCTTCACCAGTCTCACGGGTCCTCTTCTTGTGGCCGATTCCGTGCGGCACGCCTGCAACCTCAGGCAGAGGATTGGCATGGACATCTGACGGGCGGACATGGCGGATGGTAGGGGTTGTCGCTTGGGCGGGAGACTTGGCGCTGACCCTGTTCTGCTCCGGAGTCAACACCGGCAGTGTGGGATAGACAACGTCGGAAATGGTCCGCGATGGACTGGCAACCGGAACCTTCGATGGAGACGGTGAGAACATAACCTCCTCATGGCGGGCCTTCACACTAGGAGTGAACTCTACGCGTTTCTTTGGCGACGGCGTCTGTGCAGGCTCCTCGGTTGTGCCTCGCGATCCGAACAGCAGGTTCGGGGTAAAGTCTGGAGCCGCCACATGGGTGCCCGCGGCAATCTTAGCAGGATCCTTGGAGAACAAAGGCTGGTGGCGGCGGAGGATCGACTTCAGGTTACCCAAAGTGGGCAAGTTGCTCTTCAGCCGAGGGTTGAACTCTGTCTGAGGCGTGCGCGGCACATCGGCCGGCTTCGCAGCTGGAGACCGGACGAGCGACGGAATCATCGAGGTGCGGGGCGGCTTTGCGGTGACGGACGAAGCACGCGCCGCAGAGGACCGCGTCGGGGTCATCAACGAGCTGCGCACTGTAGATCTGGGCCGGGGTTGCACAGGCTTGGGAGGGCTGGCTGCAGTGGGACGACGCGTCGATGCATCATCGGCCGTGTCGTGCTTGACGCGTTTGTTGCTAGCAGGGGCAGCAAGGGCAGGTGAAGGACGTGCAATCTTGGATGGCGATGGCGAGTTGCGGTCCGAATCGTCCAAACGCGCCTTGGAGTTGGTTCTCTTCAATGTCTTGACCACTGGCTGGAAGCGTCCCCGGGTGGCACGGAAAGCCGACGCGTGGCCAGCAATGGAGTCCATCTTCTTGAATTCGGCCATGTGCACGTCGCTGAAGCGGCTGGCCTTGCCCTTGGGCTGCACAATCTTCCGGTCCGCTGCCTCGGCGCGGTTCTGGCCGGGCTCCAGGGTCATCTGAGCTTTGATCTTGGCTGCATCCTCGCGCACGGTTTCCATGAGCTTTTTGGCATCGTCACTGAGCTGCGAGTCGCAGGAGAACTTAAACTCGAACGCGGGTGTGCCGTAGTAAGGAGCGGGTGAGGCCTTGGCTTTGGTAGGGGTGTTGTCGGCGAGGGTGTCCTTGATCACCTTGCCTTCGGCATCCTTCTTGATGGGCTTGAAGCCCAGGATCAGACCGGAGTCTGCCTGTTTGGTGGTGCTCTGGCGGACCTTGCTGGGGTGCATTTCTTGGTGGGACGGACGCACGAGGGTGCTGGAGGGAGTTCTGGTGGGTGTGCTTTTGTGGACGGGCGTGCTTCTGTGGACGGGTGTGTTCTTTTGGACTGGCGTATTTCTGTTGACAGGCGTGCCCTTGAGAGTTGGGATAGATTTCTTAGGAGTCGATAGCTTGGAAGCAGGTTCAGGAATAGCCTTGGTAGTAGGTTTCTTTTCAGTCTCAGCAGCAGCGGGTTCAGCCATAGCCTTGGGAGTAGGCTCCTTTTCAGTCTCAGCAACGGCAGGTTCAGTCGCATCCGTCTTGGACTGAGACTCAGCGATCGCCGGAGTCACCTCAGCAACAGGCTCTTTAGCTTCAACCTTGGACTTTCTCTTAGACGCGGTCTCAGTCTTGGTCTTCTTCCGCGACCGCTGCACGGGGGCATCCTTAGCAGCATCAGCTGGCTCCTCGTGCTCCACGACGGGAGGCAATCTCTCCGGCTGTTTGCCGAGACGAGCCATGGTTGTGTCGATTTCGGACGTGTTCTCGGAGTTGTTGTGATTGTTCGTGTCGCAGGGGGCGTTGTTGTTAGTGACGACGGGGTCGGCAGGGGCCTCAGGCTCCTTAAGGTCGAGTCAGTGAATGTCATGCAAGGGCGCGAGCAGCCCATCGGAATGGAGGCTGAGTGGGATGGGTGGTGTGCTCACCTCGGTGGCCTGGCGGCTGCGCAGGCGGGCGGACCGTCGAACCGCCATTGTGGTAGTCAATGTGTATCGGGTGACGTTGGAATTGGGTATCGAGATGTCGAAGAATCGGCTTGTGTGGGGGGATGGATCATGAATTAAATGAATGCAGGGCGAAGGCGAGATTCAAGAATAAACAAACACCCGCAGGCGGTGAGCTGACGTCAGGGCTTAGCTAAGCGTGTTGTGCTGTGCATGAGCTAGTTATCACATTGACTATATCGTCCATCATCATTAATTTGAAACACTATCTACTTTTACTCCTTACAGTCCATTCTACCATTACTTACAGTCTACTCTACAATCCAAATGGATACGTCTCCTCCGTACCCATCGCCGTCCGCGGCTGCACCCGCTCCAACGGCTTGACAGCCTCGGTGCTATCAAACCAGACATACGCATCGAACTGGTTCTGCAGATCAGCCTGCGAGTAATGCGACATGCGCTCAGTATCAGGCCGATAAATGACGCCAATAAATCTCTCCAACCGCTGATCCTCCGCCGCCATCAAGCTCCTCAACTCCGGACTCATCCTCGTCGGCCTCAAATCCAACAAGAAGCTCTCAATGCCCGTCTGATGTGCCAACCACTCCCAACTATCCGGTCTCGACGGCTTGACCTTCATAATCTCCATATCTTCATCCCACTCATGCGCAGCCGCCACAGTCCCGGTATGTGTCCCACAGCCGATCAGCGCAACCTTATCCCGACCGAACTGCTCGCGACACAGCTGTCCGATATTCACCTCATTGCGCCGACTGCCCATGCTCGTGTATCGCGCATCCCCACAATGCGAATTATGCGCCCACACCACGGCCTTACTGCCGGGGGGCTTGTGACGAAGGATGCGCCGTAGCGTATCCACCATGTGTGTATCACGTAGAGTCCATGACGACGCAGAGCTATAATACATCGCCTTGTAGTATCTCTCTGCGTCACGCACTAGATACGCATTCTGCTGACTACTATGCGACTCTTCGCCATTATGCGGATCCTCCTCCGCATACTGCAGTCGCTTTCGCAGCAGGTCGCGCAGCATGTCCACAACGCCCTTCTCGCAGTCTGCCAAGCCGCGCAACGACGCGAGTCCGTATGCCGTTGGATCATCCACCCACGGTTGCAAACAGCCATAGCGACGACGCGCCAGTTTTCCTGCCTCTGGGTCCAGACGGTCGAGATAATCTACGACGGCGCGGATGGATGCCCCCATGCTGTACAGATCAAGACCGTAGAATCCGGCCTTCTGGTGATCAGGTAGATTGGCGTTGTGGTCGCGCATCCACTCGACTAGGTCTTGCATTTCGCGATTGCGCCACATCCAAGTTGGAAATCGCTGAAAGGGCTCGTCCTTGTCATTGGTGAGATGGGCTTGAGGGCCGGGGCGTTGGCGCACATAGCGGTCGATGGCTTCAGCGTCAGGCCAGTCGGCTTCGACGGCGACGGTGGTGAAGCCGTGGTGCTCGATGAGACGCTTTGTGATTTCGGCGCGGGCGGCGTAGAACTCGGAGGTGCCGTGGCTGCCGTCGCCGAGGAGGACGACGCGGTAGTTGGCGAAGCTGTCGAAGTGGGAGGCGAAGTTGGGGTCGTGGATGGGAGGGAGGGGACGGGCGGCGGTGGAGAGGAGGTTTTGGAGGGACATATTCTTCTTTCTTTTGGATAGGAATTTGAACATAGATTATACCAGTACGGTATGTATGATACTGTGGTTAGTCCATGATGGTTGTAGTTGATAAGTATCGGGATGTACGAGACTGCGGTATAATAGATGTGATTAGGGTTAGATGAGATCACCTCCCGCTCATGATGACTTCACTGCATAGACATCAAGCATACAATAACTGAGCTCTTCTGCCGAACAAGCCAATTCATTCCATGCTAGTTTCAGTATATACTCCAACTCTGATTTGACCTGAACAGCTCTTACTAGTCTCCCCCTTTCCATGCCACTATACTACCATACATCCAACCCCATCTACACCCACACCCACCCATACTACCCTCACCACCATCCCATCTATACAACAACCATGCCCCCTCCAACCCCCACCCCCCAAACCCTCTCCCTCTTCCTCCGCGCCCAAACAACCCTCTACGGCCCCTCCATAACCACCACCCCCAACCCCCAAACCTGGACCCCACCCCCCTCCTCCGGGGGCCACCTCGGCCGGTACCTCTGGACGGACGCCATCGGAGTCCTAAACTTCCTGACCCTACACCGTATCCACCCTAATCCCCCCAGCAAAAACCACTTCCTAACGCTCGCCTCCCAACTCATCACCTCCGTGCACAACACGCTCGGTCGAACGCGCGATCCTCCCCACGCGCCCCTCCCCGGCGCATCCCCATCCCACCCGCTCGCCGGCGGCCTACGCATCGGCAAACCCTCCGCGACAGGCCACGACTGCGACGGCCAATACCACCATTACCTGACGCTGTGGATGTTCGCGCTGAACCGGATGAGCGTGGCGAGCGGCGAGGGGAAGTGGAATAAGCTGGCGGTGGAGTTGGGAAGGGCGATACATCCGCATTTCTTCATCAGGGGGGTGGATGGGAGGAGGTTGGATAGGATGGTGTGGAAATTGGATACGGAGTTGAGGAGGGTGCTTGTGGGGAGTGAGGGGAATTTGGACCCTGTTGATGGGTTTGTGGTTTTTAGGGTGGTTAGGGCTTATGAGTTGGCCTATGGCGGTGGAGATGGGGGGATGGGGGAAGGAGTGTTGGAGGAGGAGATTGAGGACTATAGGAGGGTGATGAGACGGAAGGGGAGACAGAGGGTTAGTGATGATTTGTTGGATTTGGGGATGGGGTTGTGGACGGCGCATCTTGTTGAGGGGGAGGAGGAGGAGTGGGCCGGGGAGTTGTTGGGGAGGGGAGTTGAGAGGGTTTGTATGTTCATTCCCCCCTGGGTCTACATCTTTGCTGGTGTGGAACTGACTGACTTGGGATGTGTGTAGATGATCTGTTTGAGATTAAGCACTATCTACAGCGTGATCCGCGGTATCGGTTGGCGTTCAGGGAGTTCGGTGCCGCGATGGGTATTAAGTGTGTTGCGGAACAGCTGGCCGAGAAGGATACTGCAGTTGATTTGAAGGTGTATGCGGATCAGATTGTGGATTTCTGGGCCCCGTATATGGCTGGGGAGGAGGAGGATGATATTGAGGATTTGAGACCCATTACGCAGGTAATGTATGCGGCGGCGTTGATTCCGGGAGGTGAGTTTATAATACCAGTTCTCTTGAGAGCTAGTTATTGGGCTAATTGGTACGTAGCTTTCTGTCGCGGCTTCTTCGACAATGAGCCTGTTGTACCGCCGGTGCTTAATGTGTATTAAGGTAAGAAATGTATTCATCGTGTACTATACTCTACACCATCTATCATGCCATAATCATATCATGTATACTCAAACACCCGGCAAGCCTACCACATTCCTCCACGGCAAGACCCGTCGAGGCAAGATGTAGATCGTATAAACTGTGCCGAGGGCAATCAACAGCCCCGTCAACTGCAACCATTAGCATCGTCATCATCACTCACCCAGTCAGATCGTAACATACCTTCTCAAACCACGTATGGAACCAAATCCCCGTCATCAACAACATCCACCACCCCAACCCAGCAACCGCCCAAGCAAACCTGCCAGACCATACCCTCACGACATCCACCTCCTCACTGACCTTCTTCTCCGCCTCCCCATTCCCATTCCCATTCCCATTCGCACTTCCCTTCCCCCAACCCTGACTCCCCCCGACCAACTCAAACACAACCAACGACGTCGCCAACACCAACAAAAACACATGTCCACTAACATCATGACCACCCCTCCACGCTCCACCCGCATGTTTACACGCCGCAGCCGTCAACAGCGTCTTGACATCCGCCGCGGCGGGCTCGTTCTCCGCCAGCGGCACCGCCCGCTCACACTTCCCGCCCGTCAGCACAAAGCTGCGGTCAATAATCGGCGGGCCGAAGAACCATTGCGTCGTGAGATACCATACTGTCGTGGCGAGGGCGTAGCGGAGGACGGCCTGGCCAGTGCGTCGGGCGCGGTGGCTAGCGGCGAGGGTGTAGGCGGGCTGGGAGAGCAGGATGAAAGCGAGAGCGGCGGTGGTCCACAGCCAGCCGACTTTGACGAAGTATAGATTGAAGATGTTGTCTTTGCGGGCGAAGTAGTTGACGGGCCGCGGCGGAGGAAAGGAGAGGTTGAGGTCTGACGCGATGGACGGGGCTAGGGGCTCAACGTGGGGGTGGAGGGTGCTGGAGCCGTCGTCGCGTGTGCCTTGTGCGGTGGGAGAGAGCACGGAGAAGAGTGAGCCCACGATTAGGGTCGCTGGGTAGATGAGGAGCGCTGTTATGGGTGGTTGGAAGGGTCGTATCGCTGGGGTTGGAGGGTCGGGCGAGGGCATGGTTGTTCGTCTGTTCAGGCTGGTGTAGTTATGTCGTTGTTGTGGTGTATATACTGAGTAGAAGTAGGGTATTATAGTAAATGGCTGTTGTAGAGGTAATGGGCAATGGTTGTTGGCTTAAGCGGAGGAAGAAGGCTGAAGAGGAAAAGAAGAAAGACTGGCGAAGTCGGCAGCGGATGACGTCGCTTGGTTTCCGCCCCAACTAGCGCCACTCTTCCTACCATGTGTCGGCATCGCTTGTATCATGATCTACACACTACTACGCAATACTCATTCTACATCTACATCTACAGTGGTCTTGTTGTTGGCATAAATCATTAATTCATATACCACGGCCATCATGGTATGCCATTTAAGAACTAATTAGTGAACAGTAGGCAGAGACGCCCGGAGCGGCAGCTTCCGCGAGGAGCTTCCGACAAACACCATCTTGGGATACGACGTAATCTCCCAGTCCTGCTTCTCAACATTCCAGTTTGCAAGGTCACGGCGCGTCAGAGTCGTGTTCCACTTCGTCTCCTCCGACGGCTGCAGCGTGATGCGGTCGAATTGACGCAGCACGATCTTCGGCTCGTTGGGACCGCCAAGCGAAACATACTGCGACTGATTAGCTTTGTTCAACCTCGTTTGGTTCTTTTGTTACTTACCAGTTGAGGAACTTCATCACCAGCAACCTTGCCGGTGTTCTTGATGGTCACTGACACGCGGATAAGCTCGTCGTAAAGGCGAGGGTTGCCGCCAGGACCGCCACCAGCAGGCAGGATCGGTTGCGCAGAGCCATCGGTGGCTCCCTCGGGAAGATAGTCCGAGGAGTCCTGTCCGTAGCTAGCATCTCCAGAAGATGCCTCGAGATCGGTACCGTTGAGCCAGGGGTAGATGAACTTGGTGATTCTCTGCAGTCCGTCGGGGTAGAGGTAATCCGACGCATTTCCAACCTCACCAAAAGTTGGCGCTGCCTCAGTCTCACCCGAAGCAGGCTCGTACGCAGGGGCGCTCAGAACCTGCACCTCAAGGTTCGAGTAGTTAAAAGTGGTGTAGCTCAGACCATAGCCGAACTCGTAGATCGGGGTCTCGTTGCGCTTGTCGAATCCGCGGTAGTCAATGAAGACGCCCTCGACGAAGTCTTCCTGGGGGGCTCCGTTGCCGTTGTTGGGCTCGGTGACCAAGTAATCTTGGTAGGCCTCACGAGTCTTGCCCCAGGTAAAGGGCGACTTGGCACCGGGGTTGACACGGCCATAGAGGACGTCGGCAAGAGAGTTGCCAGACTCCTGACCGGGCAGACCGCCCCAGAGAATAGCGGTAACATTGGGGTTGTCGTACCATTCGTTAACCAAGACTGGGCCGACAGAGTGAATGACAACAATGGTGTTGTTGCAGTTGCTAGCAGCCGCCTTGATCACATTATCGCCGTTCCTCCACAGGGTCAGGTTCCTACGGTCACCCAGGTTTCCGTCGACATTGATGTAACCCTCGCCAGAGTCGGCGTTGACAAAGACAAGAGAGACACTAGCATGTTGTCAACATCCATTGCACAAGAAAGAAAAGAGTTGGAGATCTTCCTACCTGGCGGTCTTAGCAAGCGCCTCAATCTGATCGATAGCCCAGTTATCGGTGGCGGTGAATACACCATTCTTGTTCTTAAGCACCTCGTTTGAGATGGCCTGCTCGGGGGTCACCAGGTATGGGAAGTTGGCAGTACCACTTCCCCAGCCCATCGCCAATGTTCCATTGTCGCATCCACGGTCACTGCAGCCGTTGGCACCATAAGGGTTGGAGCCCGCATCTTCTCCGATAAGCGCGACCAGGCGCTCCTTGCCAGTCAAGGGCAGAGCGCCGTCGTTCTTAAGGAGCACCGTGCTGTCCGCTCCAATGCGGCGGATCAGTTCGCTGTGGTTGCGTTGCACGTTCACGTACTGGTTGACCTTCTCGTACGGCCCCTCCGACACATAGTAGTACTTGTAGCCGTATTCATCTCTAGTCCATGAGCTGAAGTTGGGAGGAGTCCACAGACGGTCACGGCCGACCTTGTAGTAGGCGGCCATGATGCGGACAGCCATGTCATCAACACGCCATTGGGGCACCGTTCCGTTGAGCACGCTAATGGTCAAGTTTGTACCCCAGTAAGACGTACCACTGTCGTAGTCGACGTCTCCTGGCATAGACATATCCAATCCTGCCAAAGCACCACTCACACCAGCATGGTGAGCTGCCCAATCACTCATAACAAAGCCCTGGAAACCCAGCTCAGCCTTGAGCAGCTTGTTCAGGGTGTAGCTGTTCTGGCAGCCATAGCTGTTGTTGATCTGGTTGTAGGAGCACATCACAGCGCCAGCACCCGCACGGATGGCATCCGCGAAGGGCCAGAGGTACAGCTCGTGCATAGTCTTGTCGTCGAGGTTCGCGCTTCCACTCTCGGAAATATTAAATCCATAACCTTGGGCTTCAGGCGCCTGACGGAAATGCTCTTGCTCGTAGGCAATGTAGTGCTTAGCCGTCGCAACCACACCAGCATCTTGGATACCCTTGATGGTCTCTGCAAAGAGCACACCACTTAGGGCCGGGTCGGGGGAGAAGCCCTCCCAATTACGGCCACCGTCAGGACTTCTACCGAGAGGGCCGGCAGCTGGACCCAATTGGACATCGGCACCCTTGTCACTAAATTCCTGGCCCATAGCCTTGCCGCGAAGGTATGCCAGATTCTTGTCCCAGGTTGCAGCCACGTTCATACCGGCAGGGAAAGCAGAGTTGTAGTCGGCTGCGCCGCGTCAGTAAGAGCATCAAAGCCTAACAACAGCAGATGGCTTACAGTCGCGAACGCCCAGAGGGCTATCCTGTAAACACATTCCCGGAACTCCCAATCTGTCATCATTAATCAATGAATGCCCCTGTCTCGACAATATTTTCTAACCTACCGGGGAACACCGCCAGTCTGACCAACACATAGTTCCAATTCCCATCTAGAAGTTGTTAGCCGGAGCATACGCATTGCGCCATGTAAACCCTACCCAGTTCCTGTGGTCAGATTGACCTTTTCATCCAATGTCATTTGCGAGACAATATCAACAGCGCGCTGGTATGCCTGTGCCCAGTCGCCCTGGCCATTGGCCCAAGGGGATGGGTAATATGGTGGGGAGTAAGCCAATTCATCCTATGAATAAACCATTATCAGCGATGATGAAACAAACAAGTGAATCTAATTGAGCACAATTGCAATTCACAGGACAAAGTAACGGCACGTACAGCGCTGGCCAGCGAGACGGCAGTCAGAGCCACCGCCTCGATCAAAGTGAACCTCATGTTGGCAAGGTTGCCCAAAGGGGGAGCAAAACAAACCAGGTGAGCAACCGTGCAACACCTGTCCGAGGGAAAGACTGGAGGTTTAGGGAGGACAGAAACGAAAACAGCGAGAGAAAGGGGAGCTGGGCCATATTAAATAGTTTGAGCGCCACAAAGTGACCGTCCGCCACGGCATGCGAATTGAGGAACCCAACGATGATGTATGCCAGTGCAGCTGTCTCCGCAAAGCTACCCACTCATGCAATTCACAGTCCCGCATGCAGTGTCAAAGAGAGACACGCTAAGCATGGGCGATGGATGTTTGGTCCGGTATGCTGATCGACGTGGGATGTCCCGATTGGGAGACTGGGTGGAACAAGCCAGTAGACCGGCCCTGGAGGAGTCGGAAATTAGGCAAGCAAGGCACTGTCGGAGAAGCTGGAAGGAGCTCGAGCGATGATGCATTCGGGCCGGCAGAGCCATGTACAAACTCTACATCGGTTGGCAAAAGAGGTCGGAGGGTCAGGTGAGGGTTAGTTGACCGGGGTAAGGATTATTCCCAGCCTATAGACCAGCACAACATGGGGAACGGCGACCGTGGTCTAGGACTGGAACAAGTCTGGAGCCCCGCTTCCTTTGACCATTTTTAGTGCAATAATGACCAAGCTGGAGATGGTCTTGGAGTCTGGGAAAATACGAAAAGCTGGGGGGAGAAGGAAGCCATTCGGGGAAGGGGATTTAGTTTAGTTCACTAGTTTGGCCAGGGGTCGCCCCGGTAATTACGTTACACAATACCTCGTCCAGTCCCTGCAGCTGTGGGTAAACCGGCATCATTACCTGCACCATCCAGGTTTACGTCAATACCACCCACCATAGTTAACTATTAACTAACTCATAGAAGCATGATATTTTGCCTTTCTCAACTACTTCCTTGTTGATGTATGTCTGATTTGGAAGGTGTATCAGATCAGCTTTTTACATTCTTCACTGAGACACCAGTCTAGCAGTTTATCTCCATGCAAGTCTAGCTCATTCCCGCCAACACTCGAGCCAAACAATACTCCCTCCAGAGCGAATCCCGAGTGGCCCAGCGCATTTTAGCCTCTACTTACTCGGCGTGAATACCTATGGCGCATGGGGAAATTGAGCATGAAGCAGAGTGAGTTTTTCCGCGCTGTCGTCATTGGAGGAATTCAGTCCTCAACAGGTACTACTTCGTACTAAGTTACTACTAGCCAGAGTCCCATGGATCCGTGCCGTCAAGTCTATTGTTGGTCCGAATCTGGCTGGGCGTCTTACCGTCACTCTTGTGTGTGTATCCAGTATCCACCGTGTAATCCCGTCTTCTTCCACTCATCACCCCAGCATTCCCCGCATTTCCCTTCACTATCCCAGCAGCTTCCCAGCGGTCAGACCGATGGCACAACCAGAGTACATCATAAACCCAGTTAGTTAAACAGGTGCCTGGCGACATGTCAGACAAGCAGATACCGCCAAGCGCGGTCTCTGAGCACAACAAATGTCATCGTACCGACATGGCTCCAATGCACCTTACGTCGACCCAACGGCCTCCCGCAAGGGTCAGCCCATACTTACCACTTTCTAAACAATGCAGTCCTCCCTTTGGAATCTCTAAATTTCGGTCAACAGTTGAAGGGATGCTCCACTTTGGGAGGTGAAGAGATGAGGTAATCAACTCCTTCTTCCTACAGCACGGATGGGATCCCGTAGGAAGAAGAACGGGACGTCTTCACTACCAGCGATGTTCCGGGCGTCACTCTTGACTCCGACTATCCTCGGTGTCGCCTAAACACAAACGTCGCTCATCATTTATCCAGGTTAGCGGTTAGCCTGGGGGGAAGAAATTACCCCACTTTCGGCTAAGGTGCTGCTGACGGTGGACGGTGATGGGGCGCCACTGCAAAATAATAGTGGCCTTGTCAGAGTACTCTCTGAAGATGAGAAATTGCTTGCATGACTGTGGATGTGTTATCCAAGTCCTAGTTAGGACATCCACTGCTCGTACGCAGTGAGTTCTCGGACAAAGTCCGGACTGTTGATCGTCCACGCATCGCCGGTAGAGCGGACATTGCCGACCACATGGCACTCTAATGATCTTAAACCATAACGCTTGACCGGGTTACAAGAAAGGCGTCGTTTTCGTAGAATTTTCTCGGAGGGTGGCTGCTCTCGGTCAGGTGCCGCATGCGCTCATGCAGAGACAGGCCATTCGGGGTTAGTTGAAGATGTGGGGAATTTCTCCGTGGGGTAGATTGCATGATCGAAGATGGGTTCTAATCTTCGACTCTGAATTGCCGGCTACTCCGGTTGCGGCCCCCTCTGAGCCCGACGTGCATTACTATTTGCCTATCGCTTGTCTTGCCTAGTTTTCTGAGGTCAATCCTGATCTGTCCAGGCGTCATCTGCCAAGATTTGGCTGGCTTCGACTCGAGCCTCCTACCCCCGCACTATCCGCGCTCCTGGTCTCACACACCCAAAGTAACAAGCAACGGCATCTTTCCGCCTGACATCCTGTTTGCTGCTAGGCATGCCGATATTCGAAAATCACTTGACGCCGAAAGCCTCGAGACGGGAAGTAAATCAGCTACATCGACCCGAAAGCCCCGAGCCAGGTATCCGACGTCTACGGGAGAAGCAGAAAATCGCACCTGTATCACTGATATAGAGCCGGCTCAGGTAAAGGGTCCCAGCCACTAAAAGCTTACAAGCCGCACAACTTTTCCGTACATGCATTGGAAATGAAGCCAGGGCTATTCTCCAACTGCATACTAAACAAGCAAAGCCCGGCAGAAGGTACTCATTAAACGGTGCATTAGATACCCGAGTTACCCTTCGCAATTTCAACCCTTCCCCGTGTGGGGTGTATCCCGGAACTGGGGCCTCCACCTCCAGCCACAACCGCGACAAACCCGGGGACATGTAGCAGCACTCACCAAGGCTCATTGACGGATGAACCCGAACGGCATCCACATTGAGCCTGTCTTCCTGCCGATGATTACCCGTACGACAGGCAGGTGGTATGTCCGGTAGAATAATTCCAGTGTTCTCGTATCCTACAATTATAAGCAGTTCTATAGGGTATCCACCATAGAATACCAACGGACGGCATCATGTACTGTACTCCGGATATTCATCGGCGATTTAGACATTTAGTAGAGGGGTCCGAGCAAACTGCACTAGGCAATCAGAATATGAATCTGGGGGTGGTGTTAAATCTCGCCTAGAGAAAGTATACTATACTTACTAATGCAAAAGATATCTGGATTAATGTCTGCCTTGTCGGAAAGGAAAATAACACACACACAAGATCAATTGCTTTCTTTGTCTCTTCCCTGTCAACTATGACGTTACCTTGCATGTATCCATGCCTATAACTTTCCCCATTCTCCACGGCGCGGTGCTCAGCCCTTCTACTTTACACTACGTAGCAATTTGATTAGATACTGCGCTTCGGATCATCGGATCGGTTGTACCCGCATCTTATACAGTTTTATTATTACCTCTTTCTCTTTCTGGGGGTTTACTTTCCTTTCTCTCTCCTGCATTTCATTCCCAACGTGTGTGGTTTATACTGCTGCTAATTGGATAGGAGAAGGGATAATGTATTATCATTTAGTGGGAGTAGACGAGACATTTTATCAATCAAGTCACTACTAACTCGCTTCAGACAATTTTAGAACTCCTGTGACCTGGTCTACAGTGTGTACTTGCTATGGTTGGTTTCGAGCACGGGTTTTTGCTTCGATAGTACCCGGGTAGTATTCTTTCGAGGGGGTTGTTTTGGGGAAATTTGGAAGAATATATGATGCTGTGCTCTGGTATATTTCAAATCACTCAATTCTTATTGTTCGATGCCCTACATCAATATACTTCTTCATGCCTTGGGCTCTTATATCACGTGACATACAGTATGTCACTGCTCGATTCTGATTGGTTGCTCGACTTGGCGTCCCGATGTATGGCATCAAAAAGCATGGCCTATGGAATGCTCTCTCATTCTACGCCTGAGCAATCAATTATATTATCAAAGGTGTACTTCGCACTATGGCGCCCGAAGAGAAGGACCATCCCGATGTAGAGGCGTGCAGTGAGAGTCAACATGACCATTTCGAAGAAGGCCCATCGTCTGCTTTCCAGCAATTGGCTATACTGGATCGCTTCCTTGCGGTCTGGATCTTCCTCGCCATGGCGGTTGGTATTATTCTGGGAAACTTCGTTCCGAATACGAGCAAAGCGCTAGAGAGGGGGAAGTTTGTGGGTGTTTCTGTGCCTATTGGTACGTTGTTGTCCATTTATTGATTTAATTGAATATGGAAGAGTGCATGCCAACAGCATCCTAGCTATCGGTCTCTTGGTCATGATGTATCCCATCTTGTGTAAAGTGAGGTTCGAAACGCTGCATCGGTCATTTCGGGAGAAGGGACTTTGGGTGCAGGTGGGCTTCAGTATCGTCGTCAATTGGATTATAGCTCCGCTGTTCATGGTAGGTCCATGTCACACATTGTGGGCGATACTGGGCTAATTGGGATAGCTTGGTCTGGCCTGGGCGTTTCTTCCCGACGAGAGGGGCCTTCGAGAAGGCCTCATTCTTGTCGGTATTGCTCGATGCATTGCCATGGTATGACACTCCTGCCTGGAAGCAGTGCAACAAGCTGACGTGCATAGGTCCTCGTCTGGACAGGACTAGCAGGAGGTGATGGGGAATACTGCGCAATTCTAGTCGCCATAAATTCGATCTTGCAAATGGTCCTATTCGCACCTCTCGCAATCTTTTTCATTCGCGTCATTGGCGGAGCGGACCACGGTCTAACAATCGACTATTCGCTGGCTGCAAAAAGCGTCGGCGTATTCCTTGGTATCCCCCTGGGAGCAGCCATCGTCACCCGTTTCTCCCTTAGGTTCCTGATCAGCAGAGAGTGGTACGATAAGCATTTCTTGAAATGGATCAGCCCGCTGTCCCTAATCGGCCTGCTGTTCACCATCTTGGTTCTATTTGCGTCGCAGGGCCGACATGTGGTCCACCAGATCGTATCTGTTATCCGAGTAGCAGCGCCTCTGGTGGTCTACTTTGCTGTCATTTTTGGTGTCACTCTTGCCGTAACACGGCGCTGCGGTTTCGGATACAGATTGTCTTGCACGCAGAGTTTCACTGCTGCCAGTAATAACTTTGAGCTCGCTATCGCAGTCGCGATAGCAACATTTGGCGTGGATAGTGACCAGGCTTTGGCAGCAACAGTTGGACCTCTCATTGAGGTCCCCGTGCTTCTGGGATTAGTATATGTGGTCAAGTGGGTTGCAAAAAGACAAAAGTGGGCTCCTTAATCGTCTTGATGAGCCCGTATTAGTACCACCACAAAAAAATAGACATACTATCAGCTGTTGCTTATTTCATCCAAGACCTGAAACAGTATATGGTTCTGTACTCTGCATCCCTCCTCTGTAGTGAGTCCTTTGGAGAAACCGGCCCAGAGTTTCCTGCGGATCTCTGACAGCTCCACTCCACGTGTATTGTACTGGTCAATCAATTCATCTGCAATGGCACAAAGTGTGGTATTCAAAACATCACCATTGCTCGGCCATGACTCCACGGCTTCCCCGGGGCCACAACCACAGACGGATCGGTCTCGGACGGGCACTTCAATGTCCGAGGCCCCTTGCACAATATCCGAACAAGGCTTTGTAAAACGATCACGGCTTTGTCCTGGACTAAAGAGGCCTGGCTCAATTGATTGTAGTGCACTGGTAGCAGCATTTCTCGCCTTTGGTATACAGGCTGGACTGTCTTGTGACTGGCATTGTGCTTCAGTCGAACGAAGCTTCGGAATGGCTACCTTCTCAGTCAAGGCTGGATCATCAATTTGCAGATACTGTTCTAATAACTCCGACGTCAAGCCCGAGCGAGTCAGAAGATATCTCAACTTTCTGTTCTCCGCCTCAAGCTTCTGCACGGCCATTCTATGTTCCACATCCCGGTGGCGTGCTTGTTCTTGCAAAGCAGCCAACTTCTTTTCCAACTCGCGGGTGTGCTGTTGTTTCCTCGCGCGACTATTCCGCTGATTTTCTCGGATGCGAGCAAGTCTATCGAGATCCTTTACAGACAAGTTAGTAACTTGTGTACATCGCATAGGCATGCTTGGTGAGCTTCAACCTTTTGGTGCTTCTTTGGGTCCATCTCTTACCGGGTGACGATATGGTCAGTGCTCACCCGACGTGATCTTCCCCGCGAACTGGCAATTCGAAACGACTATAACGTAACTGTATGCTGCCCAAAAGAGTGGGCTTTTGTGGAGAAAGCTAGCACTGGCTCTGAGGACTTCGGCGTATCTTCTGCGCTCTCTGGTTTTATGGCAAACCGTAGTCGCTTCGGGGCATCTTGCCCAACTGGGATATATGGAGCGAAGGATAACCGGAACGATCGAGGCAGATTGATGGATTCTCATCTATGACAAGACATTCTCGGTGGGACTGTAGAAGGCATGATTGGGCATATCTATGGACTGTTTCCAATGCTTGGTGAGTGGATTCTGTCTCGGCCCAAGCTCCATTGAAGCCATAAGCACTTTATTTGGTGCAACGGTCAGATTAGGGGACAATAACACCCACGACGACCCACCGGTTCGTGAAACAAAAAGGACCAGGTGTCCGCTAAGATGAAGATCATGGCTAGGCTATTGGTTCTAGACTTTCAGATTCTGCTGCAGAGCGACGTCCAAGCGGAAGGTTTACTACTGTGTGCCTGTTAAGTACACTACGACACTATATCATGTTACAAAGCAGAACATATTGTTTTGTAGAGATCAAAGCTTGTCTTCACTCTATTGAGCTCATTTCTAATAGTGAAATGTCTAGGATCGCCTGACTAGCGAGCAATGCCACTACGTGTTTGTTTAGAGGTCAGCGCAGCAAGAGATAGCTATCTCGGCTAAACGTAAAGAGCCAGGCGGCGGAGAGTATATCCCCCTTCCCTTCCGCGCACCGCTGCAATTCCCACGAGTGGGGAGATCTTCAATCTCCCGGATCTATTTTCAACGAAGATTAGATATATCCGAGCTGTCTAGGGTCCAGTCCAGATCGGGTCATGGAAGTCTCATGGAAGGGAAAACGAACCCACCCGTCATGCCGGCGAACAGGTGGCGCTGGAGCTCAACTTGGACGACGTCACTAGCCGTCACTCATACTTGGGAGCCCCCCGGAAGGACTGGTTCACTTTTCGCATCCATGCGCTCAATCTTCTTAAATGTCTTTCACATCTTTATCCTCACATGGATCTCGTGATTCTCTTGCCCCGCCAATAACCTAACTCCCTATCGATACGCTTCATTGCTTAGACGAACATCATCATGGTTTCCACGCGACACCATCCCCGCGACTTTCCTCCCCCCGCGACTGGGAGAGCTTCGCCGCCATCAACGCCGTCTTCATCTTCTACAGGTGCCAATGGCTCCGGGAAAAAATGGGTGCATGTCCCGTCTGGTGCCATTACACTGTGGTTGATCTTCTCTGTTCCGCTAGTACTATGGGACGCCAGCTATGTGTTGCTGCGCCCTCACCTGAAGCTCGAAAGCAAGCTACATTCCCCGATCTGGACTCCGTATGCGCTGTATGGCACAATCGATTACCTCTACGGCTGGCCGGCATTCAATGCGCGCAATGAGTTTACCATTGCGCAAACAATCCTGAACCTTGTCGAGACCGCTGGATATATCTACTACCTGGTCATTGTGTACACACATGGGGTTACAGCGGGAAACACGTCTCGAGGCCAACGCAAAACCAAGAAAGGACCAATGTGGATGCTCAAAGAGTCCAAGGTTGTTACTGGTCGTCCCGGCGCGACTGCGCTTCTGGTGGCGTATAGCGCCTCGGTTATGACCCTTGCGAAGACGGCCCTATTCTGTGAGTCGCCATTATGCTGTCAGGATTAGTTTGGAATGTAACTCTAATAGATCTGCTGTAGGGCTGAATGAGGCTTTCTCTGGTTTCGCGGACGTTGATCGCAACGACCCTTGGACCTTGTTCTTCCTGTGGATCATACCCAAGTAGGTTTTGGTTCTTGTTGGTGTTGTTGTTTCATCTAACGGTCGCATTAGTGCTCTCTGGATCGTATTTCCTAGCTATGGCGTCTATGCTTTGGGTTCGGAAATTCAGGCGTCACTAGAGAGTGCCACACCGCGTCAGCGAGTTGGGCGGCCCAAATCTTCGTAGGATGGCCCCGGACCGCAGCAAGCTCGGATTAATGCTAGGTTGCATCCGGCTAGAGACGCTTGACCAGGATACGAGAGGGGAAGTCGCGTGCACCACACTAGCACGAAGTTTGAGCGCCGGCCATGGTTGAACTGATTGGGGGGAGTGAGAGTGGGAGGAATAATGGAGGACATATTCGGATGTGGACATGTCGGAAGATTTGGGTTATATATCCGTACCGTAATACTATAAGCCCTGGAGATACAAGCTTAGATAAATATGACAATCGAGGAAATTGAGTAAGGAGGCGTCTGTCAGCAAAGAAGCCAGCACTAAGCTAGTAGTTGATAGCGTAACTTTTCCCCGGGATCATTGCGGGATAACAGCAGCCAGTGATACTGCGGGCTAGGAACGCCATGCATTCGTTGGTATTTACCCAACGTCGCTGCAGGCTTCCGATACGTTCCCTCGCTGCACGATTCCATCCACCGCTATTGTGTACCTCATTCCCTTCTCGATATTATTTGTCTAGTTTTCCTGGAGATTGGTCTTGTCTAGTGGGTTCCGCAAGGGTCTGGGTGGTTGAGCCAGTTGATGGTTGTCCAATAACCGCAGCCCCATATATATTACCACCGATGACACTCCGGACTTGCACGTTCAGCTATTGAACCTTCTTCTTTACAACACCCATGTTCTGGAAACTGGGTTCCTTATTGGCGCTGTACCTTTTTTTTATGGGCATCATTATCATCACCCAGCATTCCCAACTTGACATTTCTACATCTATCTACTATAGTTGAAAAAGATATCCGGGGACGGCGAACATTTAAATTACTAAAGGGCAAATTCCCCCAGGATGACGACGGCGAGAGGTGCCAAGCCTCCAGTCAGCGCCCGTCCCAGCCAGCCTTCCCCATACCCACCGATTTCGACCACCGCCTCATCCCGCGGTTTCGTCCCGTCTTTCTCCCCAGAGCACCAGCAGGACCAGACCCTGTGGCCAACTCCCTCCGCATCCACCCCCTTCCTACCGAATGATGATCCGGGTCTTGTTCTTGGGGTACCTGCGCCCATCATGATCCCTCCGGAGTCCGACGAGTCCCCCTTGGCCTCCGGCCTGACCCTGGGCCACGACGATATCGTCCTTCCCGAAGACCTCGACAACCACAGCCGAGCCAGCTCGCGTGATCCAGGCAGCGCCATTACTGCCGGTGATCCGGGTACCTCGCACGAGTCGGGGATCGATGCCCACCGGGACGACGGCAGAGGCGACCCCGCACACAATCACGATCAACAGGGAGGCGAAAAACCAGCGTGGAGCGAAATGAAGACCAAAGCCGGCAAGGAGCGAAAGCGCCTACCCCTCGCCTGCATTGCTTGTCGAAGAAAAAAGATCCGATGCTCGGGCGAAAAGCCTGCGTGCAAGCACTGCTCGCGCTCTCGAATACCATGTGTTTACAAGGTCACTACCAGAAAGGCGGCGCCCCGGACGGACTACATGGCGATGCTGGATAAGCGCTTGAAGAGGATGGAGGACCGGGTCATCAAAACCATCCCCAAGGAAGAAACTCGGGATATGGGTGCCATTGGCCGGTCGGTGGTTCGACCGCCTCAACCCGGACAGACCAACAAGGCGCAGAAGAAGCGGACAGCGGAAGAGGCTTTTGCTGCTGAAATGGATGAGTGGGCTCGGGAGAGCCGCAATGGTCCGCAGGATACCTTTCCGATGCGCCGTGAGAGTAAACCAGGTGATGCGTCGGGCTTAATGAGTGCAGGTGCCGAATTTTTACCGTCATTGGAGATCCAGGAGCACCTGGCAGAGGTGTTCTTCGATTGCGTCTACGGGCAGTCCTACCTCCTCCTTCACAAGCCAAGCTTTATCCGAAGACTCAAGGCGAGAACCGTGCCTCCAGTGCTTATACTTGCCGTTTGCGCCGTTTCCGCTCGATTTTCGACCCATCCACAGATTAATTCCGAACCTCCTTTCCTGCGTGGCGAGAACTGGGCCAATCCAGCTGCTGCTATAGCCCTGAGTCGCCATGACGAACCTAATATCACTATCCTGACCGTTTTCTTGCTTCTGGGTCTCCACGAGTTCGGCACGTGTCATGGCGGGCGGAGTTGGTCATTCGGTGGCCAGGCACTGCGCATGGCGTATGCCCTGCAATTACATAGGGAGCTCGACCATGACCCTCTACTAATCCAGAACAATGGCAATGGATCGCAGCTTAGTTTTACGGATCGGGAGATACGAAGGCGAACCATGTGGGCGTGTTTCTTGATGGACCGTTATAATTCATCTGGGAGTCAGCGTCCGCCGATAGGAAACGAGAAATTCCTGCAAATACAGCTCCCTATTAAGGAGTCGCATTTCCAGATGGAGATTCCAGGGCCAACGGAAGACTTGGACGGCAATGTTCTCAATCCAGTTCCAGACGATGTTGGTCAGCTATCTAATGCGAAGGAGAATATGGGTGTATCAGCCTTTATCATCCGTGCAGTTGTCATATGGGGCCGCATCGTTGATTATCTCAACCTCGGAGGAAAAAGAAAAGACACGCAGCCACTGTGGTCGCAGGAGTCTGGGTACATGCGCCTCAAGCGGCAGATTGAGGAGTTTTCCGCGTCTCTCCCTAGCCATCTCTTGTTCACTTACGAAAACCTTCAGATCCATGCAGCCGACCGAATCGCCAACCAGTTCATCTTTCTGCACATTATCATCCACCAGAACATGCTCTTCTTGAATCAATTCGCCATACCTCTATCACCGGGAGGACGACCTCCGCGTGACATGCCCAAGGCATTCCTGAGCAATGCCGGCCGAGCAGCAGTGGAAGCTGCTCACCATATTTCTATCCTCATCGATCGTGCATCCGCTTATCCTCTCACTGTTCCATTCGCCGGATATTGCGCTTATTCGGCCAGTACTGTCCATATATGGGGCATATTCTCGAAGAACGCACAATTGGAGGCGCGTTCCAAGGAGAATCTGCGCCATACATACCGTTACCTCAATAAGATGAAGAAATATTGGGGAATGTTCCACTACATGGTAGAGAGTGCCAAGGACCGGTACCGCCAATTTGCGGATGCGGCCATCAAAGGCACGGTGGTTACGC